TAATGAACTCAGAAACGCCGATCATATATATGGCACGCCAAATCCACAAAAATGAGCAAAACATAGTTTCACAGTCGATAAACTAGGTTTATCGGTTGTAAACTATAGACTGTTAACTATAGTTAACAACGTTAATCTATATTTTACATCTGCAAACCATAGTTAACGCGATAATCTATGTTTCACAACCGTAAACTATACTTAACATCGAAAACAATCATTTGCGATCGCAAAACATAGATTATCTGATAAATACAGTTTCACGATTTGTAAACTATATAGTTTACAAACCGTTAACTATAGTTAACGATCTGATAAATATAGTTTCACGATTTGTGAAACTATGATTAACAACTCTTAACTACAGTTTACGATTGTAAACTATAGTTCACAAACGTGAATCTATGTTTATCAACAAAATCTATTGTTAACGCTTTATTCAGACTGATAAACTTAGATTAGCATTCGTAAACTATAGTTAACGACCGTTAAATATAGTTTTACAGACATACTTGAATCGTTAACTATACTTAACGAATCGTTAACTATAGTTTACGGTTTGTAAACTATAGTTTACAGTCGATAAACCTAGTTTATCAATTGTGAAGCTAGGTTTATCTCATTTTTGTGAATTTGGCGTGCCATACATATAAATGGAGATTCTTTTGATGAACGTGTTATTGAATTAAATAATATAGACATCTGCAGAAAATATCGTGAATGTCTTAGATTAACGATGAAAACCTGTATGGAAAGCTCGGTTTTGTCACAAATCAAGTCTGATCGTAAGATCGAGCTTCGCGGAGGACAGTGGACATTCGTGTATACTGTGAACTTAGACAATATATATCATGATGTCTCATAGATTTCTTAACAAAGACTATATTTTTCAACCATCTTGTGATTTATAATGAAAATTACTTCCAACTCATCGAAAGTATACCAGTGACAAACAATTTTATTTTCGTATGATTGCTGAGCTTCCTCTATCTTACCCAATACAAATAAAATTGAAAATTCTCCAAAGAAAGTCAGAGTAGTAGGTCAATGTCAAAACATAAAAAAGAGTCAAGATTTACACATTACAGGTGAGATATGAAAGCCCTAGCACCAACTATTCAAAATTATGGCAAAACTTGAATTGAAAAGTTTTCAAAAGCAAGTCAACCTCCTGAGAAAAGGTCTTTCACAATTATAAACAAGACTAAGCACTCACCATTTTAGAGTTATGGAAAATGTTCAAAATTTTAATAGTGGGTCAAATGCCAAGGTCAAGCTTAAGTTTTACGTTTGTAACATTTTGCAAAACTGGGTCAATTTCAAAAATCAAAATTAAAAGGTCATAAGGATTTTGTTTTTAACCATAAAAAGATCGTTTCATTTTACTAGGAATTATACATGAAAAAATATGAAAAGTTTAGCTCCAACCAATGAAAAATAATCGGTAATGTTAATACACAGAGAGACAGACGGACAGACCGAACACTATCTATTAACCCTATTTTTTAAATACGGTAGCATAAAAATTTGAACAGATTCAATTCAGCCCACAAAAAAAATTCTGACTTTGGATGAATCCAATAGTTGTTGTAGATATGTAAGGATATTGTTAAAAATTTGCAGTGCACCTTAAAGAAGACGAAACAAAAACATTTTAACCACAGGAACTTTGGTATCGTACATCCTTAACTTTCATAACAGACTGTTTCAAATCGACTTGGTTTCCCTCTCCATTCATTGGTTTTCAGATAGGGAGCATTCTAATACAAAACTAGGACTTAGTATTGTAAACAACTGCCATAGTCTAAAAAACAATGTCTGTAAAATTTTGGAGATTGATTTTAAGAATTGATTGTCCTGTCTTGTTTACAGTTAGTTGTGTGAATTGTGTATTCTGCAACCTTAAAGAGACTGCAATCAATGAACCAAGATTAAAGTGGAGAGAAAATTGTTATCTAGCAATTCACAAAATGAGCGGTAGAACTCTTGCCAATTATTCATAAGGCTTATACTTTTTATTTGCTGATTGTGAACTAATTAATTATAAGCTACATTATATATGACCTTTAAGTCGAGAATTTTCACATACTAGTAATGTGCTTCCCTGAGTTCTAATTTTTAGACACACAAAACATACTTTTAAAAGTACTCGTTAAAATTCGTTCACAGTTTCAATTATTCAAATCTCCAGTAGTAAAATTGTCATTAAATATACTTCTAAATTTGATTTTAAATATCTATTTTTCATTTAGAGTTATGGTATGATTTCCTCTTGTGGACCTTTAAAATTATCAATTATTTACAGACATTGATCTGAGTGATATTCTATATATTCCATAGAGGCAGCTGAGAATTAATGTCGAGTCATCAAAAAACAAAAGACAGGTCAATACGAGTTAAACAAAACCTGCTTTAACAGAGTAAAAATTTTAGGTCACTTGAGTCATTAAAGTATCAATCGTTTTCAGTCATTTTTTTCTCCTGAACTTTGGTATACAGCGTCTAATGGAAAAGGAAAAAAATTAAAAAATTGTCTCGGCTTTCTTGTGATTTGAGGGGAAGGCGAACACTTACTCATGGGTACTAGAGGATTTTTCTTGATTTTTTTTTCAGAAGATACATTTTACATGTAAATATGTCATGCGACCGATCTCATACCATAGATGGTTGAGATATCAACCGACTAGTTCATTTGATATTTTAAAAATGTAAACAAACTTATTACTTGTGGTGTCTGTGGAGTATTAGTTATGTGCAATGTCCTTGGAGCGGGATATGGGAAAAATTTTATTGTTTACTTGGTTAACATTAACATTAGTGTAATGTCCTCCCACAATTTGTACAAAAGACAAAATAACTATCTCCCTCTGTAATGAAATAATGGCAGGCAAATATGCCGAGCAATAAATCTGTTTTGTCACTGAACAATACCAGGAAAAAAGTAGAATTGATTCCGAGGAAATGAAAACATTCTCATTCAAATCCATAGTGTAATTGCTTTTTGTTGAATTACGGATTGTCATACGAGAGAGTACGGGGTTTCTGTAAATATGGGTCTCAGTACCCGCCCACCCTGTTTGTTTAACACGGATTTGTCTTCTGTTATTACGGGTTTGACTGAAGCTCGATTTTAATCTGAGCCGTATGTTACAGGGCGTTCGATTGAATTCACTCTATATTCAACTTCGGCTTTCTATACTAAAAGACTCTGTTACAAGACTTCATGATATCTTCACCAAAGTACTCGACTAGACGTTTCACATCAGCCATATTGATTTTATTAAAGCACTTAGCTTTACAGGTGACATTGACATTTACCTACAACATAACACTGTTCACAAGAGAAGGCATTAAATCTAATTTTGGTAGAAAATTCCGGTATCTATATAAGAAACCCGACAGATTATATTCCCTTAGCTCATGTTTTTATTTATACTTTCACAAAAGAACCATTAGTCCACATCTTTCGAGATGAATATTTTATCGTTTTACCACATTAAGCTATGAATGCTACTCACACTTACAGAAGTGTATTAAGTTCAAACACCCCCCTTAGTAATATTGTACAGTTGGGATGGTTGAAAAAATTACTAGTAAATAAAATGGTGCAACTTTTGTACGGGTAGATTCTACTTGCATTCCATACAAAATCTCGTGTCTGTTTTTTTGCACGTAAGAAATGAGGAAACAGTGACATTTTTTTCTCAAATGACAAGTCCCCTCCGATAGTCTGATATATCTTTTAGTCTTTATTTACCAACATGTATACACAGAGATGAGGGTGCTGCATGTTATTGGTACATTCCTAAAGGAACGTACCGTAGGGTTCATGCTTGTGTGTGTAGGTGGGTTAGTTAGTTTTTATGTGCGTAACGGAAGTGACGTAATTTGCTTCAGGATCAAATGCCCCGAGTTATGTTTTTTTTTTTGCGAGGGGATATGCTCCACAATCCCTTGTTTCTTTCTCTTTTCTTCAATATTTTGGGAAATATGAATGAAATCTATAAACAGGCGTGAGTAAATGATAGAGTTTTAGATTCTGAGTCATAATTTGTGATTTTAAAGACTTTTCTCGTTAAGATATCTCAAGACGAACAGTACAGCGATGTTTATGATGGATAAATTAATTAAACACATATGTCCATGCAATGTGTACATATGTACTCTGATTCTTAAATAAAATGCGGTTACATACAGCGACACAAACAGAGACAACGAATAAAGCGATCTCTATTTTGATCTAGATAATTACTTAGTAATTATGAATTGACATTAACAGAGATGGGAAGTCGAACCCCCTCCTCCCCTCACCCTGAAAATGTCGAGGGTAGATTTTCTCAAGATAAATACATGATTTATACGAATATATATATTTTTCGGGGAGAATGATGAGAAAAAAAGTGGGGAAGGAGCACCAAACCCCCTCCCGATTCGGCAATGCCAAATACAAAGCCATATATTAATTTTAAAAAGTCAAATGTCACTGTTTAAATATTTTTTTTTCAAAGGGAACGAAAATGACAATAAGAAATATGAAGACACTACAGTACAAATTATGATTACTAGACGCAAACGCTACGAGGATACACATTAAATATATACTAGGTGGGGTAGAGAGAGAGGGGTGGGTGGATGGCTGGTTTTTTTTTTTTTACTGCTGTATGTGTAACCCTTTTTTAAAGCAAAGTTTTACCTTTATCGATCTTTATTGCCAGAGGGAATCTATTACAGATAAAGTTCGGTATCTCGATATCGGATATGTCGACTATTCAGATAAGTCGGCATCCGTTTACGGTCCGGATAGTGTTAGTAATGTATTAATACCGCGACACTGTGGTTACAGGAAACTAATCTGTACAGATTACTAGTATATGAGTTGATATATACTGGGTTACAAACAGCTCTGGTAGTTGACAGAATTGTGTGGCAGTATGTACGTTACCGAATTATATCTCTGTTACAACAATATCGAGTTCATGAAGTATTCTTCTTGCTTTCAGTATCGGATTTCGCTCGCCAGATGGCAGCAGTCTACGAACAATTTGCCAAAGACATTCAGACTATTATTGCAGCATTCAAAACCAAATATGAAGACCTCAAACGAGATAGGTACTGTCACTGTAAAAGATTCTCTGACAAGCAGAACCATTAACAGAAAATGGACAGTTATATATTAATATAGACCGAATATAACGGATATTCTACTGAGGAAGGAGAAAAAGTACCAATGTCAATATGCAAAATATGAAATACGCATTTATAAATAAAAAAAAATACAAATCTTTTTGTCAGTAGTTATTTTAATTTAAATTTATAAATACAGTACTTGAAAGTTCCAACAATTTATTTCATTACATATGCATAAGGAAAGAATGGTTGCAATTTTTTTATTTGTTTGTTTACAAACAGACCAACAGACACACCTTCCACAATCTTATCTGCCTGGGACTGTTTGCTACATGGGACAGAAAACGATGCACAGGTAAAAAAAAATACACGGATAAATTTAAAGTGAACAAATAGTTTTCAAATGAGTTTTTTTTTACCGGGTAATCGAATATCATATATACTTGTAATAAACAGATTTAACAATGAATATTTTTTACTGTATAGGAATAAGCTGAAGAATCCCCCTCCCCGGGAGTTAAAAGAAAAATTATAATTATAAAGTTATGATACATATCTCTCATTGTTTTCCCAAATAAGTAATGTTTTATGAAAATCCATTTAAATATCAACATAAATATTAAAAATCATTTGAATATCTTAACATTTGAAAATAGACTTGGAGGTAGGCCGGAGAACAATACTATCGTTCGCAGTTCTTCTATTTTCTGATTTTTTTCATATCAAGAATTCAATGTAAATAATATACCAAAAGATTTTTAAGTCAAAATTCAAAGCATTGATCATTTCAAAATATCAAAATTTAAAATGATTTTTAATCAAAAATTTTATTATTTATTTTGATTTTTTGATAATGTGATGTAGTATCAGTTGAACATAGATGTGATGCTATATACAAATTTGGGTTTCTTATTGTTTGCTGTTTTCTCTGTTTATATTTTCTAAACTTTCAGGCCCATATGGACGTAGCAGTCTTGCTAATGAAAAATGTACACAAACCTTTAGAAGAAGTGGCGATAAACAAAAAGAATCAGACTCAGAAACTCAATTCTTACCGAGACCAGTTCGAGGAGACCATGGATAAAGTGGAACACGACCTTCAAGTCGTACGTATTCATGCTTTCTCTTAGGTCGGCGTTTTAGCAATTCGTCTCAAACTTCAATACTCCACATGCTTCTCTGAGTCTGACCTATACATTTTAACCCTTGAAATAACTCTCTTACGAAAATGATATACAGCTCTAAATTCAGCTTACAACAATTGGTATTCAATCAAGCAACCTGCGATGATTTTGTATGCTTCACAAAATAGTTAGGTTACAAAAGGCCTATATCATCTGATGTTCTATAAACATGTGCTTTTATTTATCCCCTTGCAACGGGCTTGGAGGGAATATAGTAATTGCAATCGTGTGTGTGTGTGTGTGTGTGATGTTTGTTTGTAAGTGTGTTATGACCTGTGTAAAACGGAAGTGACGTAATTTGCATCGGATCGATGTTGAATGCTGTCTATGATGCTCCGCTTTGCTGTGTCTTTGTTTGTTTAAAATTTTTCATTTATTCTTTTTATTTATCTGGGTGTATACTTGGTTTTGGCTATGATCATATTTTAAATCATCGTGTGATTTTACCACAATAGTTAAATTTTGAGGACGACAACAACATTTATACCAGACTTTAGGTTACACGAATAAAAAGTTGCTGAAATTAAGGGGTTTTTTTTAGGGGGGGGGGGTACTTTTTATTTCTTTTCGTATTTTTTTCCTATTTTCAAATCTTCCGTTGGAGTTAAAGAGAGATAACTGCATGGACTTGGAAGACATCAATAAAATCAATTAAAAAGACGATAATTCAAGTTTTTTACGGTCACATCTTCATCAGCCGTTCATTTTAAATTCAAAATTCAATCGAGATTGATTCTTGCCACAGGATGATGGTAAATCGACTCCAAAATTAACGCAAATTCGGAATTAAAGTTCACGTGCGAACGCAAATCAGGCTTACATTCGTATTATGAGGAAAATCCAATCACTCTGAGTAGGTAAAATAACAATAATGGCAGATTTAGCTGGTTCATCCGCTCGCCATTAAAATCTGAGCTCTTGCGTGAACAAGAATAAATGACATTTATCAACATTCTATGCCTTTGTGTAAGAGGGCAGAGACGAATTTTTCTTCTTTATAAACTAAATAAAATATTTTAAAAAATATTTTTTAAGTATTTTATCGTCTTGCTTTTATTTTAATAGAGATTTTTTTATTATTTTCTTTTAGGATATATACAAGCAATTAATATTTAGTACAATAAAAAATTTGGAAAACTATTGTAACCTTTGCAAGGGCAACTTTTATTATTTACTATTACATGTAATTTTAAAAAATGAGAGTGATAAATTAATTCCATGGTCAAAATACTACTCCTAGCTCAGCTAAGATTCAAAACATTGTAAAAATGGACTTCAACCAAATTTTTGGAGAAGTTTTTGCAATTTAACTCTTTTCAGGATTATTTATTTACTCGAGTGATACAACAACCTTTGTGAAGGGAAGGAAAATTGAGAGTTTTTCCGCAATTCTTTTGATATTCTCTCACACTGTGATGGAATATCATTTTGATATCTTATCACACTCTGATAAGATATCACTTTTATTCAATACATAAATCACAGTATTTCACGGTTGAAAATTTAATAAATTTTACTTTATAAAAAAAAAATACGAAGCGTGTATAATAGATTTTTTAAATTTTGGTAACAATTACACGTATTTCTTGTAGTTTAGCAGCTAACTAAATCTAAGGGGGATTTCCAGCTCAAAACTCATCTCTTAGACATTCTGTCTCAATATTCATTTATGACCCCGGGGACCAGAGTGCACAGGGAAAGTCAAATTTTACGCCAAAAACGTTTTACTTCAGTATTTAGGACCTTTATTTTTTTTTTTCTAAGAAAGTACAAATTAAGTGCATGCAACTATTTTTAATTGATGTAAAAGGCAGAGGACATAATTTGTTACCTTTTTTTCAACACACTAGGACTCATCCCTTTTTAATGAAAGCGTTTGGTAAAATTATACGTCTATACTATTTTGGGATCTGCTATTTCACTTTTATCTCCAATAGTAGTCTGTTAATATATTTTTTTGTACTTTTCAAATTGAAAAAAAAAAATTCACATGCAGTATATAGATGTCTAGACAGTAAAGAAAACTTTTAAATAACGTAAAAACGCTTCATACAAAGATTTTAATTTCTGTAATTGTATTAAATTAACATCAACTGAAGAGAGAGGGGACAAATATTGATTGTATTTTCAACTGGACTTAAAACAGTTCTGTGAGGAAGAACCATGCATTTTCATTGCTCAATATACACCAAAAGCAATAGAATAAGTATTTTCTGTTGGCATAGCTCCAAACAAAACAATCAACAGGTGTACTTTTATGATTTTATCCCCTCTCAACGGAGTAAGAGGGGATATGGTAACACGCTCGTAAGGGTATGTTAGTTTGTGTGTGTGTGTGTGAGGGTGTGTGTGTGTGTGTGTTAGGGTGTGTGTGTTAGTTTGTACAGTAGTTGCGTGAAACGGAAGCGACATTTGCATCGGGATCAATGTTGAATATATGCTTTTTGCGCGGGGATACTCCGTTTTGTAACACCCTGTGAAAATTGTGTCCTCCCATTCAGGCCATTGACAATGCCATTTTTAAAACATTTGAGATACGAGGGGAGGGGGATCAGCAAGTTAACCCCCTCCCCTCAAAAATGGTCGAATCGAAGCCTTTTGTGCTCTCTCTCTCTGTGACAGTCTCTGTTTTATTATAGGCAGAAAAGAACTACGAGACTTCAGTGAAGCTTTACCAGACCAGTTCTAACTATAACGCCAGCCTTCAGTTCCACAGTGCTCACAACGAATACCTTTGTCAACTGTGTGCTTCCAACAGGACAATAGAGGAGTTCCAATATCTCATTCCACAGGTCTTAGAGGTATAGAACACTTGTCCCAACAATTATCTCAAATCCTGACAGTTCCATCATCCGAGAATAATGACCTTGTCTTAACTAGCTGGTCTGAAAACTGCGCAAGATTCTTGGCCAAGATCTTGCAGTCTAAGAGGGACAACTCTAAAATCAACGAATCACTATTTCCGTCAAAAATGATTTTCTCAACATGATCACATGAGTTGTATGGGTTGTATATACAAAAAATATGTTATATGTTATTACTCAATACATGTATACACAAAACTAATATATTTTATATTTACTTTTGACCAGGAGCTAGAGGAGATTTATATAGACACCAGTAACACTGTCAACATAGCCATGGAGAGTCACGCGTTAATGCTGCTCACCAAGGTATGATGTGTATATATATTAGGTCAAACGACTGACATTCAGAAAAGTATTTCATAAATATGTTGATATGAAAAGAATATATTAACCAAAGCAGTTCATTCCAAGAGAAAATAAAGTACTAGTACTGTCTTAAATAAACGATATCATACATAAATGTTTTAGACTATATTGTGATGAGTTGAGAATACTATGAAGTATTGAAATGCTATAATCAAGAATCTCTAATAAGTACAACTGCCCTCAGAGATCTGTCATAAGTGGGTTACACTGTACTCATTTAAATCACTAAAGTACAGCTGCCCTCAATGATTTGTAATAAGATGAGTACAATTTGTTCTTTAAGTTTCACTGCTCTCATTAAATAAGTAGGGCAAGGTGGATAACTCTGGCAGGCTTCCAATATTTACATCACATCAATGCCAGAGAAGATCATATAGTTTGGTTGTGGTGTGCGACAATGCAGTGCCAAAAGCTAGTTAAAAGACATGTCGATCGTATTGACTTAATTTACTTGCCGTAATTAAATTGTGTTCTGTATAGAATTAAGAAACTAAGGATCTGGGTTAGCTGTAATTCCTGTGTCACATCAGATTAGTGCAGATGCCACTGCAGGTTTGGATACCATATGTTCTGTGGGACTCCATAGAAATGATACTGGTAATTGCACAGTCACAGTTTGAAATGTTGAATTTGTTCTTTAGACTACCTACTGGTGTTAAAGTGTAAATGTTTAATCATGTTGATTTGATCAGAAATTTCAGAAATCAAATTCAAAGATCTGTAATGTTTTTGTTTTACATGAAAATATGTTACTGTTATAAGTAAAACAGAAATAAGAAATTAGGGTTTATCTGATAAGCCCTAACCATGGTACCTGATTAGCGCCCTTATCTTGGAAGTCTAATTAGTGTCCTAATCAATATGGCGCTTATCGGATGATATAAATGTATTAAGTGTCTTGACACCTAACAGTGGTGCAGAGGCCCTAATACTTGGAGCCGATTGCCCTCATAGGTGCCCTAATGATGGAGCCTAACGTCCTAACAGAGTGCCCTAATGATGGAGCCTAACGCCCTAACAAGGTGCCCTAATGATGGAGCCTAACGCCCTGACAGGTGCCCTAATGATGGAGCCTCACGCCCTGACAGGTGCCCTAATGATGGAGCCTAACGCCCTAACAAGGTGCCCTAGGCCATACCAATTTCTAATATAGTTCGTCGGATTCGCCGCTTCTATTTTTAACAAATCAAAATTATAATATTAAAAAAAATAAATTTCGCGCGCGCGTCCACAAATTTTTTTCTCGACTTTTTACACAAAACGCATAGAAGACTTGGAAATTTGTATGAGAGAAGCGCGGGATTTAGTGTTTGTTTGTACTTTTTAGCAGTCTGTGAAGTTTTGCAAGACGCTCGTGTAACTGTTTGTATGTACTAGGGGTGAGCAATTAGCATATCCAAACAACCCGGGCTACCATTTTTGGGGATCAGGCTAGGTGTTTTCTGCAAGGAGGTAGCACGTCGGGCTAGTAAAAAACATAACTACACACGCAATGCAACAATGACAAGAACAATCGGTATTTTCACTTGTATTTATTATAAAATTCCCAATCAGTTGAAATTTTCCAGACAACGTGCTCCTATCGTAAATAAATCTTCATAATCTTATCTGTTTTGTAGTTCTATCTGACTTAAGTACTCCCAAAAACGATCGTTTTTTCCTAATCCGAATTTCCTCTATTCCTCCATTTATGGTAAATACATGCAGATATCTCATTAAATTATTTACGATTATCCAATGAACTGAAAAATAAGTGTTTTATGACTCACATAAAATATATTTCCAGTGTATTTAATGATTTAAGATGAAAACAAAATGATTTTGATTATAGCTAGTGCAATGATCAAGAAAAAGGGAAGATAATTCATTTAAATTAATTTAATTTTTTTTTCATAACAATTTATGCATGCTTAATATTGATAGTGAGAACTTTTAACTTTAATTTTAAAAAGAATGACCCCAGTACCCTGACTTTTTCAGCAATTAATTTCTTCTCCAAATTAGAATTTATTTTAATTTTTGCCCCTCAGTTTGGGTAAGTAACTTTTTACTAGGGGCTATTAACTTGAAAGCTGCCACTAGCCTGTGGGAAAGTACTTGATTTTTTTGACAATTGCACACCCCTGTGTACTAGAGAAGAACTTACAAATTTCTGCCACTAATATTAATTATATTCGCTCGCCTCATAATTTTGAAAACTGAAAAAATAAATATTTGTAAAATATTTTCGCTCGCTCGCCTCTCTTTTTATTTTTGAAAATCCGAAGAACTATGTTACAAATTGGTGTGGCCCTAACGATGGAGCCTAACGCCCTAACAGAGTGCCCTAATGATGGAGCCTAACGCCCTAACAAGGTGCCCTAAATCACGTTAGGTGTCAGACAGGGTATATAAGGAGAGAGAGTTAGTGAGTTGATATTAGTGATGGGGAATCGGAAAAAAATCAGAATCGATTATCGGTAATAATCCGATGGGTATAATCGATTAATAATCGATTATAATCGAAATTTTTAACTATAATGAAATTAATATAGAAAAGTTAAAACTAATTCAGATTTCTGTCAGACTTTTACCAAAAATTCATTTACATACATAAAATATTCAAAAATGTTAATTGAAATTTCTTTTTTTTAAGTGGAAAATAATATTTTGTTTACTCTAAACAATGTAGGACTATTAAAAACAGAATGGGAATTTATTTTTTTATAAAAGTCCATGCTATGGGTATTTTACTGAAATTAGTCCCACTTTTCATTTAATACATGTATCTATTTCTTTTATTTAGTTTTAATTAGTTAAAATTGCAAGTTTTAAAAGTAGTTATCCAGAAGAAAGACTTGTATTTCTTATTATAATTACGTTTAAAGATTGACTAAACTAATTATGTTTTCCTTTGTATATAGTAAAAGCTTGCAATATCACCGTTTCCTTGTTTTAGTCTGATCCCATATTTAATCATGGCGGTAACGGAATCCTTTCATGTTTTCAACATTCATCACTACTTTAATGCTCTTTGCACTTGGATTTGGTAATAAAATTAAAGTATGACAATTTCGTTTTTTGTTAGCGATGTCGGCGACATTTATTTTATAATCGATTAGTAGCATCGAAGAGCTTCTAACGACCGACAATCGATTGTCGGCGACAATCGTTCCATCACTAGTTGATATACATAGCTTGGATTTGATTTGTAAAACTACTCTTGGATATTATTAATACACTTGTTGAAACGAACTTTGTCGTTGTTCTTATGTTAGATCTATAAAGATCTAGAGTTCCTGAATTTATACACGGGATCCACAATATTTTGTGACGTGGGTAAAAACAAACACCCCATAGAGAAAAAAACGTTACAATTGGTGGCAGCGGTGGGATCCAAAGAAGTTATTCTACGTGTAACACAGGAACGGGACAGCACTGAGTTTGAAATGGAGACACCCATCGTAAGGAGGAAAGTTACGCCTAGAAAGGTAGGACGGTACTTCGACAGTCCAGCTCCTCTGAATGACTCTGGAATAGAGGTTGATTTTGGGTGTAGAACAGATTTGAAGCCCACAAGTCGAGTAATGCCAGACAGTCCTAACTTTCAGGATAACGAGTTCAGGCAAAACTTGCAGGGTCTTTCTGTTCAAAACGAGTACAATCCAAGGCCAAGCTTAAAGAGAATCCTATTTATTTGGATACTCTTTGCTTTGATGGGATGTTCCCTGATGGTGATGACCTGGATCCATTTTCCAGAGAATGAGATCGTGCAGGAATCTCAAGAAAATGCAGTAATTTCTCTAATATCGATAACGAGTATGCAGGGATTTATCTAGCTATTTTGTTTTACTACCGTTTTATATGTAAAGGGGAAAAATGAGAGCCGCAGGCTCGATCTGAGCGCCGGAGGCGCGAGTATTCTAGGGGGGTCCGGGGGCATGCCCCCCCGGAAAATTTTTAAATAAATGGAGCAAAATCCTGCATTCTTAGAGCTTCTGAGGGTCATTTGTAGACCTTTACAAAGACCACAAAAACTTCCCTTTTTAGGCAAAATACTAAATAACACACACACAAAAAATTTAACCAGGTCAGGACTTTATTTAATTTTTTCTCTAAATATCTATCACAAATCAATTCTGTTTTTCATGTTTCACTACTAACATTGTTTTTGTTGTTACTCCATTCTTCCGATTCATAGTGATATAAGCTCCATCTTACTCATCTACACTTTTCTTTTTAACTCTGCAATCGCACGCCTATCTTTCGACATCATGGACTTGGCACATGTTTACCGATCAATATCAAATAAAAGCTTGAATAATATATTCTTTCTTTTAAAAGCGTTTGAATGACTAGGATGGTAAATTAGCTGTAAAACTTCAATCGGACAAAAACGGAAAATTTCAGAACGATGTTTTAAATATTCTCCGTTTAATCGGAGAATTTTCTATCTGAAAAAGGGGAATTTTTGCACCTTTTTCAAGAGGGGAAAGGTACCGTTTACCGGTAGTAAAAACAGCCTTGATAAATCCCTGGTATGATATTGCTTGCTACGGTAATCAGAGTATTATGGAAGTATGCAGGATCAGGTCTGCTGAATGCCAGTAAGGAAAGGGAAATTTCTTTGATACCCAGTGATACACCCTATACTGGTGGTAGTGCACCTAATGCCCCTACAGGTACCTATCAGGAACCTACAGTTTCTGGGCAATCTGGACGCACTACTCCTTATTTGGGTAATCTGTCTCCTCAGGGACTTGGGTACAATTTTGAATTTCCTGTTGCTGACGGGACACCTACAAACAGTCTTACGACACCAAATGATGGTCAACGAACCAATGAATACCCAGTAAGGAGGACCTTCTCAGGGGCCAATGATGATGTTTGGGATGAGTTTCTACAATATTTTGAAAACATCTCAGAATTAAACTCATGGAGACCCGAGAAATCTCGCAGAGCTTTACTTAGCACCTTACGAGGACAGGCCGAGAGCTATGCGTATGGAATGCCCCTTACTGTACAAAAAGATTATGAGCATCTTAAGGATAAAATGAATCAAAGATTCGGGCATTCTGCAATGAAAGAAAGATATATTGCCGATGTCAAATTAAGGAAGAGACGACCTGGTGAGTCCTTGCGAGATTTTGGGCAGGCCATCGAAGATCTTTACCGAAGGGCCTATCCAGGAAATCCAGATTTAGTGGAAGACAATGCTATACAGACCTTCTTAGATAAATGTGGACAATCTGAGGATTTTCGACTCGCAGTGAAACGGACCAGAACCCAGGACACTCCAAGAAGCAGTTCTTAATGCGATGCAAGAAGAATGCTTACGAATTGGGGAAAAAGAATTGATAAAGGAGACCAAACCAGGCTACAGACCTGTGTATGAGGTCGAAGATGGGGATTTGAATAATGAAATAGCAGCTGCGGATACTGCCAAACCTCCAAGCGCGGGTGATGGATTCAACAGTATCTATAAAAACATGAGAACCCCAAGTACTTGTACCAGTACAGGACCAGGGAGGAGGGGACGCCCTTACAACCCGTGGAACCAGAAAGAAGGAGGAAGACTTCAACAAAGTGACAGTTCTCGAGACCATAGTTGTGTTGAAAAGGGTACTGTAAGGAATTATATTAACTAAGATGACTGATGCCGCAGGTCAGGTGTCAGTCAACTTTATACGGCCTAAAACCTAGGGAAGAAAAGCCTATATCAGAAAAAAAGGGAAGAGAAAATGTTGAAGAAAAAAAAAGGCCAGGGAAATCCAAATGTGAAGCTACCAGTGTAATGAACTTTTGATTTAATCTAGTGACATTTTTATTTAATATAATTTTGTTGTTTTACCTTTTGTCTTTTTGATTGTTTGGCTTTTGTATATTGAGCATTTTTATTATTTGCGTAATGTGATTTTACGTATAATTCATGTTCATGTTTTAAATACCCTGGTATTGATGACAATGGAAGTCATGTTTCAAAAGGAGGGACCAATGTAATGTTTTTGTTTTACATGAAAATATGTTACTGTTATAAGTAAAACAGAAATAAGAAATTCGGGTTTATATGATAAGCCCTAACCATGGTACCTGATTAGCGCCCTTATCTTGGAAGTCTAATTAGTGTCCTAATCAATATGGCGCTTATCAGATGATATAAATGTATTAAGTGTCTTGACACCTAACAGTGGTGCAGAGGCCCTAATACTTGGAGCCGATTGCCCTCATAGGTGCCCTAACGATGGAGCCTAACGCCCTAACAGAGTGCCCTAATGATGGAGCCTCACGCCCTGACAGGTGCCCTAATGATGGAGCCTAACGCCCTAACAAGGTGCCCTAACGATGGAGCCTAACGCCCTAACAGAGTGCCCTAATGATGGAGCCTAACGCCCTAACAAGGTGCCCTAAATCACGTTAGGTGTCAGACAGGGTATATAAGGAGAGAGAGTTAGTGAGTTGATATACATAGCTTGGATTTGATTTGTAAAACGTACTACTCTTGGATATTATTAATACACTTGTTGAAACGAACTTTGTCGTTGTTCTTATGTTAGATCGATAAAGATCTAGAGTTCCTGAATTTATACACGGGATCCACAATATTTTGTGACGCGGGTAAAAACAAACACCCCATAGAGAAAAAAACGTTACAGATCTTTTTTTAATACTTCAACTGTGTAAGCTGATTTTCCCCCAACGAACTAATCAGAAACTCACCTTCCTGGCTTGACAATCCAGTTGTTATTGATAAGATGTTTGAAAACTTTTGTAGATATATTTGAGATACCTTGAATTCAATCAATATTCTTTCCTTATTTTGATCCCAGAGGCTGAGGTATTTACATCTCTACGCTACATTACCTAGCAATGATTAGCTTAGGGCTTATTAGTCCGAAATATCTGATGATTTCCTGGCATGTAAAATATCAAAATCATAAAAAAGCCTGGAAAACGTCAGATATTTCGGACTAATGGCTTATAAGGAAAAGGATTTTTTTAAAATTGTAATTTTTTGTTGAATTTTGTTATCTTTTGATTTATGGCTTTTTAAAAGTATTTTTAATACCTATAATAAGAAGATATATAATCTAAAATCAAGAATAAAAGTTTGTAATTGATACAAAACTATGCAGGAAATTGTTCTAATAATGAACTGCTATAATTTTTGCATTATAAAATTGTGGCATTGGTATTTCTTAATGTGTATGACCTAGCCCTTCCTTGTTTGACCTTGCTTCAGGGTCATTACACTTGTCATGATCTGATGATGATGCAACCAGATTGGGACACATATTAACTGGTATTCCCAGAGGGATATACCACTTTCAAAATTCTATCCATGCAATCCCATGGGCAGATCTGGAGTAATCTATTATTATTTACACTAGCTGCAAACAAGATGCAGTGCCAAGCCCTTATTTCAATACAAAAAATGTCATTTTATAATTGACAATTAATGGAAGTGAATCTTTAAGCTTTTTGAGAATGTGATATTAGTACATTATACCTTCCTCTTCAAAATTGTTTTCATAATTTATGGCTATTATGATTTTCCTCCCAAATTTATGATCGATTTATCTCTCATCTGATGTATTCTGATTTTTATTTTTAATTTCTTGGACAGGCAGATGAGCAGCACAATCGTTTTAAGGAGATGTTGAAGTTCTGTCGTCAGGTGAATCCACAACTTGATATCTCGTATTTCATGAACGCCATCAACACAGAGCCAACAAAGATGGAGATATCTACTCACACCTTCAGACCGGCAGACGTCAATATCTACAACACAGAGGTAATACTGTGTTAATGGAAATTTCAGCGAGACGCAAATTTAGCGATCTGTTCCTAAAAACTGGTATTTTATTTTTAGTGAGATGTAATTTTAGCAATTTTAAAATGCTCACTTAAGAACCTATAACAAATAAAATGCAATGAATTTTTAAAGCATTGGTATTTCCATTTATACCAATTACAATTCTGAGTCTAAACTTAATAGCAGAAACATGTGGAGGAAAGTAAATTGCATGCATGGATAAACGGAGCTGACCTTGAATTCCACGGCAGGCTGTTTGTTGGAAACCTCTCTCTCAATTTGCTAAATCAATGTATCCAATGTAATACAAACAGCTCGAGCTAGGTGTAAACAGAAATCTATCATCAGGCACCTGAAGAGAAATCTGGGTTAATTCACAGAACTCACAAACCCTAAGTCTAGGATAAATTTAAAGAACTGTCAGAAAAATAAAGTGAATTTTAGGAAAAATTCAAAGAGCTAAGAAATTACCCCGAAGTAAAATAAGGATAAATTCATGGAATGCATTTGAGTTCTTTTAATTTATCTCAATTTTTACTTCTCAGTTTTTAGCTCACCTGAGCTGAAAGCTCAAGTGAGCTTTTCTGATCACCCGGTGTCCGTCGTCCGTCCGTCCGTCCGTCTGTAAACTTTTCACATTTTCAACTTCTTCTCAAGAACCACTGGGCCAATTTTAACCAAACTTGGTACAAAGCATCCTTGGGTGAAGGGGAATTTAAATTGTTAAAATCAAGGGCCAAGACCCCTTCCAAGGGGAGATAATCAAGAAAATACGAAAATAGGGTGGGGTCATTAAAAAATCTTCTTCTCAAGAACCACTGGGCCAGAAAAGCTGAAATTTATGTGGAAGCATCCTGGGGTAGTGTACATATTAAATTGTTAAAATCATGACCCCCGGGGGTAGGGCGGGGCCACAATAGGGAATCCAAGTTTTAAATAGAAATATATAGAACAAATCTTTAAAAATCTTCTTCTCAAGAACCACTGGGCCAGAAAAGCTGAAACTTATGTGGAAGCATCCTTGGGTAGTGTAGATATTAAATTGTAAAAGTCATGACCCCCGGGGGTAGGGCTGGGCCACAATAGGGAATCCAAATTTTACATAGAAATATATAGAACAAATCTTTAAAAATCTTCTTCTCAAGAACCACTGGGCCAGAAAAGCTGAAACTTATGTGGAAGCATCCTTGGGTAGTGTAGATATTAAATTGTAAAAATCATGACCCCCGGGGGTAGGGCGGGGCCACAGTAGGGAATCCAAGTTTAACCTAGAAATATATAGAATAAATCTTTAAAAATCTTCTTCTCAAGAACCACTTGGCCAGGAAAGCTGAAACTTATGTGGGAGCATCCTTGGGTAGTGTAGATATTAAATTGTAAAAATCATGACCCCCGGGGGTAGGGCGGGGCCACTATAGGGAATCCAAGTTTAACCTAGAAATATATAGAATAAATCTTTAAAAATCTTCTTTTCAAGAACCACTTGGCCAGGAAAGCTGAAACTTAAGTGGAAGCATCCTTGGGTAGTGTAGATATCAAATTGTTAAAATCATGACCCCGGGGGTAGGGCGGGGCCACAATAGGGAATCCAAGTTTAACCTAGAAATATATAGAACAAATCTTTTAAAAATCTTCTTTTCAAGAACCACTGGGCCAGGAAAGCTGAAACTTAAGTGGAAGCATCCTTGGGTAGTGTAGATATTAAATTGTTAAAATCATGACCCCTGGGGGTAGGGCGGGGCCACAATAGGGAATCCAAGTTTTACATAGAAATATATAGAACAAATCTTTGAAAATCTTCTTCTCAAGAACCACTGGGCCAGGAAAGCTGAAACTTTGTGGGAGCATCCTTTGGTAGTGTAAATATTAAATTGTTAAAATCATGACCCCCGGGGGTAGGGCGGGGCCACAATAGGGAATCCAAGTTTTACATAGAGTTTATTGAACAAATCTTTTAAAATCTTCTTTTCAAGAACCACTAGGCCAGGAAAGCTGAAACTTATGTGGAAGCATCCTTGAGTAGTGTAGATTTTTAAATTGTTAAAATCATGACCCTCGGGCGTAGGGTGGGGCCACAATGGGGAATCCAAGTTTTACATAGAAATATATATAGAACAAATCTTTTAAAAAGAACTGCATCACCCAAGTTACTCAGGTGAGCGATGTGGCCCATGGGCCTCTTGTTACTTCTTGTGTCCAAGTTCTGTAAATTTATCCTATGGGCCAGAAAAGACAAAACTTTGTGAAAGCCAATATTTATACACAATTAACAATTATAGAAGATCAACTGTTTTACATAGGAGTAATGTAAGGAAAAATCTGTAAAAGTCATGATTAGTCATATAAATATACCAAACTATCCTCAGTTATTGTACAGTTTAAATTATACACTTTTCCCTTCCCCTGCTGGATTGGGTGGGGTTGGGATGGAGGGAGAGGGAACACTTAGATCCTTAAATGATTTCTGGTTTTTTCTTCAAAGTTTTCATTAGCTGCAGATCTGTAGCTCTCCGAAAAAAATATATTGATAGACCGGAGAGCTACAGTGCCACCCATTGAAAAAACTGTATATTTATTGCGCACAAAAGAGTGCGCTCGGTTCTCGATTTATTTCTCCATGTTTTTAAAACTGTAATTTCAAAATATTACTAACCGTGTGTTCCTAACATATTCTTTCGCTGTTTCCACATCCAAACATTCCTCATAATTGTTGTTAATAGTCCTCCAGGCCCTGATATTGTAATCATCGAACATTTCGCTTATTTATACTGCCATTTTGGTTTCAAAGATAATTCAGTCCAATATGCTTCGTTCAGATGTCAACTACGAGAGTACTTGATTGAGGATAAAGGAATTTTTTGAAATCTTTCCTTTTTTGCAGTTGAGGTAAGAATTTGGAAGAATTAATCTAGAACCGAGTGCACTTTTTGTGCGCAATAAATATACAGTTTTTTCAATGGGTGGCACTGTAGCTCTCCGGTCTATCAATATATTTTTTTCGGAGAGCTACAGATCTGCAGCTAAGTTTTCATGAGAGTGATATGGCCCGTAGATCTCATGTTTACTTATTACTTACTAAAACATTTGAACAAAATTATTCCATATTTCAATCAGACATACTCTTTTTTTCACTACCCTCTAGTTTTCATACTGAGTGAGGTGATCTGAGTGAGTCAGGGAATGGTCATCCAAGCAGACCATTCCAAGAGTGGAACATACCGCTATTGGCTTCTCACATCAAATGCTGTCAAGTGTCAAAGTGAATTATTATCTTTTAATGTTAATTATGTAATGTTTTCTTCATCTTTGTCTCGGGACATGACGTGCACATCTCTTCAGCTTCAAGTATCTGCACTTCACTAACAATTTAAAATCAGGGCAATTCAAACAGAGAGATGGCCAAATATTTATAAACAGCCAGAGAGAGAGAGAGATAGAGAGAGAGATGGGGTGAGGAGAGAGAGAGAGACGTGACTTCTGGTGGAGGGTAGACTGGACACCTGGGTTGATTATAGAATCATCTGACATTGTGTCCAGTATCTTTACTGCTCTAACCCCCCTATACATGCTCTCTGGCAGCTGATGCAAGCTCTGCTGTCAGTTTTCTGTCAGAGTTCATTATTTTGAAGTTCTGACATCAGCACCAAGAAACACAAAAGCTAGAAGCTCTCTAATACACTCAAGTCAGAGAGTGCCTTCTTTTACAATATTACTTGTTTACTTCACTTAAGGGGATAAAAATTAAACAAAAAACGATTGTTTTCTCATTATTTTCTAATCTTCTACACCAAGTTCATGTGTTCCGTTGCATCTATCATTGTTGCTTTCTTCAGAAGTTGTATTGTACACTGACTACACTCTATGGCTGATTTATAAATTTAATCTACCAAGTAATAATGCTTGTTAGATAGGCCAGGATTAATGGCATCTTTGATGTTTACTATTTGTTTACGAGGCATTTTTTCTTACCCCTGTGTTACAGAGATAAAGGAAGTTTGGTGATGTAATAGTCAACAAAAAACATCTCACTAAATGTGCAAATTTCTACATCAAAACCTGCATGTCTGATATTTTTCATTTTGTAAAAGCTTGTCTTAATTCATTGCATGTTGCAGTTAAAAAAACTGGAGGTATTTTATCAATTATTTTGTTATTTAGCAGGAATTTTTCTAAAATAAACATGATATCTAATGTAAAAAAAATTAATAAAAAAAGAATTACATATCAAATATTTCACACATGATGTAATTGAGATGAACATTATATAGATAATTTTTAATAAAATAGATTTAAATTCAGTCACATTTTTAAGTGAAGATAACTAAAGTAAAACCTACTGCATTTATTTTAAAATTTGTCTGCAAATTTTGTTGGCCATTCTGGGTCTGTCGTCATAAACCATACTTAAGTCTGAGAATGTTCTCGAGTCTGAGAATTTTCTCAAATCCAAAATTTTCAGACTCAGCGGCCATCATAAAAAAATAGAGAAAAATAAAAATTCCTTAAACTCTGTTTTATTCTCAAATTCTCAGCTGAGTAATTCTCAAGACTTGAGTTGAGAATTTTTTTGAGAATTCTCAAAGTTTAATGACGGCGGACCCATAAGGTGGGGGAAACTTTAGGTATAATCAGCTGTAACAGAATCAGAAATCACTATACTCCCCTCAATAAATTTTGCTCACCAATTATTAAATTATATTGCTGCGCTGGGGAGTAAAATTAGGACTAGAAAATTAAACAGCATTATAAAACTCTCACTGATTTCCCCAAATCTTTATAAAAAAGTATGCTCACTTTTATTTGGGTGCCTTGTTGTTCTTAAGGAGTTAACAGATCCATTACTACTTGAAGCAATTAAAGGAATTATTTTTACCCTTTCTAAGCTAGAACCTGTTTTTAAAACCAAGTTTCTGAAATAAGACAGCACGATTTAAAAAAAAATTCACTGAAAGACATGAACTGTAGCTTCTTTTATCTTTTATTTTTAGTTCATACTAAGGACCCATGTGACTGGATAAAGAAAACTTTCATAAACTTTTTATTAAGAACTTAAAAGTTAATATGAATCAGATACAACCTGTATTGCCTACATAACAATGTCCTTAATAAACATATTTAAGGAAAACAGTAAAACTCGGTTATAATGAAGTCACTGGACCTATGAAATTACTTCGCTATATCTGTAATTGACTATCCTTATAAGAAATACATTAAGATATAAAAGCTAGGTATCCAAGATAACTTCGCTATATCTGTGAATTCGCAATATCTGTGTTCGTACTAAACGAGTTTTACTGTAACTGTCTAGTTTTTGGTTTCATGATGTGATCAATTGAGTGGCTTGTGTGATAATTTGCATAAACACCCAAGGCGTTTATAAATATTGCATAAAATTATCATGCAAGCCAATCGATTGATCACTGTCATGAAACCAAAAAATTTGAAGTTATTCCTTATATTTACATGCTCTTGATTCCGCCATAGTCCATGTGCTGCAAACCCCGCTTCTGTCTCTATTCCCGCCCCGCACATGATTTTTTTAACCACGCCTATCGATGAACCAATAGATTTATGTAGCAATAAAGTACAATTTTGCTGTTTCTAAACTTATCACTGACAAAGACATTGGAAATGTAAATATTTATACTGTATTACTATAAATAAATACTGTCAGCTATCCACTGTTTGTGGTTACAACTATTCACACTTGTTTTTTTTACCCAGATTTTCTCTGCTGTAGAACCTGACAGTGAATCATCTTATCATAGATTCCCACACAGAGTCATCTATCCACTGTGTTTGGATAACTATCCACTGTGTTTGGATAACTATCCAATCTTTGAGTGGTTAACTATATCCACACTGTAAGAGGTTAATCCAGATTTTATCTGTTGTAGAACCTGACAGTGAACCATCTTATCATAGATCCCCACACAGAGTCTACCATCAAGGATCGACGACAGAAACTTCAGAAGGAAGCCGCCGTACTGACCTCCTACATCAAACACAATCAGGACAACATACACACACTGATGATGATATGTCAAAGGTCAGTATCTATGTAGTTATATACTGATAGGTCAAAGGTTATGAAATTCACTTAAAGATAGGTCAAAGGTCAGCAATTACTTATCGTGATACGTCTCATAAACAATAAACTCAAAGTAAATAGTTGTATAAAATCACTCTATGTTTATTAAACATTCTTGTGGAGAATTTTTCATTTAATTGGAGACATCATTCCCTTAAATAAATGGAGAATTGTGTAAGACCTGTACTTGGTACTCAGGGGTAGGAATCTTTTTTGTGACAGCACCATTTGTGTTTGTTTGTTGTTTAACATCCCTCTTGAGAATTTTTCACTCATATGGAGACACCACCACTGGCCGATGGAGAGCTGCAATTTTCTTAATATACTCAGCACTCAGGGCCATTGGGCAGTAAGGGATCTTTTTTGTGCCAGCATCTACTGTGAAACAGGATCTTGTTTTATACAGTATCATCTCTTCAAGGACTGGTCTCCATGTCACTCAGTTAGATTCAAACCTGTGACATAAGGATAAACTCATTATGCCAAGACTCTAGAGCAGACACCCTACCACTGCGCCATGTGGGCGACTAGCATCTACTGTGACATAGCACCTGAGGTTATACTGTCTCATCTGAAGGACCAGTATACACATTCTACCGTGGAATCTGAACCTGAAACATATGGATCAGTTCCATACTCTCCAACTCTAACAACTGTGACATGTGGATGACAATCACACTACGTAAAGGGAAGGAAAGTATATGACTGTATAGAGTTTTGCAGTAATTGTTATACTTTATCTGTGAATATATCACTTCTCACTGTGAAAATATTATTTGCAAATAGATCACTTTCATTCAAGGGATAAATTACAGTATTTCACTGTAGGAAATATAATAAAAAAGTAAAATAGCTTATTTTTAAAAACAATCAATTCGATTGTATAATGTAGACTTTGCAAAGAAAACCATTTCTTTCTTAATTTTTTTTGCAATGTCAGTAGCCGTGTGGGTTATAACGTATATCAGGGGTTTAGTTGCTTCATTACAGAGATACAGGTAAATAAACATCTCAAACTACCAGATAACTTGATCCAATCTCAGATCTCCTTAATAAACATGTACAGAAAACAACAGGCCACAGTATCAGTTATCACGATTTTCTCACTTTTATGTACGTCAGGGGTGAACTCTGATTTTGAGGTCAGTGTACTCTTGCAAAATTCAATTCACAGCAGTGTTCAAATATATTTTAATTCGTAGACTAGATATAATCTAAATTGCCTCTGTAACACAGTGTAAGATTCAGTAATATGGAGCAAGGGTAGATAATGAAGTCAGGGGCATTAGATGGACCATGAATTATTGTAGAGTCAGTGAAAATGTTATGGCATCTCCACTTTATGTGTGGAGTCATAGAAAATGTATAGGCAACATGACCTAAGGGTGTGTCATGACCTTGACCCAAGGTCATTTGGGGGAAGTTCAAGGTCACTGGAAGAAAAATTTCATAATTTGTGTCCTGTCCATATCTTTCTTATGGATAAACTTGGTTGGTTCTCATTTCACGCAAAGATTGCTCATAACCTATGGGTGTGTCATGACCTTGACCCAAGGTCATTTGGGGAAGTTCAAGGTCACTGGAAGCAAAATTTCATAATTTGTGTCCGGTCCATATCTTTCTTATGGATAAACTTGGTAGATTCTCATTTCACACAAAGTTTCCTACTGACCTAAGAATATGTCATGACCTTGGGTCAAAGTCATTTTGGGAAGTTCAAGGTCACTTGAAGAAAAATTTCATAATTCGTGTCTGGTCCACATCTTTCTTTATTAAGGAAAAACTTGAATCTACTACTTCACACAAACATTGCTCATGACCTGAGGTTGTGTCATGACTTTGAACCAAGATCATTTATGCAAGTTCAAGGTCACTGACAGAAAAAGTTCATGATGCGTGTCTGGTCCCTATATCTAGTCTACTTTTTTATTAGGCTGTGCCTTTGTTTCATTTAAAAAGAAATATAATGAGCAATTACATTTGCACTAAAAATGTTTTAGCATTTCTCTCTTCTCTTAGATCCATAAAATATTCATGATTTAGCACTTCTGAAAAAACACAGCAGGGGGTATTTTGTCCCATTTGGACAGTTCTAGTTAATCTTTGATCAGTTATCCAATCATACAAGATATAAGAATGTATGACAACAACATAAAAAATACACTTTTTTGTTGCTAAAATAAAGTTTTAAATAAATTACAAATACCACTGATCCATGGTACTGTAAATTAAGTACCATAAATTTCAATAAAGCACAAAGTCACATCACAGTGTAGGACAATGACCTCAGTGATTTTCTTAGAAGTTTAGTCTCCAGGGACCTTGAGTTGTAGTTAACATTGATATCCTAACGTGACCTGAACAGAGATGTCAAATCCTACTCTATTGGTCATCCTGGCATCTTAACATGACCTGAACAGAGATGTCAATCCTACTCTATTGGTCATATTACTGGTCTCAGAGAGGGGTCAAGAATTGATTAAACCAAGGAAAACCAGGGTAATTAGGAAACACTTTATATCACCAAGAGCTCAGTCTGACTGGTCAGGCTTCAGAGCTCACCTAATTTTTATGAATTATTTAAAGATTCTGACAAAATTTACCCGAATTTATGAATAATTGAATCAAAAGATAGAAACTTTCCATGGATTACAAACCATGAAGCAGTATAGATTCCTAACTTACAAGTTCTAAAGAATTACTTTGGCTGATATAATAAAAAGGCATTGTATGTAATGATGTTATTATTTGATTAATTGAATTTTTCAATAAATTAATTATATTAAGTACAGAAATAATAAATTTCAGCCCCCTCACTTTGACAGATTTAATCCTCCGTCTCTCTGACATAAAGATCTGCCTATATACACCCCCTCATTTACTTTACAACTAGGAAGGAAAAGTTTCCAAGAAAAATTGAGATCCCTTCAGAAAGATCTTAATTAATCAAGCATGTTGTTCTCATAATTAGTCTTTGATTATGGCTACCATCTGCTGGTTTTCTTTTTCTTCCTCCTTTCTATAAGTCGATTGAAGATCACACATCAAACATCACAACACTTCTCCTCCAGCACATGAAAAGTAAAATATTTCCTCCCCATATTGATCTGTTAGCCTCGAGTTAAATATTTATTTCTGTCAGATAAAATTTCACAGGACATAAATCTAGAGGGCCTTACAGATGTTAACTATTCCCATGGCAATAAAACCTCCTTAGCTCCTGATTTCTCAGAAGTGCTTATATCTGCCATAAAAAAAGTTCTTCATGCATAAAGTATCAGAGACAATCAGTATGTAGTAATTAAAGATTTAAAGGACTGGGGTTTGATCAGTCTCAGTAGGGATCAAGAGTCGGTAGAGTACAGTACAGTACAGAGAGGTACTAAGGTACAGGGCTGGTACTGAGAGTACTTAGTGAGAGGTACTGATCAGGAGAGTACTTAGTGGAGAGGTACGGATGTGGAGGTATATAGGGGAGGTGATGGTCAGATAAAACAAGGCTCCCTGCTGAGTTCCTACATAAGACAGATTCTCCCTGTCTGCTCAATTAATCCTCTTCCTCATACCAGAGAACATTACAACATACACTGAAACCCTGCCATCTTCATGTGGTGCACAGGGATGACAGGATAAATCCAAAACTTGTTTCATTTGTCGTTTGCAATGGAGATTTAATATTGAAGTCTTTTAGTGACATATTTCTTGGAGTTCACACATCGAACCATTTTAAGTGGAATCTACTCTGAAGAACTTGGAAGAGACATACTTCTATTAGTTATGATAGTGATTCTCTGAGGGAATTTGATTATGGAATCAATGCCTAGACAGGATACTGTTTATAATGGACAAACACATTAGCTATAATAGCTCTAAGTCAGAAGACTAGCTCTGCTAAGTGAGATTACCAATTAATCTTTCTTTAAATGTCACTGATTTGCATGGATTGTAATTTTACTAAATACGTGACAGTTTTGAATTCCCCTTAGTTGGGTGCTTTTACATGTTGCATCATTAGCAATTCATAGGGAATCAGCTTGCAGTGCGAATTAAGGCCTCCAGTTTTCAATTTGAATGTACGTTTTAGTTAGAGCACCGACATGCTATAGGACGTAATATTAAGTCCCAGATCACTTAAACCTGATGGCAACGTACCACATTTATTGAGGAAAAAAAAAACGCGGAACAAAACATTTTTTCTTGATGACTAATTGGAGTCTGGAGGTACTTTACTTGTAATTAGGAGATTTGCATATTTTTTTAATCGGTGTAGATCTTTAAAGAGCTGCTTACGGATTTTCTGCCGCTGTTCCTTGATTTCTGTGTGCCTCTCGCAGGCCCAGCAACAATACATCAGGATCGTATAGACAGCGAGTGCTTATACTGGAAACTCATTATACTTCAGTTTGATGTTTGGCAAAACAAATAGAATTTGGAGAATACTTCAAGCATTTTGTTCTTTGGTTTAATATCTGATTTGAGAAAAAAAAAATCCAGATTTTTTTTGTTTGTTTTTATGGGATTTTTTTTTTTATCCTACTTCTTCCTGAAACTATGGTTTTCTACAACTAATGCACACTGTAAGAGGTCTTGGATGCCAAATGACATCACCGCTTTGTAATGGATAGATTTTGACAACCCTCTACAGGTTTTTTTTGCACTCATTAATTGAAGAGGTTGCTCATTTGCCAGAAATACGTTGATTTCATTTCTTTTTCTCTGGAGTCTGTGTTATTACCCAATTTAACCATGCGCAAAATGCAAAGGACATAAACAGATCATTCATTGTGTGACTTTTCTCACTAAAGGCAAGAAAATTATAAGATGAGTTCTTTTTTCAATATCATTTGGTACTTTTTTGTGTAGGCGAGTTGAGACAGTGAAATATACCTTTATTGATAATTGTATTACGGATTTTGTGATGTCAGCGACAGAGACCGAGCTGTCAAACTCTGTGTTGATACGACAGCGCGAACAAAGGAATGGGGAGACCTACAAAGGGAGCTTACTCCAGGCTCAGGGGTCCGTCTCCCGCCAAAATAGTGGGGAGGAAGATTTAAAAGTCCGTCGTCAAATGCACAAACAGGAGAGCAAGGACAGTGGGATAGTGACGGAAATGTCCACTCGACCAAAGGATTATGGTCGAAGCAAAACCGAAAAAATTCATAGAACAGAGAGTAGCAAAGCTAAATCGCGGAAAAGTGAAAGCTTTAAGTCAAGTGTAAAAAGGAGTCAGAGTATGAAGGCCCCGCATTCTGACAGACATTTTTCGCAATCCTCAAATAAGAGTACGGGAAATTTAAAAGACCTTGATAATGATAATCAGGTAAGGAATTTCATTTTCTAACCATTTTTTGTTTTTAATTTTTTGGCAGAAATTTAGCTAATCATCTGTACTCAAAAGTGTATGAAACTCAGGGGGATATGTGTTGCAAGAGGAATGAAATTCGGTTGGCAAACCTGCAGTTAGCAGCTATCCGAGCTCAGGTAAGAGCAGCACAGGTAATTATCTGATATCGATCTCCCTACTGATTTAAAAGTCAATTTTAATAAATCCTGGAACTGGCTACAGCTAATTAGCTATCTGAAGGTATGGAGATCACTCTTCTTAGCTGTAGAGACAATGCATTTAATAGAAGATTTTTATTTATTCCAGATCAATATTTCTAAGATTCTGAAGCAGGGTTTTTTTTTTAATGTGCAAAAAAAGTTCATTTAAGGATTTATTTCTATTATTTAAAATTATAAGATTTTTATATTCATACTAGATCAATATTTCTAAGATCTGAAGTAGGTTTATTATAGGTATTAAAGAAAGTACATATTATTGTGTTATATAAAATTATTCCATTTTTTTATACTGGTAAAGAACGTACAAGTTATTGTGTTTTATAAAATTGAATATGATAAATGTGCATGCTTTAAGCATGTTAGGCTAAAGACAGAATCGCTTTGGAGTAAATGGCCACAAAAATTGATAGCCTGAGTCAAAAACATTTACCCAGCATTAAAATGACAGCTTTGATATTCCTGATCTAGAAAATCCACCTCCCCGATGCCGTTTTTTGCTCATTGTATCTTTATGGTAAGGAGATTATTGTTTTTTGTAAGTTTTCCCATTCCACACACCGCAGTGTTTTATAAAACACTGATAAATTGTCTGATCATTTCACCATACACCCAAGGCTCATCACTTCTGCTGCTTTAAAAAAAAAAATGCATTTTTTTTCTGACTGCATATACTTTTTACTTCTGCCAAGGGAAAACAGCGCTGCTAGCATTGCTTAGTTATTAATCTTGGAACATCCCTGTAGAATTTTTTTAACCCTAGATATCATAACCATATGGTGTTACGTCCATATCGCTATTGTATATTAGGGAAATTTTTTGGAGGGAAATCAATCAACTTCAATGTAGAGAGAACAGGTTGTGATGCTAATGTACCTGCCTGCCTTCATGGGAAAGGTTTTGGGATGTTCTTGCATTAGTGCAAGGTTGATTTACATATCTGAAATTCTAAATAATTACCAAAAAATGGATAGAAAGCAAACTCCTCTCTTGAGAAAAAACTTTCAAAAAGATATGATGATGGCAGATTTATATATATGTCATAACTTATTAGGTGGAGCCGCAGAAGTAAGAAATTGTATGAGATACATGTAAAGAAGATAGATAAAATGTGAACCCCTCCCCTCTTTATTTTAGGGAAATTGAAAAGAAAATTCAAGGGAGTATCCTGATCTAATTATATTTTGATGTGTTTTTTTTTATATTCATATCTTTGGAATATCAAATTCATAGAGAAAACTTTGGTAGATACTGACATTCAGCATTATGTACACAAATTATCACATTTTATTTATTAAAAGATACAATATTTTGTCAGCTTTCTGGCAATATAAGGAATACATGTACATTACTTTGCTTCAAAGCTGAGATATTGTTTTTTTTAGCAATTAATGATATGATACAGGCAAGTGTTTTGGTTTTAAATGGGCCTCTTGATTTTCAAAGCCAAAAAAAAACCCTTTCAGCTGCAGCCACCAAACATATAGATATTAATTAAAAGCTCTACTGTACATGCTGTAGATAAACAGTAATTTTGGCAAATTGCATCTTGTCATCTTGTTTGTTAAGTAAAAAAAATCTAAGAACACCATACAAAAGGAATTTGCATCCAATAATGCACAAACTTGTTAAGAAAACTTAGAAACCTTGAGAATGCCCAGTTTAATCACCTCTGTGGCTGCAGATGTAGGGGGTATAATTCCCATCATAGAACCATTAGTCCTTGAATCAGTGACTGAAAGACGTGCATGTAGGGGATATAATTCTGGGATAAAAAAGAAAGAAAAAAAAAGTGAGTATTACAGAGCCATTAGTCTTCCTGTCAAGGTCAGTCAGCACAGTGACTGAAGGATGGAGAATTATGGTCGAGTCTAATGATAGAGATATTAGGGTCTATCAGTCAGAGTCGGGGTCATTATCATTCAGGACATCACTTGCACCCCTCTTCTCCCTGCATCATAAGCTGCTGGTGATTCTGGCAGAGTGCCTCCGATGGAAAAGGGAGCAGGAATATGATCATCATTGTCTCAGATAAATAGCACTTATCAAGATAGACTACACGCTTCTGTTAGGCTCAAATGAAAATATAACAATAAGGTGTAGAGTGATTTACGTTTACTGGGAGATATAAGTCAGAAGAGATAGAGCACACAAGCTGTATTTATAATATCTTAAAGCAAGCAAAAGAGGGGTGAGGATGGGAGGGTGTTGGGGAAGGAAAGAAAAAGTTTCTTGGTTTTGTCTCTCAGACTTTGTTATAATGATAGAACTGCTTGTTAAAGAAATAATATTTTTATTTTGATTGGGATATTTTATTTTGATTAGAGTATTTACTAAATAAATTAGATTTTAGTAATACTGTAGAAGTATTTCATTACTATATGGTCTTAATTTATGATAAGGAAAATTTAAGAATATAGAGGCAATGTAAGAAATCTGTATATAATTTTCAAACTGGAAAGAAAACAGAAATAGTAATTCCTCAGAATTTTGACTCCATGTGTAAAGTGTGTCTACAGTATCATACACATTACATACATATCTGATGTCTGATGATCAGCTTATGTGTGATGTAGGCTGTATTCATATTACCATCCCTAGTGCTTGGGAAAACTATTACTCTCTATGATCCATGGGTTGTATATATTGTAAGGAGGGACAACGTATGAGATATGTCTATGGGTGTATTGATTTAGAACTATGGCCTGTACAGGTGCTGTAAGGTGGTACAGTAGAGGAGACATGCCAGTGAGTAGATTGATATGACTTGTGTAGTAATTACTTCCTTATGTCTAAGGAATTCCAGGCTCATTCTTCTGCCTTTGTGTTTTGCTATGATCCTGTTTGCAGGGAAATCATGAAGCTCTTAGCAAAACATAACCAAAGACTCAAAACATATCCTATAAAAGAACAATTTTTTGTTACTCTGCACCATTAATTAACAAGAGCTATATCATCTGTAATTTTCAGGGTTTTTTTTTATACACTTGCCCCCTTATCACTAATATCCCCCCAATGTTTAATAATTCGATGGCAGAAGAGTTTGACCCCCACAAAACATCAAACATCCTCTCGTGCACTGAAGAGTCTGTAGTTATGTATACAGATATAGATCAGATCGGGGTCTATGTAAATATTTTAAGCTCAGAGATAATAAAATTTTCTCATCAGCACCTCTTTGTTAAACAGCTGGTGTTACTCTCTAGTATTATTGCTTCTCTCTCTCTCTCTCTCTCTCTCTCTCTCTCTCTCTCTCTCTCTCTCCTCTGTTTACTTGATTCCATTGCTACAGCATTATATCTGCTTTGTCAATTTCACCAAGATAGCATATTCAAATAATAGTCAGAAAAAAATGCATTTGATATTGTTTAATTTAATTTTATGTTTTTGAAAACTTTTGGAAAGTTCATTCTTTGTTTTCACACATTACAGATAGAAGTGCTGTCCCCCAAACAGAATGGGTCTGTGGAGAACCTGGATCAGGACAGTAAGAAGTCCTCAGCCACCATCAAAAGCATGTGGAAGAAAGCCTTCAAAAACCTCAAAAGTACCTCAGACACCAAACTGGTAAGTTGAATGGATCAAACATACACAAAAGTAGGGACTTCAAACACTAAACTGGCAAGTCAGATGGTTTTAGGGGGGCCTCAAACATAAAACAAAAATACCTCAGACACCAAACTGGTAAGTTAAAATTTGGTAGGGCCTCAAACCTCAGAAATGGTGGAATCAGTAAGCATTTTTTTCTTCTCATGTAAAAGTTTTTGAATAAATCCAAACTGGTAAGTCAAATGGTTTTAGGGGGCCTCAAACATAAAACAAAAATACGTCAGACACGACACCAAACTGGTAAGTCAAATGGTTTTAGGGGGCCTCAAACATAAAACTAAAATACGGGAATTCCAACAACTTGTTTGAAAACCTGGTTTACTGAGTCTACATATAAATGTTGTCAAGGTGAATCTTAGCATCCTCTGAACAATTAACTCCTAAACAATCAAATCTAAGTGTTAGGGGGCCTCTTACCTCAGACACCAATTTTAAGGAAGCAAACACAAAAGTAGGGACTTAAACATCAAACTGGCAGGTAAATGGTTTTATGTGGGGCCTCAAACATAAAGTAAAAATACCTGACAACCAATGGTAAGTTAAACTGTGGTCATGCAGTCAAATAATGCAATTCCAGTGGTGGTTAAGGATTTTTTTCTTCTCATGTAAAATTTGTTGTAAATTGTGTCATATGGAATATAAAAATAGATGGCCAAGAATTGTATCAGAGTATATCCATGGGAATTCCAACAACTTGTTTGAAAACCTGGTTTACTGAGTCTACATAAATGTTGTCAAGGTGAATCTTAGCATCCTCTGAACAATTAACTCTTAAGGTCAAAACAATCAAATCTAATAAATTTTAGGAAGCTGATTGCTTCATACAGAGGTGTGAAATGTAGTGGAAAGTTTGTGTTCTCATTGTTCTGAGATGTGTGTATTAATATATATTGCAACAAAGCAGTTTATTAGTAAATTCATTTAAAAATACATTTGACATGTGCTCCTATTTAATTGCATGTCCTAATTAGGCTACAGACAGCCTCATTGCTGAGTTTAGTGGAACACTGAAATGCTCCAATATCAATAAATAGGACAGCGATTGCTTTCATTCAGGGGTGTGAAATGTAGTGGAAAGTTTGTATTTTCTGGGTCCTAAGATGCAAAATGGCCAATAAATATGCAATTCAAACGGATTTATATATTTTTAAAAAGTGCTCTTATGCAACAAATTAGGGTTTATAGAATAATTTGCATATGTTTATTAAAAATTTTATACCCACCCCATCACTTTATAATTATATTGAAAATTAAACGCATAATGTAAGCTTCAAAATAGATATTGCATGGCACAATATTGATGAGGTCTGCACAATGTAGAATTACGTTATTATAGATGACGGGAGCTGTCATAATAATAAACTCCGTCTGAGCTCACCTCAGTAATTTGATCTATATGAAATCTGACGAGGCAACTGACACAAAAGACGAAGATAGATTAACCAAACTACGCCAGGAAATTAAAGCTTCCCTAAAACTGGCAATTTCCTGGAGATTTGTCCGGACCATGATTATGTGGTAACATTTGATAGCACGATATAATTAAAGCTACTGGCTTTTTAAGCCAATTACTTAGTAATGTGAGATCATGGAATCTCCTAGCTTTACTTGTTTACTGGCAGATTGAAAGGACATGTTTCTGTGTGTGAGGGGAGGGGGTGTCTTAAATTAAAGGTTAATTTTCATTAAATATTCATTAAAGGAAAAAATCATAATATAAACAAAAAAAAAAAAGATCTAAATAGGCTTTCTTATAATCATTGTTGAATTAGTTTGGGGAAAAAATAATATAAACAAAAAAAGATCTAAATTGGCTTTCTAATATAACAATTATTGATTTAGTTTGGGGTAAAATGAAGTTATAAATAAATGGACTATTTCCCTGCAACCCATTTTCCACACTTCAACCAACTTTAAACCAAGATAGCAAATAGAATTAAATAAATTGAAAATTAAAGTTGTTAAATTTGGAGTAATTAAAGTTTGAGTTTTTAAGTACCAGTAAATGTTCTGATGGACAATGATGAAAAATACTAAAATGTTATCTCAGAATGGAAAGGAAGGGGAGAGGGGAGAGAGGGAGGGAGAGAGAAGAGAATGGAGAGAAAGAAAGAGAGAGAGAAGAGAGAGAGAGAGAGAGAAGGGGGAGGGAGAGAGAAGTATGTTAGATGTGATTTTGGAGAAGGGATTTGTATCAAGAGAAGTAAAAATGGAGACCACATGTATAAGTTGTGTATTGCTGGCTGTGTTTTTGTCTGTAATGGCTCATTATCCCCCTCTGTAATAAGTGACACATGTTAGCTACACGGCCATCCATGTATTGTCCAGGGAGTCTGTCGACCATTGCCAGCTATCCAAGAATCATCTACATATCTACAGGTCTCCGATTCACCAGCCCCTAATGGAGGATTAATGTTCAGTAGTTCACTTTACTGGAGTTTTACAATGTGTGTGTAAATTTTAGTTCATGAATTATTCTACTGGAAAAATTGATATTGGGATAATTTTTCACGTGAATCATGTGGAAAAAAGTGATGCAGAAATGGAAGGCGAGTCGCGACGAGGCGGCGATAGCGGAGAGGAGGGGGGATAACTCTGAACCCATGCCAAAGTCTGTCAGTGCCCCAGAACTTGTTAACAATAATGTTAACCTCGTTAATAACATTACGTTAGATCCAGTGCTGGTAAGTTATATGATACAGGGCGTTCAGGTAATACAGATAAATATTGACTTGAGTTTCCCAGACTCTGGACAAATGGAAGTATTCATAGCCGAAACTGAATTAAACAGAAAAGTTGAATAAGATATGAAAACTCTGGATATTAGGGAAGATGTAAATAAAAACAGTATATTTTCATTACAAGGAATTGGACCCAAATTTGCTTCATCTTACCCTAAATTGTGAGAGATGTTAAATTTAGGATATAAATATTCTGTATATCAATGCACTGTATTGGTTTGTCTTTCTATCCTTTATGGTACATTTATGTCAACAAGTATGTAAATCTTTCATCCTTTATCGCCTAGTTCTCTCAGAGTTTTTTTGACCTGTGGGACTTCAAACGTACTGTTAGAGTTTGCATATCTCAATTACATCAGTTACATTCTCTGATATCAGAATTGTCTCCCTTCTGTAAGTTTTTTTAAAGAAATATTTCTTTTCCTTATCCAGTCCTATGATCAACTTTAAAGTTAAATTTCTGCCTATTTTAATGCTGAATTGTGCATAAAGGGTGTATCTGTTTTGATAAATAATTAAACATTGAAATTTTGTACTTTTATATGCTTGCAGAAAATTTTTTTCTTTATTGGATTAAAATTGATAACAATAAAGGGAATATCTTTAATTTATTTGTAGATTTATAGTGGAATCTTAATAAATACATTTAACTGTTTGTAGAAAATTTTTTTAAAAAATAGCTCTGTATACATCTATTTTCTAAAAGCCTGGCCTATCCAGGGTGGACTTTTGAGGCTGCTGTTAAGTGTATTTCAAATAAAAGTAGTTTGTACTTTATACTTTGGTCTCAGTAGAAGTGTGACATCATATATATGAATGTGTGATTTTCACCAGTCTGACAATGTTGATGCTGGCATTATGTATGATGTATGGAGTCTGTCAGATTTGGAATACTGAGTACCACTTTGCATTTAACTATGAATTGTTAGTTTTCTGTTGTCTGAATTCCTATAGCTGCACTCATACTTTGGTCTCTGTAGAAGTGTGACATCATGCATTATGAAGTGTGATTACTACAAAGGTCACTGTTGATGCTACTCAGGCAATGTAATCTAATCAGGTAGTCAATGTGTCCACTACTTCAATTTAGTAAATCCCAAAGAACTCATTTTCATATCATTATTAAATGAATTGTTACTGAGAGATTTTGCAATGCTTGACAGTGAATTCCTATAATAAACTGCATGCATTATATGTGAGAATATGTAGATAAGATTCTAGTAAATTACAACAAAGGTTACTGGTCAGATATACTCAGAACCCTGATGTAATCTAATCAGGTAGCCTATGTGTCCAAAATGCACATTATAAATAACCATGCTTTCATTTTTTCATTCCTTGTTAAACATGTGTGTGAGATCAATAAAACCATGCTGTCATCTTTTGACATTCCTTAAATAAACATCATATGTATGTGTGAGCACAGGATGACAACAAATATAAATAGTTATAAAGATGATGGAGTGGATCTAAAACAGTCATAAAATGTGGGTATGGGCATTTATAAAATGGTGGAGAGGACTGTGAACATTTATAAAATGGTGGGGAGGATCTATGAACATTTATAAAATGGTGGAGAGGATCTATGAACATTTATAAAATGGTGGAGAGGATCTATGAACATTTATAAAATGGTGGAGAGGATCTATGAACATTTATAACATGGTGGAGATGACCTAAGAGCAGTCAACAATTGACCTGTATAAATTATCTAAATTCAATCAGTAGAAAAGGCTGGCAAATTATTTGCTCTGAGAGCTAAGAGGTCATGCTCTGTGGAAGTAATTTTATCTATATTTAGCTAAATTGTTATATTTGACAATGGGGAATTGAAACAAATTATTTTCATAATCAAATAAGTAAATGAGTATAATACTAGAAGTATTTTTACAATCATGGACTCCAGAGATATCTAGAATTGGTGTTTTCTCTGAACTTGTTGTATGTATGTAGACATTTGTCATTTTTTGTTGAATTATGTGAGATGGTCCATCTCTCTGGTCATTTGATGATATCTAGGAATATTTAGGATGTAAGGGATGGAGGATGACCTGCTTTATTTGTTGCTACTCTGAGCCTGAACCCTTCAGACAGGTAAATTCTGAGAGACATTACAATTTGTCTTATTTGCTAGTTATGTACAGGAACTACAGCTACTGTAACTCAAAAATTCTGTGCTATTTTACATACAATATGCAATTGTAATGGATTTAGGAGAAGAAAAATGTGAAGGACCAGACCAGGATTTGAACCTTGACCCTCTAAATCTCTAGTAAGGTGCTCTACCTACTGAGCTATCTGGCCCCTGTCAGGTGCTCTACCTTCTGAGTTATCTGGCCCCTGGTGATTGAACTTGTTTGACCTTCACCTTCTTCCCTCTGTAAAGGTCTTCACCCCCAAAGACTCTTCCCTTGCAAGTCTTCCATCTGTCACTTCCTGGGAATGGCACAGCACCAAATGTAATGGGAGCGCTGACAGATCTCTATTCACACAAGGCCACTGCTGTAATTCTTGGAGTAGGTTCCAGTGAAGTCCCTTTAGTTATGTCATGTATGAAAATAGTGAATGCAAACAGGAAAGTTGTTATTCGTAATGGCCAGGTCACCAGGGGGATGTTTATTTACATGATGTAGGTGAAAATTCTTTTCCACTAAGTGCCATTTGATAAATGTATTGTTGCTGGCACTTAGTTTATACTGAGACATATGTTCTGATCCAGTAGAAACAAGCTGAGTAACTCTGTAAAAATGATAGGCATCCATGGATGACCCTAAATAGGAGCTAGTTTGAGAACTTGCAAAGTTTGACATGGGGTTTGTATATTGTGTAAAACCACTCATTTTTAAGGGGGTTAATTTGTTTTTTGTCAGGGAAGATTGCTGATTTGTAGTCTTATGATGGTCTAAACGAATTGGATTTAATGATCTTTCAAACAATTTTGCTCCTTTTTAAACTTGCCCAGACACATTTTGGTTATAAGTAGAGAGATAGTACCAACTTCTTTGAATTTGCCTGTTGTAAATTTGTTCAATTGATACAAGGGTGAATTACAATGTATTTCATTGTAATACATCCTTCCATCACTCTGTTCTTGACAATCAATTTTTCAAATCAGTGAGCTATAAATGATGTGCAGCTGTTTCAAGTTACAAAGAGATGGAACCACTGTATGTTCACCACAAAATCTTTAGATTACAAAATTCTAAATCCAGAAAGACAAATCCCTCTAAAAAAATTTTCCTGCAAACCACAAAACTGAACTTCGTGAAAACTACTCACAAACTGTGATATTGAGTGTTGTGTATTGATTTCTTTTTCTCTCTGCAAGTAATGGGTATCATTCTACTATCAGAGAAAATGAAAAAAATGTATAGGCATGCATTTATATCAAACATATTTTTATTTTGGAAAAGAAACATTAAGGGTTTATTCATCTGGCCTTCATCTGTAACTTTACTTAATGTAGACTGTATTTACCTGTTTTCTTTTTTCAGACCAAGAAAGGAAGTTTGATCAAAAAGAAACAGAATTCCCAGGAGGCCGAGGTGGAAGAAACAGTAGAGGGTGAGTACAATGTCAATCTAGAAATATTATTATTAGAGATTATTCATTCAGACATTTATGACATACTGTAAACCAACTTTTGTTTGTGACAAATAATTTTCACAAATCTTTTTTGACATGTTGTTAATAGACACAGAAATTTTAAGGACCGGTTTGCGGTGAGAAATATTCATGATGACAAGGCTCACGTGAACCTGGCTAAATTTTTTCGCATGCAAATAAAAGTTGGTTTACGGTATGTATTTTGATAGATTTCAATAAAACAAAGAGTGATTATACAGTACAGACATTTTATACTATAGTATCATCCCAAACTATGTATGCCCAGAGACTGTTAAACACAGTGTGAATGTATCATCTTGTAGCTGATCAAGTCCTTGTAGGGCATACATTACACACTAATGGTTGTCAGAAAGATTCACCCATTCTTCATAATTGTGTCATATTCAGATCTTCACCATCTCTCAATAATATGAAATTTATTTCTCCCATACTCAAGTAACCCAATATATTGAGATATAATGAGTTGTGAGTTCTAATATCATACATTTGCCTTATTTTCAACATAAATTGTACACACTAAGTTGATCTCTGAAGATGATCTATTAAGTTTTGAGTACACATTCTTGCTGCTATAACTGTTTGTGCCATTTTCCAGAATTATTAGTAAATATTGAGATGTAGAGATAACATCCTGTAATGAGATTCTCCATTTAATCTAGTATTTTAAACAAGCTCAAGAGATTTCAGGGGCTCGTAGAACTGACCCTAATAGGTTTGTCAAAAATCTAGATTGATTATGATTTTTCTAGCCATTAAGTTTCTCCAAGAAGCTGCAGTGAACAAAGAAAGCATTTTATTTTCATTATCTTTTTTTACCACTTTATGATGATGTCTCAGATTATCAGAGAAGATTTTGAAAAGTGTGTCAATGCCTATTGTATGTTATTATCGTGAAGACTATTACTTATAATTGAACCACCTTAAAGTAAACATTTTCTTCTGACAGTTTTATTAAGAGAGTGTACATGGGTCATTATCAGAGAGTAATTATACTTATACTTTCAACAAGGTGGTTTAGATTTGAGTGTTGACCCCTTTAAGTAATTTTTTTTATTGCAGGTTTTTTTATTAGTACGAGGACTGTTATATATGTTTGTTGTGAGTTGCGTAGGCAGTGATGACGCACACTGGTGATGGAGAAATCATTTAAATGTTCTTACGGCTTGATCCCCCCTCGTGTTGTTGGCAGAGATTTCTTGGCTGCATCTAATTCTGTCAGCCCTTTGCTTTGTTGTGCATCGTTTGCTATTCATAGAAAACAGACATATAGACAAAAACAATCTGCACACTTTTAACTTCCCTCGTAATCAGCTGAGAACACTCACTTAAGATTGTTCCTAAATCAACCATTTGTTTGCAGCTTTTTTTAAATAGGTATTTTTGATCTTGAAAAAATGTTGAGGTCAAATTTTAATTGGAAACCATTTTTTGAACCATAAATAGTGGTCATATGGGACCATGATAAGAGATTTTTATATGATGATATATGTATAAGGTAAAATCTTCCTCTAATAAACAAGAAAAAAATATTGTATTCATATCTACATTCAAGCATCCTTGGTTAGTTTAGATTTATGGAGGCTAGGGGGGTTAACAAATTAACCATCAGATATAACTTATTTTTTAGATATGATATTTTAATCTGTCAATTAACAATCATTTCGCAAAGAAAAAAATAATACAATTTAGTTATAAAATTAATTCATTTTTGTATATCTTTATATGGAGTTCTAATCTTTCAAAGGAGATAGATATAGTCTAAAAATAGCAACAAAACCACCAAGCCCTCTTAAATTTGTTTAGATCTTGCAGGAACTTAAGGCTACAATAGGAGCCATCAGAATATGTTTTGATCCACATTATAGATTAAGATTTTTTATGAAATTTTATTGAAGAGGAGCATTTTTAAAATTAAATTGTTGATCAGCAGGGCCATGTAATAACTCAGATGAGCATTGTGGCCTATGGGCTTTCCTTGTCTTGATTACTGCTGCAACCAGCATAAATACCTCGTGTAACTTACACCTCTCATTAACTTTACTCTTGTGCACAACGAAAAGTGCAATAAATATTAATTATTTATAGTCTGTTTCCATTGTAAAAATTTATTACTTATCAATACATCCAAAAGGGCAGTAAAAAATTGTTTATTGATGAAAAAATCATTTACGCATTTATTTTTTCCAAGTAATTTATACGCAAAATTCAATATTGGTATCAATATATGTTATCATTCTATTCCATTCACAGAAACTAAAAACCTATATCACTTGGTGTTAACACAGCTAGGCAGCATGTAGTCAGTGTTATGAAATATAGGTCTTTGGTAGAGATAAAATCGGGAGAATTCTGCCGGCCAGATGTAAGTCTGCCTCCCACGGAGAGAAGAGCACCTGTTAGATAGAAGCCATACCGCCTCATGTTGTGTAAACTCTCAGGAGATGTTAACAATAAATCTATTTACTGAAACTATCGATTGCTGATAGATGGTATAGCACACAGTGTTGGGATTTCTGGTTTTTTGTTTTGTTCAGTGCTTCTGTTTTTGGGTGGTATATAAAATGAATTATGAAATTTGCCTTATACCTGTGACCCTAGTTGAAGCATAACTATCTGGTATAAATTTAAAAATTTTATTTCAAAAACAGCATGGCCATATGATAAGTAATATCGATATTCAAGCATTCACAAGAAATGCAGAAACACATTTGCAATTGTTCAAACCATGACTTCTGGGGAAATTGGGTTTGGCCACTATATCTGACAGGGGAGCAATTGATAAGAAATTTGCTGTTAAACATTTTTTTAATGATGGCAGGACTACACAATATCACATTCTAAGTTGTATTTATTCAATGTAATTTTCTTCAAATACGAGGGTTGATCCAAAAGTAATGTCACAACTTTGATAAAATCAGTATAAATTGACGTAAAGTAAGAAAATTATATATGATGGAAGTTGCATTTATTTCAAATCAGACCTGAAAATTTCAAAGAAATATGATGTATACTTTGCAAAATATCGGATTTTAAACAATGTGTGTTTATGGTAGTCACTGCACCTAAATATAACGTCATATGACAGATACGCACTGCATACTTTTAAGCTTTTCCCCTTCATTTCAGTAAGAAATATTTGTGATTCGCAAACACTTTCACCAATTCCACTTTCTTTAAGAATTTTTGGTACTTTTATACACTCACTCTTTTCATAATTAAGCTCTCTATCAAAATTTTTGGAACAGTAGCATAAGACAAACTTAAAAATTCACATGTCACTCTATAAGTTTCTCTTTTTTGACAACATCAGACACCATTAAACGTTTCCGCCTGACTTCCTATCTTTCGGTCTTCTTGTCCTCTGCTGATCATTCAGTGACCAATCTGACCCACCCCAAATTGCTGAAACCATCTATTAAGATGTCTCTTATTTACATTCTTTATTCTGTAAGTCTGATTAATTAACGTTACTGTCGCTTGTGGTGATTCCCATATTTTGAAGCAAAAATGCATTACACCTCGTCGAGGCGTTTTTTCCCATTTTGACAATCCCTTTGTTCAATTTAACAGAGTAAAACAACAATGTTTATGATCACAAATACCAATGCCGTCATTTAATTTTCAATTAAAGACTATATAGAAAATGACAAGAATTGTGACTTTTAAAAACATCGGGAGATTAGGTGCTTTTTTAGAATCTTTTTATTGTGTTTGTCTTTTTCATTCTAAGTAAATATACACTTTAAAACGTGACGTTCCGTTGTGATGTGGCGACACCCTCTATGCTCTATGTTTTAAACAATAATTAAACATTATTGAATTTAAATTTCAATGTTAATTAAATTTATATTTGTGCATATTTTGGTATATTGTATTTGATAATATGACACCAAATATAAAAGATATGGACACTGTGACATTACTTTTGGATCAGCCCTTGTAATAAATCATGGGCTCAGAGTAAGGTTAAAATTGGTCACCAAATTTCACATAGCCTAGTACATGTTGAGACACAGAGAAGAGGACATGTTAGGCTTAATGATATTGAAGCTTTGCAAAGATAAGTGTATTCAAGTTGGAATATGTCATGATTCTTATAAGGCTATAGAGTAAGGTCATGGGATAAAAATTTCTCTGATGAATAAAGATTTTAAGGATCATATGATTAAAGGCAGTTCAACAGGACTCAGGTGACTATTGTGGCCCATGGGCCTCTTGTTAAACGCATCTTTGATGAATCAATAAACTTTTTCTGACTTTCAGCGGGGGAGATTGACCCAGTTTACAGCCTACTGAAGTGTGCTGCAGATCTTCCAAAGGTTGAAGCCAGCTGTGGGAGTTTACAGCCTACTGAAGTGTGCTGCAGATCTTCCAAAGGTTGGGAAGCAAGGCAGCTGTGGGATCCATGCCCAGTGTTCACACCTGGGCACCATAACACAAGGTTATCACACCTGTACAACACAGGGTTATCACACCTGTACAACACAAGGTTAGCACACCTGTACAACTCACAGTTATCACATCTGTACAACACAGGTTTATTACACTTGTACAACACAAGGTTATCACACCTGTACAACACAAGGTTATCACACCTGTACAACACAAGGTTATCACACCTGTACAACACAGGGTTATCACACCTGTACAACACAAGGTTAGCACACCTGTACAACTCACAGTTATCACACCTGTACAACACAAGGTTAGCACACCTGTACAACTCAGGGTTATCACACCTGTACAACACAAGGTTATCACACCTGTACAACACAGGTTTATTACACTTGTACAACACAAGGTTATCACACCTGTACAACACAAGGTTATCACACCTGTACAACACAAGGTTATGACACCTGTACAACACAAGGTTATTACACTTGTCTCTCTGTCTCTCTGTTCATCTGTCACAGTTGAAGACATAAGATAAACATATTACATCTATGCACACAAGGTTATTCTGTATAGGTCTTTAAAGTATGTTATATTGTGTGTCACTTTGTGAGTCTGTCTCTTTATCTGTATGTGAAGACATTACCTTCATAAGAGAAACATATTGTCTATAATAGAGCATCTTCAAGCCTTTGTCTTCCTAGTTGTTCAATTCAATTTAAATTAAAATATTTTCCTTTGGGGTTTTTTTTTGTTCATTTTAAATGGAATTTAGTTTACTTTTTAAGGAAATTTTTATGAAAGTTACAGATTGCCTACAACTGCTGTGGAGATGACATACACATATCTTAGTGCAACCAACTCACATGCATGTGTCTTTTCAACAGAAAATTTACCAATTATATACATACATAACTATAGCTATTTTCATAGAAAACTGGCAGAGAAGTAGGATATTTTATTCACAAATTTTAAATAGTAGCTGCAGTGTGGCACATGAAAATTTTGCTAAAACAATCAATCACTTCACAAATCTTAGAGTGATATTTCACTAGCTGTTGTTTTCTTTGTGAATGAATGATATTCTGTTGCTAAACCATATAGAAACTGATCAAGTGTGAGTACTAACTTAACAAGGAAAAGGAAGGTTTGTTTCCAAAGTAAAGTTCTTGATATTCATTTTTGCAGTAACAATTATATTCTAAAAAAATACTTATAACATGTACCTTATACTTGATGTTGTTATTTTCTTATCTTCTTTTTTTTTACAGATATTTTTTTCTTTTTTCCCTATTATGACATATCTATATGAAATTATTTGTTATGCGTGTCAACTACTTGTATTATGTACAATAACACACTAATACCAGTTAACACGACTGACCACTGCAGTGTCTTTTTAACTTGATAGGTTTCAAAGAAAGAGCTCAACCATAACAAGGCCTGGCCAATCAGCAAACTTCTACAGCAAGCTTAATTGTGATTGGCTGCTTTAAGATGTTTACAAGCAATCTGATTGGCTGTATATATTTAGTGCCAATTCATGCTCTTATTTAATTGGCTGCTTTCCTGTTTTGCTTGGCAGAGAAACTCTCTGATTTTCTTCTTGTGTCAGAGTACAGTAGTGCTTTGTCAGTCTCTGAGAAGATTCAGATTTTATAGCCACAGACAGGGACCGACACATCCTGTTGATGCATCCTATATTATAGGAACAACTTAGCTACTTAAAAAATAAATTTAGAAAAAAAAAACATGCAATGAACTTTGTCTATATTTAATTGTAGCCAGTTTTCTTGAGAAAACTAGGGCTGGTTCATTAACTGAATTTGATTGTGGCTTGAGTGGATTTTTTGTTAATATTGATATATTTTCAGACACTTTTTTTGCTGCACTCAATAACTTTATAAAATTAATAATAAACCTGCTTTTGTATATTTTATATGTTGCTGTTTTTTGCTTGTCATTGTTTTTTATTTGCTGCTTTTTACAGCTTTGCCATCTTATAAGCCCTGCAAACAGATATCGTGTTTGTTTTTTTCCCCACGATATTAATTTTTAAGACCTTTTTTTATGTTGTTGTTTTACTATATTAAGCTAAGTGTTGTTTTTAACAGGGAACTGTGATGTAACAGATAGCTTAGGCAGTGATTTCAAGACCTACTACAAACAAACGAGCCCAGCCATCAAAAAACAGAACTCATCCCCCTTTATAATTCCCTTCTGACATTTGTGTCATAATTCCCAAAATTCATCTGAGAACTTTTTGTACATAAACTATTCAAAAAGACCTTTGTATTGAATTCAGTTTTTTGTTAAATTCTTTTTTGTCATTAGTTTTTTTTCATGTCTGTATATATTGTATTATCATTATTATTATTTTTTGGAAAAAAATGTTTGAATAAACAAACATTGTTAAAGATAAAATTAAAAGATTTTTTGTATCAAAACATTTATTTGGTTATAGGTAAAATAAATGACAGTTTGGATGGATTTGACATATAGGGGTACTAAGTGCATTTATCCTCCCCAGTTCTTGATTAATTTCTGAGATTTTTAAATGTACAAGTTCCCATTAATTCTGCCTCCCTTATCACCCAGACCCTTTGTTGTTAATTTTTTTATGAATATTTTTGTATAATTAAAATCTGAAGAAACACTTTTGCTTCCACACCCATTTCCTTGAGAAGTTTTCATAAATTTTGAATATTAATGATTCCCTCAAAATGCTTCATACAAAATTTACCATTATAAATTCCTTTAAATAGTTTCTTGGTAATTCAATGAAAAGGGTCTTTGTATTACTGCTATACATGGTCACATGCCAACCTTACTCCCTCGTTAATATTTTTTGTTTTAATGACTATTCCCTCCTACCCTACCACAATATTTCCCTAATTATCCTAGTACATTCCTCATGTTGTGTTTCCCATATTAAGGTATTATGTGGTTTATTTTAGGACCAGAACAAGACTGGATTTTTTTTTTTTACAAGCTTTCTCATTTTACCCTGGAACATCAGTGTAAAATTTTAATCAATATTTAATATAGAATCCTGTTGATTTAATTTTTGTAAATGTACTTATTTCAGTGTATTGTTAGGATTTTTTTTTCATTGTTTGTCAGAAAAAAGCAACATTTATGCAGGGTTTTTGATTAGCTGTTGACACATTTCAGTTTTATATATATTTACAGCCATTTGATTTTTTCTTTTAATTTTCATAGAGGTAGGAATGTATGAAAAAGAGCATTATTTAACTTTCATGAAAGTTTTTTTCCCTCCATTTTTGGGAATACTTCAGCTTGTTAGATATACTTTGTTTTAGACACCCTGCCACAAATACAGTGTATTACAATTTTCAACAATTCTATATTTTCTTTTTTTTTTCTTCAAAATTTATATTGAATAAGGAATCCCTCCCCCCCCCCCCCAAAAAACTCACTGCTAAATCTTCACTGATTCAATTATTAATTTTATGCCTGCATATGCTCTGAAAATTTAATAGTTTCTGTGCAATAAAAGGTTCTTGCTTTAGGCACTTTATTGGCAGTAATTATGCTGCGGCACCATCTAAGCAGTGATTGTGTAGCGATTTGCTAAAGCACCACCTTAACAGCAGTGATGTGGTGGTTTGCTCAAATATTGCCTCAGTCATAATAGCATGGTGGCTTGCTAAATCAATGCTGCACCACTTAGCAATAATTTCATGATGGGTTGATAAAGCACCACCGGGTGGTTTCATGCTAAAACACCCCTTTTGCTGTAATTATGTGGTTCCTCGTTAAGGCACCATCTTCTTGGTCTTGATTAGGTGGCAGGGTTTCTATAGCTGTTGTCGGTGGTAGATTTAAGTGATGACATTCTCCCATTGTTGTACAGATGTGCGTGGATCATGTTGAATTGTCATGTTGTTTTATTGGGTAACCAGTCCCACTATAACCTTTATACATTTTTCCATTTATCATTATTGTTTTTTTCTGTTTATATATATTTGTGTAATCTTATTTCAATAAGCATTTGTGATAACAGAGTGTATATATAGACACTGTATTTTATATGACCTCAGTATTACACATTTTTATCGGCACTGTTTTTGGTTTTTTTTTCCCTCACCGTTTTATTAAGTTTTTGGTTAACCTGTATACAATGTAGATATGAAATCAGCAGAACTTGTCCATAAGCTGAGTGACACAGGAAATTTTATCCAATCCTTCTCCATGTGTTGTACAGAAAATGACAGGTTTATTTTTATCAGATCTCATTTATGCCTAGAGTCTTACTTGATAATTCCATGAGTGGACTTGTAGTGTAAAAGAATGAATATTGTAATGCATATATCTTCTTAGGTTTTGTGTCCCCATGTAATTGTCCCATCCGTCTGTCTGTATTAGGGTTAATTTATTATGATTATTCCTTCACCTTTTTTCTTGAAGGGAGAGACTTGTTTTGATGATTGGTTTTGAAAATTTTGTTGGATTGGAAATGGATGAGCCATTAATTGTTAAACATGATCCAAGATGGACTGACTGATTGCTAGTGGAACAAGACTATGATACAGACTTTCACAATTGTTTTTAAAACAGTTTTGTATATTTACCAATCCCAGTTAAGTTCTATTCTCTTTAGAGAAGTGGACAGCTTTCCACCTGCATCCTGTATATGGGGGAACGCCTGTCCACTTCTCTAAAGAGAATAAGTTAAGTCCCAACATGTTTCTTTTTAATGTACTTACTTTGTTAAAACACTAATGTTGATGGTATAGAGATCTACACAAATTTAAATCATTAGTTAAAGACAAGGATAGATATTTGAAGTAATGTCTGCTAGGTTTATGATAATCTGTCAGTCTGTTTGTTTAGTAATAAAGTCAATACAAAATAGTAGTCCTGTTCTGTTTCTGATGTGAAACAAACTAACAGACACACCAACAAACAAACCAACAAAGCATTCTGGGAGAAGAGAAAAAGCCTTGATTTTTTTCCAATCTCAGATGGTGCCATATCAGGAAGACACAGCTTCCTATAATCTTACAGTAATTAGTTTTGAGATTACGACTAGAGATTTTTTATTTCCCCCGTGATTGGTTAATGTAAATATTGTGTCTTAGTCACTATAAACAAGAACAGATAATGGGTATTACAAAACTAAGCAGCATTGATTTTGTGACAATTTTATTTTGAGGAAGGGTTTAAAATGTTCATTCCTGCTGGATTTTAAAAAAAAGCAAGTCTTCAAGAATTACTAGAGCATTTTGACAAAGTTTTTACATGTACTTTATATTACACATCTTGGGCCTATTTTACATAAGAAATCACAACTATATAAGACCAAAATCTTATGTTAATTGTAAAATTTTCCAACATAAATTATTCCATTAATAAAATAACTAGACAAGTGTAAATATATCTTTGTATCTTCCCTTATACATGTATATATTTGAATTAAAAAAATTGATTAGCAGAAGTAAATTTTGGTCTTAGTCGTAAGTTCTTTAGTCAAATGGGCCTCTGTGTGCTAAAGAATCGGAATTAAATTCGTAAGTTTTCTGGTGAAAAAAAACAAGTTACCAATTCAATTACAATTTAGTCAAATCAACTCAAACTGTCAAGCAGACTTGGACTTTAGACACTACACACTTAGACTATGGGAAATAAAACAGCTCTAGCTATCAACGAGCTGTTATCGTCTTACCAAATCTGCTCTGGGACATACAGCTATAAAGCTTTTGGAACTTAAAACTAAAACATATAACTTCTTATAGACCAGGTTGTGTATTCTTCTGTTTTGTTTTTAGCAAGCCACAGTCCCAAAAATCGTCGAAAAAAGTTGAATTCTCGCATGAAAAGTTTTTCGTTGGACACACCTGAGCCGTCGAAGCACCTGCTGGCAATTGACGAGATGACGAAGAAAAAGAGCAGCTCCTTTACTAACACTTGTTTTGGAGGTGACTAAATGTTGACCACTGCTAATCTGTCTATCTGTCTGTCTGTATCCTCCCTTTCTGTTCAGCCCTGCTCTCGTTCACCTCTGCTATTATGCTAATATTGAGCTCTCCAGTTTTGACTAAATTTCCACTTTCATACTTTCCTACAATAAATGCACAGATTCTGTTTGTTGTAATTTTCACCCAAGATTTTTACTGAGTATAAAACTTGCATCTTTCTTTACCTAATCTTTTACATTATAACACACTCTGTCAGTTTTAGTATCCTTCTTTAATTAAAACATACTTAGTAAAAAATTTTCTTTGTCTTTGGCAATGTTAATTAATATGCATATTTCTGCATCTGCGTCTTTGTTTTTAAACATTTGAGCTGCTAACAACATTAAACTGAAAGCATTTCAAGGAAGAGAAAAAATTTCAATAAAATTCAATGTATTTTTCTTATCAAAAGAATTATTAATCATTTCCTCACAAGTTTTGCTTGTAAAATTTTTGAATTTAAACAATGATTTCACAAAAAAAAAAATCTTTCTTCACTTTATCAAACTGTGGCTGAAAAAATCTAGATCAATAAGGCAACATTTATTACTTATTTCTGAATGTCTGACTGAGCTGTACACTGATGGCTTTCTGATTCAGCACAAACACTACTGATCAAAGCAATTGACATTTTCTTTATTCTGTCAAAGAATCTGTGTTCCATCCATCCCCTTTCTTTTTAATACTTTGGTATTTTTTTTTTTTTTAAACTTGCGTCTTTCGTGATTGTATAAACTTTATCTTCCCTGATCAGTGAATTTCCTATTGACCAATGGTTAAATTTCTTTCTGTGATAATGTTGTGAGTTTTCTCCCTTGTTGAATGGTGATGTAATTTTCCCTTGACCCCTGCTGATGTTGTTTCCTGGTCGTGATTTGTCTTCTTTTTTCCAGTAGGTCCGATATCTCGACTGCCGGCAGATTCCGAGGGTAAGTAGAACTACACTAATGGTAGAATAGGTCCACTGCTCCTAATCAGAAACTGGGTGGACGTTGGGCTAATGTCTAAAACTGCATGCCACATAACATATAGTTACTAGTGTCTAGGTTTCTCATTAAGATGAAACTCTTGTCCAAAAGGACAGAAAAAATTGTTTTGTTGATCAATTTTTACCTCACACTTAAAATTATTTGCATGACTTTTATATAATGTTAAGCACAAAAACTCATTATGTTTCTATAGCAATGACAGCAGTTTTTTTAATGCATCTAGACATGCATTATAAAAGGAGCATTTCTTCAGTATGATAGTACACATGTAATTCTCTTTTAAACTCTGATTTATTTTCAGCTACTGGGTTTTTAGCACATTTACAAAGATGCATGGTGTTTGACAATTCATAGGTCAAAATTTTTATGATTTTGTTGGAGATGAATCTTTTTATGGTATCTAAAAACAATATAGAACTAGCTCAGATACTTAAATCTCAAATACAATAGATATGATTTGAAAGTCTTGAAACCTTGAATATTTTGCAGTTTTTTGTTATAGCAGTGCCAAGTTTGAAATAACAAGGTTCTACTGTATAGTGACACTTAAGATTTTCAGTGAAGGGTGACCAGTGGTCAGAGTCCGGTACCTGTAGGTCTCCAGATTTTACAGATCACAGCTTATACATTGACCAATGATTCAGCTATAGTCCTATCATAGCTTAAAACACATGTTTGTCACATGGACATGTATGTTGTACCAATATGCCAAAAATTTTGTAGAAGAATTTAGAACAAAGTGGTGTTTTATACTATATGATTATTATGTTCTTTTCTCCAAGAATGGTATCAAATGCCTTTTTACCATGTAACATTGATATGAATTACATTTTTAAAGAGAACAATATAACGTTGATGTGCCATACAGTTTCATGTTCTGAAGTATTCAATGTCAGCAATAGTTGTTTTACATGTAAATCAGCTGTTTTAGAACAGTTCTATTAGCCCAATGTTTTTCATTATCAGAGGAATCGACAGGAGTTTTAGAAGTAGCAATCTGTCTCTCACACGCAGGAGCTCTTCATTCATGTATTGTTCCAATTTTCTCAAAATTAGCTTTATTCATCATATTCTTAGTTTATCTCTCATATTATACCAATTCCATTTATCAAAGGTTGCCATACAATACAAGCATACTCTGATTTGTACTGTAGCAAGGGATTTTGTATTGAACTCGTAGTTAATAAAGCATGCACGATCTGCATGTCCTAGCTGAACTGCACCAAATGAACGTTCCTATATCATGCTGATTTTATATTGTCTATTGTCTGATTTTTAATAGGTTCATCAAGCCCAGATGAAAAATATGTTTTCTCTGCCGCCAATCTACGGAAGAAGTTCGCTAGTTCATCAAATCGAGCGAGCTCTTTGGAATTGGAAGATAAAGTCAGCTACAGCAATTCTCCTAAAGATTCCCCTGTAAGTCAAGTAGGGTGGCATATAATTATTATAATTGTATATCTCATCATGTCATATCCAGTCATCTGTATAAGTCAAGTATGGTGAAATATATAATCAAGTCAGTAAAACAGTGTATTCCACCAAGTACATGTACTGTACTTATATAAGTCAAGTATGGTGACACAATTATCTCTGATCAAGCTATAAAAGGTGACACAGACATATCTCATCAAATCTGTTAGTCAAATATGGTACGTGATACAATATTTTAATATTATATTATGTGAGGTGACTCAGTCATATTTCATCCATTTGTGTAGGTCAGATGGTTGACATAATTATAGATATAAAAGGTTACACAGTCATTTCCCACCAAGTTCTGCAAGTCCTACAGTATGACAAAATTATAATTATATCTAGTCAAGAAGGGTGACACAATTATATTTCATCAAGTTATGAAGGATATATGACACAAAATCTCACGAAGTCCTGTTATGGTGACACGATAACTGCATACAGGGTTATTTAAATATTTTCGCCCTTTTACACTTGGTTACAAATTTGCCCCATTTTAAATTCACCAAGTCCTAGTTATGTTTAATATATGGTGTTTTTTGAATTTGCAACTTGTTTTAAAATTGCCCACTAGTGACAAGGGCAAAAGAGGCGAAAATAAAACGGGTGCAAAAATTTCCCTGTATACAGTATGCCTTGTCAAGTCACTATTAAATACTCATATTAAAGTTCGGAATGTCAGATAGAGTGACGTAATCTCAAGTCTCATCAAGTCATAAATGGGAACACAGTCACATGACCTTAAATCAAATCTCATAATATTAATTGTGATGCAAAGAGAAGCAATTTCTTTTATAGGATTATATAGAGCAATGACTTTCATGAAAATTTTGTACCCTCAGAGCCACAAATCAATGTTCACTTAAGTGATCTACAGTATCATAATATTTGTGATGCAAAGAGAAGCAATTTCTTTTATAGGATTCAGCTTTCATAGATTGTACCCTCAGCCACAAATCAATGTTAACTTTGATGTATATTGAAATATAGGAGTTTTTTTTACATAAAAGCTCCTAGGAGAAAATCATCTCTGTTTGGCCCAGTATACCAGAACCAGAGGTTGTAATTTGACAATGACATTGTTTGTTGATTTAGTAGATATAATGAAAGAGCTACACAAGTTTTATACATCAGACATTAAATCAATATTCACGCTTCTTCTTCCTTGGTTTTCCACATGTGGAATGCAATAATAGTGGCAGTTAAAGGATAAGTGATGTGTTAATATAAACAATCAATTGCTTTACGGATCAACATATTGCTACAGTTTTCTAACCCTCTAGGTTATTTTCAATATCTGGCCTAGGCATTTGTAGCATGAAATTGATTCCTATATTACAAGTGAAGTGTTACTCGTTTATTGTTAAGATCTAAGATGTCATTTCTAATATTTCTGAATATCAGCCTCTTTTGTATAGAATTATGAATAAATTTTAGGAATTCATTACCATGCAATGTTGTGAGAAGTGGCACTTTTGAAAAAAAAATTACCTAATCACTTTTATATTTCTCTATCAGTGAAACTGGAGGGTACTAAAAGATACATCCTTTGTTTGTCTGTCTAGCTCTCTGTCCATCTATCTGTCCTTCCATCTGTCTGTCATTCTGTCCCACTTGGTATTCCACATTTTTTTTCCAATTCTTTTTTTTTATATTGCTATAATAAAATGATGTAAGAACTCTTGATCAGATATCCATTCATGTTCTTGCAATTTGACATTCCAAGTCATCTGTTCATTTTAAGATATACTTAATATGTCAAGAATGTCATTATATAGTTAACAAGCCCTATTGCCAAAAGTATTGCTCGTGTGGCTGTAAATACAAGGGAAGTCATTTTGTGAACATTTTTTTCAGAAAAGCCAAAAGAAACAGAATACTCAATTGTATGTTGTGCTGTACAACTTTAAAGGAAAAGAAAAGGATGACCTTGACCTAAGGTAAGATACCAAAGTCATTCACCTCTCACTGGAACACAGAGTACCAGGTAAAATGACAGAATTTTTTCAATAGATGATTAAGAATAAGAATTTGTTCTTGAAAGAGTTTTTCTGATGAAAGAACACAAACACAAAAACTCTGTTAGGGAGTGGGTGTGTTGAATCTATAACTTCTGTTTGATGTTTTTGTTGTTGACTGGGTAGGTTAGAGAATGAGTGTACAAGTACGTGTTGTATTAATTCTTAAATTTAGATTTGATGTTTTTGTCATTGATGGGGGGGGGGGGAGTTGAGAGTGAATGTTTTGTGTTGATTCTCTAACTTACCTCTGTATTTTTGTCGTTTACATGGTTGGATAGAGAGCGAGTGTGTTGATTCTATATAATTTAGATTTAAATTTTTATTGTTGACAGGGCAGGTTGAAGAGTAAGTGTGTTGATTCTATAAAGTTAGCTTTGTATTTTTGTTGTTGACAGGGCGGGTTGGAGAGTGAGTGTGTTGGACAGCTCAGACCCAGATTGGTGGAAGGTAATGTACACATTGAAGCTGTGTTAACAAGAAATAGAAAGTTATTGACTTCGGGTTATATTTGTGTGTTTCAGGGTAACTGTAATAGTAAATATTTGTGGGTATTTCAGGGTAAATGTAACGGTAAGGTGGGATATTTCCCGGCGACCTACCTGATCCCGATCCAGACTGGACAGAGAGTATTCCAGGTGATCCACTCCATGCATTTAATAGAGGGAGGAAACGGGATGAAGTTACACAAGGATCAGGTAATATATCAGAGTTATCTACTCTTGACTTGATACTTGAATTCAGATTAGAAAGGTTTCATTGTATTTTTAAATTTATTCAGTTCTAGTCCTCAATAGGAGGCTACAGCAAAACTCCGTTATCACGAAGTCACAGGGACCTATGAAATTACTTCGCTATATCCATAATTCGTTACAACCGTATAAGAAATTCATTAAATTTATATAGCTGGGGATCTAAGATGACATCGCTATATCTATAAATTTAAAATATCCGTGCGTTTGTACTAAACAAGTTTTGCTGTATATACAAAATGGGTTTGAATTTTTTCACTTAGAATTTCAAGGGATTAAATCTAATGCAGATCTTTTTCTCAATAATCATGTTGAATCATGTATACATTATCACTCAGTGGAATATTGAAGTTAGAATCAAATAAAAAAAACCTTCCTGTGCAAGTCATGATAGAAAAGAAAGGACAGTGTACATGTATATAGGATTTTTCAAGTTAAGAACAAGTGAAAAATTATCAAAGAAAATATGGCACTGAGGACTGTTCTCAAGTTGGATAAGCTTAAGTTCTCTATAAATCAGAATTTGGATCGAGTGTGAATCTGATATGTTATGGCCATCAAGTTTTTCAAAGGAGAAGAAAAAACTTAAATACAACAGTAATGATAAATGGCTAAAAAAACTTAAGATTCTTGATTGACTGTTTTGAATAAATCCACATTGATTTCCTTTTCCAGATAGTGTTGCAGATAGGTGACGAAGAAAAAGGAATGATTCATATCCAAGCAGCCAACAAAAAACAAGCCAAGTGTCCACTAAAGTACCTGAAGGAGGTCTAGTGATCCATCACAGGAGGCACAGACAGACAGACAAAGTGGAAACGCCCCCTCGTGTTATATATAATATACTCAGACTTATAGCCAAAGATAAATCTACTGACCCACTGACAAACATATCAAGAAAAGTCAACTCTTTCCTGGGATGTTACACTCGGCACAAGTCGGCCAATTCATACCTCATCTAACGATGCAGGCGATGAATCAGCCGAGGTTTGCTAAATGTAGATGTTATAGAAAGAAAGCAAACTTTGTTGTTGGGATTGTACATGTAATAAGAAAGACAACTCTGTTTTTAGGAGTTATATTTGGGACTACTGCAGAGAATGGGCAGTTACTGTAATCCTTGTACTGTGCTCAGGTTCCTATGGATATGTTTGGACAGTAGTGTTCATTAATAAATTAAAAAAACCAACGAAGAAATAAAGATCCACATCCTGTACACATCATCCATAGCAATATGTTGGTCTGCCCCTAGTATGTGTGTTGTTTATAAAGTTTAAGTCTACATTATGCAGATCTGAGTAGCAATTTGTTGAAGTTACTATTGGCAATGACTGTTACATAAAACAATCACAAGATTTTTTTTATACATGTAATAAGAAAACATTGTATAAGTACTTGAAAAAAATTGCACAGTTACTTTAATGTACGTCTTATTATTTTTGATGATAAAATAATAAAAAGGAAAAGAATTTTGATTTATAAATTTTAAATGTCTATGCATTCGTTAATATAATGTTATTTTATAACAGTTACATGTAATTAAGTATATTTGTAATTTGTATGAAGTTTATTAATTATGGTTTTTATTTTTGGTTAAATTGAATTATCTATTGTTATTTCAGAAATTCATTTTCATAAACAGTTATTAGTCATGTGACTACTGTTGTAATCGTTGTGGACTCCCCACCATTTATTTTTTAATTACAATGTCTTTCATGTATCAATGCAAGGGGTGTCATTCACAGGATCCCGAATTTGATGCAATTTATGTATGCTCTGTGTAGGGGTAAAGTTAGGAAGAAAGGACCAAGTCATTTTGTGTGAATTGATTCTGTGTTATTAAATCGTGTCGGAGACATTGTGTAGCAGATTTCAATTTCTCTTCTTATTAAGAAGGTGGAAAGTTCTTAGTGTTGGTTAACAAAAAACTTATCTCTCAAAACATGGGCAAAATCGTTAACAGTTTTAGGTGATTCTTTTTCTCCTGATATTAAAAGTAGATGGACATTTTCTTTCGTCCTCATGGATTTTCTGAGGTGTTTTTTTTTTCTATAGACAAGAAGTTTTAATTGAAATTTCTTTTTTATTTTGGTATGTTGTATCCTAAATGCTGTAAGCAGAAAATTTTGCCCCTATTTAATTAGTATATGTTTAGTTATTTATGCCTTCTTTTGCACTCCCTTGAATCCTTGAATGGGATGAAATTTAACAAAGATTGAGTTATCTCTCTTTGAACACAAAAAAGGGCAAAATCATCTTTAAGGCTGGGAGAGGGGTTGTTACAAGATATTGTAATACTTTACAAACCAGAAATGTCATAAATTATAGCCATTTTTAGAATTCCATACAAGTATATCATTTTAATGTAACAAAGATCTGTAATACTGGGTTCTATTGTTTTTTTAGATACCATAACTTTACTCAAAATAAGCAGAGATCCCATCTACAAACTTTACATAAGCAAATTTTTTTTTTGAGTTTATGATATGTAATATCATGTGAAAAAGGAATAAAATTACAGCCTTCCTAATTTTTTTTTCACTCAGCCTTTTCCCTCTAGTCGTTTTTTCTCGACTTGATGGAAAAGGCCGAGTAATGTTCACTCTGCAAGGAGAGAAAAAAATGGTTTTCTTGGAATGACATTACATAATGCACATAATGTACACTTTGATAAATTTTTTCAGAGATTTTGTGAGCCTTACAGGGTGTAAATAAATCCACAAAGAAAAAATAAATATAGTAATGTCTACATTATCACAATCATTAGAGACAAACAATCATGCAATGCTTTGATGGTTAGAAGAGTATACTATGATAGACTATGAGTCTAAATTGATAGATTTTCAGTTTAATGCCCTTAAGATTCCACTATAACTTGTGTATCAATGTGATTTCTGTGTCCACAGTTGTCTACCCTTTCTGTATTATTGAGTATGTGTGTACACACTAGTAGACATGTGGGCTTATCTCCCCTGACAGTTTTTGTTGTACAGGCAAATTATGTGCCAAGATTATAGAAGTCAATAAAGCATTGGTTATGTTTCACAACTTGTTCTGTTTGTTTATTTCCTTATTTAACAAATTTACCTATTATAGAGCGTTTTCCATTGAGGTGATTTTAGCAAGAGTTATTCCCCATGATCGCCATATTGTAGGTCAACATTCCCAGATGCCTTCATTATTCAACCAAGTTTAATTTGTTATTCTGGTTACTGAGGTAAAGATAACACTATTTTTCTTATGAAGTTATGTTTGGTAAAACCTCTATCTAATCAAAATTTTAAGATTGTATTTTCCCCAATACATTTCTAGCATGCATGTTTGAAATTGGTTTCTCATAGGTAAATTCACTACTTTGCCCTACAAGATGGGGGCTAAGGGGAATAACTCTAAGGCAAAATATTTCATATGATAACAGTCTATTATTGTTTCAGGTTGTTTCCACAATCCTCATACATCAAGCTCAAGAGCAAAACATAGGTAATCAGAGATTACAGAGCTCACCTCAACGAATGTTGTCTTTAAGTAAGGCAAAGTCATACAATTAACCAACAAGAAGTATACATTCCAAAAATGAAAATATTTTTAAAAGCAATTTTGATCTGATACTTTGAAATAGACCTACATAAAAAATTTAAACTACTTCTTCTTCATGAAAATGTAATGAAAATCCAGCATCTGAAGCAAATTTGAGAGTTTTCATCTCTTGATGCAGCATTTATGCAAATTTGGTTTATACAATGTTATATAAGCCTTATAGTTTTTGGTAATAGACCTGCAACCATAACTTTTACCTTGTCTATTATCTGAAAAATGTATGTCCAATTCAGCATCCGAAGCAAGTCCATTAGTGTGCATCCTGCAGAGAGAATCCATGCAAGTTTGCTCATTATAGGGCTCATAGTTTATTGGAAATGAAACATGCATCAAAATTAACATTTTCACTCATCCACAAAAAGTAGGTCAGATTTTTATGCATCCTTAGATGTATCATCTATGCAAGATTGGTCATTAAAGAACTCATAGTTCCTTGGAAATGAAACCTGCACCAAAAACTTTTAACTATTCACTCAACCGGAAAATGTAGGTCAGATTCAGCATCCGAAGCAAGCCTGGTAGTGTGCATCCTTAGATGTATCATCCATGCAAGTTTGGTCAACATAGGGCTTAAAGTTACTTGCAAATGAAACCTGCACCAAAAACATTAACCTGTTCGCTCAACTGGATAATGTAGGTCAGATTCAGCATCCGAAGCAAGCCCGGTAGTGCATCCTTGATGTATCATCCATGCAAGTTTGGTCAACATAGGGCTTATAGTTACTTGGAAATGAAACCTGCACCAAAAACATTAACCTGTTCACTCAACTGGAAAATGTAGGTCAGATTAATGCATCCTTAAGCAAGCCCGGTATAATCCTTGTGTATCATCCATGCAAGTTTGGTCAACATAGGGCTTATAGTTACTTGGAAATGAAACCTACACCAAAAACTTTAACCTGTTCACTCAACCGGAAAATGTAGGTCAGATTAGCATCCGAAGCAAGCCCGGTAGTATGTGTGTACATCACAAGTTTGGTCAACATAGGGCTTATAGTTACTTGGAAATGAAACCTACACCAAAAACTTTAACCTGTTCACTCAACCGGAAAATGTATAGATTCAAAGCAAGCCCGGTTGGCATCCTTATGTATCATCCATGCAAGTTTGGTCAACATAGGGCTTATAGTTACTTGGAAATGAAACCCACACCAAAAACTTTAACCTGTTCAAATGTAGGTCAGATTCAGCATCCGAAGCAAGCCCGGTAGTATGCATCCTTAGATGTATCATCCATGCAAGTTTGGTCAACATAGGGCTTATAGTTACTTGGAAATGAAACCTGCACCAAAAACTTTAACCTGTTCACTCAACCGGAAAATGTAGGTCAATTCAGCATCCGAAGCAAGCCCGGTAGTATGCATCCTTAGATGTATCATCCATGCAAGTTTGGTCAACATAGGGCTTATAGTTACTTGGAAATGAAACCTACACCAAAAACTTTAACCTGTTCACTCAACCGGAAAATGTAGGTCAGATTCAGCATAAGCAAGCCCGGTAGTTTCCTTAGATGTATCATCCATGCAAGTTTGGTCAACATAGGGCTTATAGTTACTTGGAAATGAAACCCACACCAAAAACTTTAACCTGTTCACTCAACCGGAAAATGTAGGTCAGATTCAGCATCCGAAGCAAGCCCGGTAGTATGCATCCTTAGATGTATCATCCATGCAAGTTTGGTTAACATAGGGCTTATAGTTACTTGGAAATGAAACCCACACCAAAAACTGCACCAAAAATGTTAACCTGCTCCAAAACATTAACCTGGTAATTCCTTTGCTGAAATTGCAGCATCTGAAACTTTGACTGGTACAATAAAACACATTTGAAGCATCTTCCATGCATGTCTCATCAGTATAACACAGAAGTAATTATGCTCCAAAAAACTTGTTTCAGGTTGTTTCCGACACACCGACGCCGACGCCGACATATCAAGCTCAACTTCGTTGAGGTGAGCTAAAAATCACTATATATTGAAGAATAAAATTTAAATTCTGAAAACTTTTATTTTTTTTGGTCACCACACATTTTTATTATACATCTTAATGTACATCATGTAAAAAAAAAATGTTCTATCTTTTCTTCAGTTAAGAAAATATGAACACATTCATGGCTGCAAGTTTGTAAATTTTACATAACATTGAAACAATATATTTGGGGGGAAAAAAAATCTTTAATTAAAATGACCTTTTTCTATCATAAAAAATCAACCAAAAAATAAAAAACTAAAACAATGCAAGATTAAACTTGAAATTAAAAATCTACATGGATACAAGAAGACATGTTAATTAAGCCTGAAAATTGTTACAGAAGAAGAAATCGGTATACATATAAATCCAGAAAAAAACAAGGAAAACTGTACATATAGCACTATATGGAACAAAATTAAAAATTTTACTGAAATTAAATCATTCCACATTTATTTCATAAATGGCTCCAGATGTAAATTTAGCATGAGGATGACAAAGGCCGTGGAAGCAAAGATTTTAAAGCTGATGACGTAAATATTAAAGAAAAGACCATGGAATCTTTTTCTCTTTCTAAACAGAAATCTACTTGTCTATGACTTGATAACAACTAAATACATGAAATCACTAAATCAAAGCTGAATCTTTGGGTCACTTAGGACAGAGAGGAACATCCAGGGAAAACTCAAGTACCACTGACCCTTCCGGTCCCCCGGGACAGGGAACCAGTTGATAGTGAGAACTAGAGTATAACCCCAGGCCTCCCAGAACTAAAGATGACCGCGAAGATTCCTGTACACTGCTGCCTGTAAGGGGGGTTTGTGTATTGCATGAAGCAAATCACATTTTAGAACACTTCCATTTTGGCACTGTACCATACTACATATATGCCTCCTTATATCATAAACATTCATTCTTGTATTTACAATTAACACACATTCTATCACTTCACAAATTATAACAAACGTGAGCAAAACACAGTCTTAAATCAAGATCACTTTGTGCAGAAAACAATATTGGAATTACTCCATACATAAAACTTTACAATTTGCCATTTTTTATGACTTCATCTAAAAGCATGATCACTAAATACAAATCACTAAGTAAGTCGGCATCTTAAATATTCCACATCAGGAACTGCTAACGACGATATGATCTACATAACGTGTACATTATTCTAACAAACACAAAAAGCCATTCTGTGTGTATTAAGTAACAGAGGACTGTTAATCCTCAGTATTATTTTTCTCCACTCCAAACTTATTCCAAGGTTCAGAACTGAAGGCCGATACATTCATTGCTTTATAACCAAATCTTCATGCTAACCAGAACTATTTTGATGAAAGATATTTATGTTAAATGATAGCTCAAATATTTTTCAGCATTGGATGAGATATATAACATTTTCCACTGTATATATATTTAAAAAATCCTTTACAATACAACAAAAAGTTTTAAACTCATAATTTGACAAAAATTTGAAAATATTTGCTGCCACACATGCAAGATTTCGATTTGAACACATCCATTTCTAACATATCTTTTGCTGCCAGTTTGATAGAAATCTAGGATTCCTACCTGAACACATTGCGGTTTTTACACCGAGTCTGAATAGCTATATAATAGATTCACCTTTAAAAACAGCCAGGTCATGGCAATATGCAAAATACAGAACACATCTATATTGTACAGCATATAAAAAATAGGTCAATTCATATATACAATTTTAATGTAACACTTAGTGAACATTGAATACAACAGAGAAGCAAATGGCTCCACAATTATATAGGGTATATAACTTGCTACTAGTGTGAGATTAGGATAAAACTGACAGACACAGACAGTTTAAACGTTAAATGGCTGGAATGATCTGAACACAGTGGTGACTAGCTGGACGGAACTTAACTGCTCTGGCTCACTCTGGAATTCTGGGGATTCATGGGACTTGAGCAAGTTAGGATTCCATATATGTTACTGTTACCTAAAATACAGAGGTCGAGAATTCAACACAATGAAACTTTTTTGTCAACATTTAACTGTTCAACTGAAATAAAGTTGGCTAGAATTCAATGGAAATAAAAAACTTTTTCATCATTTAACTGTTTAACTGAAACAAAGTTGTCTAGAATTCAATGGAAATAAAAACTTTTTCGTCAACATTTAATGCTGAAATTGCTTGAATGTAAGTTCTAGTACTGTAAATCTATATATAAATGTTACAATTTTGTTGAGACATTAATTCCCATCAAAATACATTGTTCACCTGTTGCTATGGTAGTGGGGCCAGATAAGGGGGCAGCACTAATGGTCAGAACTTGTGTGGTGGACGGGGACGTCACGGAATCAATTCTAATCTCGTCCCAGATACCAGAGCTCTGAAAAAAGGGAGGTAAATCATAATTATGACATTGAAGTCATTTCATCCATAGATTACAAGCTCAATATTTGCAATAAGCAAAAAAGTTGTTTATTGTTAATGAAGTTTGACTTTCAGTTATTTCCTTATGTCTTTGTTTTAACTTTTAAAGTTATGGAAAGGTGTACAAGTTGTTTAAATCAAAATTCCTATAATACTGCTTTAGACATGTGGTTAGATTTGGATGTTTTCTGTACCGGAAAGCTAATATCTGGTAGTCCTTGTTCGAGGCCAATTCCATTTTCCAGAATGCTGACATCGGCCGGCAGGAAGTTTTTCTCTTCTCTGATTGGCTGAGCTGGGGAGGGTGTGTCTTCCTTCGGAGATCCTGGGGGTCCTGCCTTTCCTGCCTCTATCAACTCCAGTTTATCTGTAATATAGAAATCAAAAACTGGAATCAAAAACATTTGAACTTTCCATGAAATTCATGTTCCAATATAGAAGTTTTACAGATTTTTTTTTTCTGTAAAACAAAATCATTTAACATGTTTAACAATGTAACAACTACTTAATTGACAGACAAGATTTTCATTGATTTTAGGCTGTATCAGTATCACAGTATGGAAATAGATCCAAATTAATAACAAATTTGGATAAATGCCCTTAAAATCAATAGTTTGGGAAGTGGAAGATTCTTTACAAAGCTAAGCCTAAGGCTTATATGACTAGTTTTTCAGACTTTTATTTTGGTCAGATGTCAAGTACTTTTTTGCAAAGAATGCACTGAACACTGAACTAAGCTAAACAAAAATCCAATTCAAGTCTGTATCAAGATGTGGTTTAAAAAATTCAAAAATGAATTTTAAGTCAAAATTTACAATAATAAAAATTTCAATATTTTTAAAATCTATATGACAATACATTACATATTGCCAATACGCTGTAACATTTTTTTTAATATTAAATGTTTCAAAAATTGCTATTTCCCACATAAAATATGCCATAAGGCACAACATATAATTCCTGCCTGAGTAATTTGATCTCACTTAATTAAAATTTGACCACTAATTAATCAGTCAATCAATGTGTGCTAGAGAGGTATGATTTATGGCAGCTCCCTATATCAATATTGATGTTAGCAGTGTGTGTATACACCAGGAGATAAGCCCTGACATCTTAATGTCTGCTGGTCAGCTCTGGTCAGCTAAGCATGACACCTGTCATACAGTGACCTCCAATACAGGTGAGTATTGATGACCTAATTAATGCTCCTCCCCAGGCTCAGGTATAACACCCCCCTCATTTACACCATCACAGGGAAAAGTAACCCTGCAAGTATTTCACACATGCATGCCTTGCATAATAATTATCCATGAATAATTCAGGAAATATATTAATCTACTTAGATTATACATTATCTTATATACAGGTTTGGTAGATCAGCCGTTCAAAATTTTTACTTTACCATGTTTACTCTCTATTTTTTAACTTTATTTTAATTATTTATCAAAAAAAAAAATAAAATACTTCAAGTTCTTCACAATGAAAATTCCCAGCAGTATTACAGATCAAAAATATATCTAAGAAATGGAAGACTAGAAATAATTATAAAATTACAGACTGCAAAGGGAATTTGGCATGAATTGCTCACAATTAATCAGATTAACTCATTCATTAATCCTTTGTATGAAGCTAACAATAGTAAGAAATTTATTAAAATTCTCAAGGTCTGGGCCAGTCACCCTGACTCACTCCACTGTGTTTTACAATCAGTGTCAATTAAATTTTTACATAGGTGTCATAATCATAATTCTGAGGGCTAAAAACTTCTATGGAGCCATTCAAGTGTGACAAATTGTTCAGTTCCCCCAAGGGTACCTCAGATAGAGATCTACATTTTGTATACACTGATATACACCTACACATCTGCCTTAAGTCAATTTGTGTAAACAATATCAGAAAAAGCCCATTCAATCTCATTATCACCAAACCCTTTGATCTTACAATCAATTAGATAACTGTATGCTGAGGTAGACTTTGATGTCTGAGAGCGGAATGTTGTTTTTACAAGACATAACAGTACTTTAGGGAAAAGACCAAAGTCCTAACATTAAAGCTTACATTGAGGTGGATTTATCAATTCATCTCATACTAATATAGCATTAAATTGAAGATTAACAGTAAATCTTGACATCAATGCAATTAATAAATTAGTGAAATACTGGTAAACCCTTTTTTGCATGCATTTAATAGTAAAAGGTTGCTTATAATGCAATAACATGCTTCTTTCAAATTCCTTACAATTTTGATCAGTATTTTTCTTACCTGGATTTGACATGCTTTTGAGGATAGAGTCAAGGTCTTTTTTTCTGTGCTTTGCGATTTCATCCTCCATCTTTAAGATCTTTGCCGGATTCAGAGCCCATAAACATCCTTTCTTAGTATTTCCATTCATTTTTGGTGAATCCACTTTCTCAAAACACTTATTTAATGACAGATTGTGTCGAACCGAATTCTGAAAAAAGAGCAGTGTTAAACATGATGAATAAAATCATTATAAATGCCTTTATAATTTTATAATAATTCATAATATACCTGGTAGTAATGATAAGCAACTATCTGATCATAATTGATTTTTCAAATGTTAGGGGAATTGAAAATTTGAAAAAAATTCAACATTTCACTTATTAGTAAATGCATACACTGTGATTTAAGACATAGGAAAAGGCAACCTTTTGAAATAAAATTTGAATTTAATCTGTTAATCAAGACTGTTTATGAAGTTGGATGATAACTGTTATTGTAAAGCCTGCACCATATAACAATTTATCCTAACATGAACTTTAAACTTCCCTGTTGTTAAACGGGTCAGTGATTTAAATACCCAGTCCCTCCCCAAGCACCTGTTTAAATATAACAATAAAATAAAGATCGATTACATGGAAAATTTGTTAATTTTTACCTTCCATCCATCTGGAGCTGTTTTGAAGTAGGGAAAGTGTTCTCTGTAATGAAAAAAGATGAATTTACAAACCAAAACACAGATACAAGGCTTGTTAGTATGTTACAAATGGAAATTAAGTTACTTGATCTTAAATTGTTATGAAATATAACTTAGAATAGTAGCAATTTGGGAAAACCTAAAATCTACTTCCTGACAAATGACATAAGTAGCTTTTAAAGTGAATTTAATTATTCATCAGTCATCATTCTCATACACTAAATAAAAGTGAAAGAGAATTTCCACGGAATCCTTCATATACTAAATCATGATGAATACACATGTTCTTTTTGAGACATGTTAAAATCGTTTAAATTTTAAAACTAAAAGAGCACAATTTATGAAAACAATATTTTTGTGGTCACTCACGTCATAAAGCTGTAGATTTCGCTGACAGGTAAGCTCCCCTTCCGACTATTCTTTAAGGCCATGGCTATCAAACAACTGTAGGAATACACAGGTTTGGGATACACTTTTTCTTGCTCCTCCATCAAGTCAATGGTCGACACAGCACTATTTGATAACGACACTGTCACAGGCTTTGACACTCGACTGGGAGACTGTACTGACACCGGCGTCCCCTGCACCGTAGAATTTATCGCAGAGGACAGATTATTGTTGTTTTTCTCGATGTATTGTGGATTTAGGCTGACAACATTTTCAATTTTCAGTCCCAGAGCTTCGGACCCATACACTGATCCTTGAACATTCACCGCTGTAGAGTTAGGCTTCGTCTGTGTGCCGATCTGTGAGAACGCCGTTTTCTTTGGAGAACTGTGACGAGCAGGGGTGACTGCTATCGGCATAACTGACTGTGGATTGACAATTAAGTTTGGATTATTATTGTCAATTTCAAATGAAGAATCCATGACATTGTGTACTTTGGCCACTTCATTCCACTGAATATTCTGAATCCAATCATCAATAGAATTTGGTCCAGTGGTGTCAAAATCAAAAGCACTGTTAGCATGGTTGCTATTTTCACTGTTAAGAAAATCGGCATTGGCCAGAATTTTCTCCATCTCACTCTGAATATCATGGGAGTCCATCGATACTGTGTCTAAAAAATCCATGTCGGACGGATTACAATACGCCATGCTTAACATCGTGTTTCTGACCACATTAACTTCTGGCTGAAATAAAACATCAACATTTTAACAAAAAGCAACGCACTATAAACATCACAATGCAACTACAACACGTGTCGGCAGTATTTACAAATACCTTTTCAAACTTGGCGCAAACATAACGTCATGTTGTATGCGAGAGGAGATTTCGAAGGTAGAGGTAAATTCAAATATCAGACACGACAATCCTCGACTCAGAACATTGATCGATTATTTGCAAACTGTAAATGGATAGATTCCGACCTAAAAGTACTTATTATTCAACTCACCACTGCTGTCACGTATCTTTTCACTGTTAAATATGTATTCAAGTCGATTCAACTTTTTGAAACAAGGAATTTCGGATCTTATTCCGTGAGCCTTACGAGTATAGTAAAATCCCGAGATCAACCTAACAAACAAAGGGAGCCACTACAGTTTGAATGGACGGATTTGATTGGTTGACCTATATTTTCCGATTTGAAGCGGCTTTGATGCTCATTGGCTAATCCATGGCGATGACCTCGTATACACTCCATATTAGTAAAATCACCGACCGTGGCTAACAGGTGCCCGTGCTTGTAAATACGAGCGATGACATGGAAAAAAAGCAATATATCAAAAATGGAAAATTGATATTTTCATGAGGGCACATGTACTTTGATTTTAAAAGGATGGATTAATGCGATTATTCATAAAGTTTATATTTTAAATGTCAATTTTATTTAAAAAAGAAGAATATTCATTATCGGGTTACCTGTTATATAATCATCAAACAGGGCTGATCGAGATTTATTTGCAAAATGTTATATAACTTACTTAAAATTCAAATTTTCTTCTTATTATCTTCTTTTGACGAAACCAACATGCAATGACAAATACACATGAATTTAAAAAAAACATGAACAATAATGATGGAATACATCAAATAATCTACAAAATAAAATATTTTATACCTTTACTGCAATAAAGGCCAATGAATATGAGTGATATTTGTGTCAGATATATAACCAGAATACCAGATAAAGTGGAAACGAGATTTGAAACTTATTCTTTACAGAATTTCATTGTACACAACGAATTGTATTTAATGTTAAAAATATTTGACTAGTCATTGATTATGTTTCATTTATCAGTTTTACACGCAAAATGTGTAGCTGTGTATTTGAACTCAGGACATGAGGAGAGTGGAGGGGTTTACCCCCTCCTTTTTCCAGTGTGTAGGGATGGGTATAAATCCTACCACCTTATAATGAATATTTTTAAAATCATTTAAATTACCACACCACAAAATAGTAATGAAATATTAAAATGAATCTTCAGAGTTCAAATGTACATTACATACATTATGACCGAAGGAGCTAGCTTTATAATAATTTATTTTGAGTCTTTTAATTTTTCTTTCCTTTTAATAAAATTCTCTTCCATGATTGAATTATGCCCCTTATGCCATTCCACCTATAAATTTATCTTACAAATCATGTAAATTTCAGTTAAATTACGGAACATACAATAACTAATGTTTGGTAGAATAATTCAATCGAGCCATCTAAGCAGAGGGTATCCATATGCCACTATACAAATTGAACGTTGCTTATTGATTTTTAATTAATATCAATTTAATCAAAGAATTATGTCAATTCTTTGCATGTCATGGTTTCTTTTATGGAAATCTACTCCGAGACTTGAGAAACACTCATTGAAAACTCACGGCAATACAACCTGAATAATTATTCAATTAGCTACATGTAGTAGACATTTGAAAATGTATTCATCTATAAAAATTTTTTAAAAAACTGTTTTTGAACCAATACCATGAACTTTTCTGAAAAGTTTCTTTAATAGGTTCTTTAAAAAAGTTCTTTAATAACGAGTAAACCCTTCTTAATTTTTTGAGCAATGTTTGGTAGTGCATTTAGTTTGCTCTTACCTATTTTTTTTTTCTTTCATTTTTCCCAAATAGTGTTTAATAGCAACACAGAAAAAGTATCAATACTAATGTATTTAATTGATAAGTTTTTTTCCCTTATAAGTGCTAAAACCACAACATTCTTATAGCTCCCGACTATGATCGACTGTTAACTTTAGTAGAAACCGGGATATGGCACGGTAGGGGGGATGAACCCACCACCCCTTTATTTTGCCGATGTATTGTCTATTTTAGAAAACAAAGTTTATTTGTGGATGTCTTCACTGAGCCTTTGCTTTGTAGTGCCCACCTCTAAACTGGAATGTTCGATTGTAACAATAACACCCCCCCCCCCCCATTTTTGCCAAACTGGAATTGCTTTCTTTGGGCCTGGGATCATCCAAAGACACCCATGATATGCAAATTGAACGTTATATAACCTATATAAGAAGGAAAAAAGGAACCTACATTTATTTAAAGAAAGAGATGCTTTTCTAAGGCATTGCTCCCCCACCTTAAATCCAACGGGATTGTCAATATCCCTTCCTTTAATTTAAATGTTTAGGTTCTTGTTCCAGTTGCAACACACATCTTTGACTATTTGATATGTACCAGCACAAACAAAGTAAAAATCACCAACATTATAAATAATGTAACAAATTGTATTCACCGGCGGGTAGTAGAAAATACAACATGGGAACAAATTATTACATTGTTTAGGGTAGTCAGATCTTCATGTCTTAAAAATCAGGAGATGGGAAATTGAAAGTACCGCGGTACTCACAAAAATATTTATCTGAGCTCTCAGAATAATGTGTACTTAATAAATTATACTATTTATACTATTTTAGTAATACTACTTACTCATTTTAATTGTTCAAAGTTCTTATTTGAGATTACTTATATTACATAGAAAAAAATATTAAATTTAATACCGGTGTGTATATATACATGTATTCATGAAATATGAATCAAAGCACTACCAGGTACTAGGTATTTTCTTATTGATAACTAATCAACAGATATATTTTACAACAAAAAAAAAAAAAAAAAAAAAAAAAAAAAAAAAAAAAAAAAAAAAAAAAAAAAAAAAAAAAAAAAAAAAAAAAAAATATAGGTTTCCAGGCATTCTCAGTTTTTCGGTTCTTTACTTCTATTCATTTCCCTTGTTATGAAATAAATAGTGTAAAATGATTCGTATCATCATTGCATGGCATCACAGATCACTTTTAATATCATCTACTAAACGCCATTGGCATAGGAAGCAAATTCAAAATGGGGGGGGGGGGGGGGTTAAGTGTAAGAGAAAAAAATAAACCTACGTAAAAACTTGACAAGCAAAAAAATTTAACGATAATGTGTCCATTGTCCAAACACTAACATCCAATTTCGTTGGGGGGGGGGTGAAGTTACAACTTCTTTCACTACAATTTTTTTCTTTCCAAACACTAGCACTTACCTTTAAGGGGGGGGGGGGGCTAAACCTACGCCCAAATGTACAATGTCTATATTATGACTATCTTTGCAAAAAAGTGCCCCCCCCCCCCGGTTCCGAAGCCTATGAAGGCTTGTTTCTTCAAGAGTACTGTCCAACAATATATTCAAAAAGTGGTATAAATTAATCAGATGTGGATACTTAAAAATTCCAAAGACTTTTGGACAATTTGAAATCACAAGAATTTACCAAAATCAATCGCTTAAAGACATACGACATATCAACTTTATACACAACCATTCCACACGATAATTTAAAGCAAAGGCTTTTTGACATCATTGACAACTGCTTTGTTCAATAAAAATGGAACACATAAATTTACTGACCTTGTCATTGGCCATTTGCAAAATTATCTTTTTAAAAACATTCTGATTGTACACACAAGTACTCTGAAGTTGATATTAAAAAATGCCTTGAGTTTCTGATTGCCAATATTTATGTGGCATTTGGAGACCAGGTCTTCTAACAATCTATTGGGATTCAAATGGGTACCAATTGCGCCCCGTTATTAGCAGACCTATTTTGTATTCACATTAAGCAGAATTTGCCCAAAATACAGAAGAAAACACTAGCTGTGGCCTTCAACTCGACATCTAGATATATCGACGACATATTGTAAATTATCAGTGGTTATTTCCATTCTTATATCGATACGACATCTCACGGTGAGCTTAAATAAGAGATACTTCAGAGTCTGACAAATCTGTTTCATATTTGGATATTTTACTTGAAAAAGGCGTTAATGTGAATTTAACGACAAAACTTTGATAAACGTGATGACTTTAACTTTTCAATCGTCAATCGCCTTAACTTATGCAGCAATATACCTTCATCACCTGAATTCTTCGGCGTTTATATATCTCAGTTGACTAGTTACATAGGAGCCTGCTCTTCATATGAACAATTTCTAAAGCGAGGTAAGTTATTGACAAACAAGTTAATGAAATAAGAATATCAGCAGTCTCATTTGAAGTCATCATTTCATAAGTTCTATGGTCGATTCAATGACCTTGTCAATGTTTCATCAACTTGTTTGTCAATAATTTTTAGAAATTGTTCACAGGAAGAGAATTCTCTTGCGCATCGAATCAACTGAGAGATATAAAGTCCGAACTCAGGTGATGAAGGTATATTGCTGCATAAGAACATGTAAGGGAATATAAGGGAAGTTGACGATTGTAAAGTTAAAGTCATCTCGTTTATCATAGAACTTGGTTTTTAGATTACCATTAACTCTTTTTCAAGTAAAATATCGAAATATGAAACAGATGGGTCAGACTCTGTGGTATCTTGATCCCAAGCTCACCATGGCCAGGATATATTGTATCGACATAAGAATGGAAGTTATCATTGTTAATTGACAATACGTCGTCGATATATCTAAATGTTGATTTGAAGGCTACAACATTTTTTTCCCTTATTTTCACTCATACAATATTGCACAAATTCTGCTTCATATGCATTACAAAAATAGGTCTGCTAATAACAGGGCGTATTTGGGAATTCCAATAGATTGTTAAAAGACCTGGTCTCCAAAAACATATATCAGATATTGTCCATCAGAAACTCAAGCATCCTTTTGATGTCAACTTCAGAGTACTTTTGATCTTTTTGAGGTTTCTTATGAATTTGGGAGTCCAGTATACGTATTGTAGTTCAAATTCATAATCGTATTCATGTTCTTCTTCGCCCTATAACTATAGTCCTGCTGGAAGGGTTATTACAGGTGACGTAAATATAGTAAATAATGAGGACCTTAGATCACTTATCTTAAAAGGTCCTAAATATAGGGAACCCCGATCCTTCAACTGGCGTTGGAATTTCATAAATATTATAGATTCTGTTGAAAATTACGCCAGACGATGGACCAAATATGAAAAAGAAGACGTTGACACCTTGTCAGAATGGATTAAATGTGTCAGATCCATGACTGTTTAAGTCGCTAATTAAAAGATTGAGGGGCAATATGAAAACCATCTATCCTTCTGTATTCAATAATCCAGAAGTGAAAAAGAATTAGATAGATTACAAGATCAGTACGTACTGGTCCCTGCCGACAAAGCAGGTAACAACATTGTCTTCGTTTGTAAGGCTCATTACTAGTATATAAATTGTATTTTAGAAGAACTTGGATTTAATTCTACGAGTGGTAATCCTACGTATACTCATACTTCCCTTTCTAAGGAAGAAAGTCTTCAAAATCATATGACAGTTTTAAATATTTTTAATATTCCACAGAGTCAAAATGAATTGGAACTACCCTATATATATTGGATTCCAAAACTTCATAAAAATCCTTACAAACAAAGATACATTGCGGGTTCCAGTTAATGTTGAACCAAACCTCTTTCTCTACTCCCCACTAAGATATTGAGAGTAGTGAAGGAAAAACTATAAGAGTACTGTGCAACAATATATTCAAGAAGTGGTGTGAATCAGATGTGGATACTAAAAAATTCCAAAGAACTTTGGACAATTTGAAATCACAAGAATTTACCAAAATCGACAGCTTAAAAACTAACGATTTTTCAACTTAATACACAGCCATTCCCCACGATAAATTAAAGTCCAGGCTTTTTTATATCAATGACAGCTGCTTTTTCAATAAAAATGGATCTCGTAAATCTACTTTCCTGGTCATTGGTCATTTGAAAATTATTTCGTTAAAACACATTTTGATTGCACACACAAGTACTCTAAAGTTGACATCAAAGAGATGCTTGAGTTTCTGATTGACAATATCTAAGTGGTTTTTGGAGACTAGGTATTCCAACAATCTATTGGAATTCCCATGGGTACCAATTGCGCTCCGTTATTAGCAGACCTATTGCTGTATTCATATGAAGCAGAATTTGTACAATATTCTTATGCGCGAAAAGAGAAAAACACTTGCCGTTGCCTTCAACTCAACATTTAGATATATCGACGACGTATTGTCAATTAACAATGGTCATTTCCATTCCTACTTCGATACGATATATACTGGTTAGCTTGAGATAAAAGATACCATAGAGTCTGACACAGCTGATTCATACTTGGATATTTTACTTGAAAAGACGTAAATGGAAATCTAACAACTAAGCTATATGATAAACGTGATGACTTTAACTTTTCTATCGTCAACTTCCCTTACTTATGAAGCAATATACCTTCATCACCTGCATACGGAATGTATATATCTCAGTTGATTCGATTCGCAAGAGCATGCTCTACGTGTGAACAATTTCTAAAACGAGGTAAATTATTGACAAGCAAGTTGATGAAACAAGTCTTGTTTAAAGTCATCATTTCGTAAGTTCTATGGTCGGTACAATGACCTTGTCAGCAAATACAATTTATCATTGAGACAAATGCTGACTGACGTTTTTCATACTTATTTTTAGTCCATTATATATGCACTGAATTGACGACGGATTTTTCCATTATTTTCCGATCATGACAAGGAGCACACAGCGGGTTTGAAAGGACATCAGGGTATGCTCACTCCTCCATGGCATCTGATCCAACCTCTGATGTTTCGGAGGTCTGTGTTTGCTCTGCTCCTATTTTTTTTTTATTGTTTTATGGACTTTGATATTGAATACTGTTCGTTATCTCAATATCCTTTTTTTTTTTAAAGTTCTTTTTGGATATTTAAAACATTCAAAACTGACACATGATTTTGAAGAATTTCTTCCTTAGACGGGGAACTATGAGTATAATTTAGATTACTTCTTGTAGAACTATTTCAAAGGTCTTCTAAAATACAGTTTATATAATGAGCCTTACAAACGAGGACAAAAATATTAGTTGCTTTTTCAGCAGGGACCATGCCTACTGATCAAGTAAAGAACACCATAAAATTGGTCACATCTGTTTTATATATTCTTACCTTTTTAAATAAAACAACCCTAAAATTTAATCCAAATTTCCTCTGTAACATCATCTTTTTTTTTTCTTGAAATATGAAAATAATTAATGCTTATATTTATTCATTACGTGGTTATTTTGCTCATTCAAAATTGATAACTGGTTTCAAGTACAAAAAAAATTATAGCGTTTCAAGTCCATCAACTAAAACCCTAAATAAATACCATTCTTAAAGTTAAATTACGCCATGTTTTTAAACACTTTGACGAGTCCATTCTCATTCCCAACCCACAGAGTGCACTTGCTCAATGACAATGAGGTCGGTGTCTTTACTTCATTCTCTGTCAGTAAATACTTCAAAAAATCCCCGTCAGGACTCAGCAGATGAATGAAATTGTTGTCTGGGTCTGCAACAATGATGTTACAGAGGGAGTCACACACGACATCATTTGGATTAAATCCATGGATCAAGTCCTGACCACGATAAATAAACATCGGACGACCGGAGGTAGAAATGATCAACAGCTCACCTTTTGCCTCACTCGTTCGGTTGAGAACACAAATCTGACTGTTTCCGTTCTGTAACTCTGATTGGTTGCACAAACAACCTGGTTTGGTTGTCTTTAAGATATTCGTACTCTTTGATGATATCACCGTTAAGTGCTAAATGTCTCAAAAGACGTCTACTGGTTGCTTCCAATTTGAAGTCCTCCGATTCCATGTCTATCAGCGTGACCAGCAGGCCACCGTCCAGTGATTGACAGATCCCTAGTGGTGTCAGTGGATATAGCCCCTTGCTGTAGAAAGACGGGCGATAGAGTTGTTCTCATAGTTCGTAAAGTAGACATCACCATTTTCACACACACAAATATCATAAGGATTGATGGGGAATGTCTGAGTTTTCTCCCCTTTTTTGTTTACACGTACTGCTATCCTGTCCGATTTAGCATCACAGACGTAACATTCCCCTTCATTGTAAGCCTCCAGAAGAAATATGACATCATCTCCATACTGAAAGGAGTCGGTTTCAGTGGCACTGAGTTCGTCTAAATCAATAGTATGTCCAGTAATTGACTTCAATAAGTCACTAGTTATCTCCCCTCTTTTGTATCTCACTGAATGCTCACAGTTCTTCGAGTCAACGTCCAAGTTAGACAGAAGACGTTTCAATTCTCTATGATTATCAATGAAGCCATAATCTAACATTTTATTTTTGTTCTCCTCTATATAATTTACAGTTTTCGCTAACTCTTTCCTCTTCATTTCTAACTCAAACTTCACACGGTAAGCCTTTGTATTCTTCATCTTGAGATTTTCTTTCAGTTTTTCTTCATGGGAATTCCTTAGATATTCCAGACTCGTTTTTATTTCATCGAAATATTTCAGTAGTTTCTCAATCTCTTTATCACACTGAATTTTGTTTTTCTCAATTTGTTTTGATGCCTCCTGTATCTTGTCATCAATATTTGACAAATCCACTTCCCGAATTGTTCTCAAATATTCAAACAGATTTCTTCTCCTTAAAGTTGCTATTGTGGAGACTGTGTCCCAGTTGTGATGTATGTGATCTGTTTTGGCACATCTTGTACAAATGAATTCATCACAGTCCTCACAGAAGATATCAATACGTACTTTATGTTTCCCACAAGTTTTAATATGTTCTTGGGCTTCTCGCAAATTACTGTCCGCCATCATTTGCTCCTTCAGAGAGGCTTTGTGACGTGATATACACAATATATGATACTTTGAAAATTGTTTTGTAATATACTGTTATGTTTGACGGCCTTTGATTTGCTGCGCAATCTGAATAGAACAAAAGAACAATTACCGATAAATGATAATGTGTATTTCAATGAACATATTTTAAGGATATTCAAATTTTTGTCATTCATTTTAATGCATATTACCGTACAGAAAATTAACTGGAACTTAACGAAGTCAATATGATTTTGTGTTTATTCGTGATAGAGTGGACGTATGTTTATCGTTAGGTTAAAGTTTATTAAAGCTGGGCATCAATGGCAACTAATGGAATGGAACTCGCAAACTTACCTACATTGTAATTGGTTATTGGCAAAATTATTTTGTTAAAATTTTCTGAATGTACACACAAGTACACTGACGTTGAAATTAAAAAGATTTTTGAATTTCTGATTGACAATAAATTTGTGGTTTTTGTAGTCCAAGTCTTTCACAATCCATTGGATTTGCTAGGAGTTTCGCCCGTTATTCGCAGACCTATTTTATATTCATATGAGGCTGAACTTGTTCAAGAGCATATAAGGGAAAAAAGAAGAAAACCTCGACATTTTAATATGTCGACGACTATTTGTCAGTTATCTATGGTTAATTCTATTCTTATGTCTATACGATATATTTCGGACAAGCTTTCAATGAAAGATACCCCAGAGCCTGAACTCTTTCATATTTGGATGTTGTACCAGAAAAAGACGATGGTCATAACGTCATCACGTTTTATGATACACGTGGTGACTTTAACTTTACTTATGCAACAGCATGTCTTCATCACCTACAAACGTGGATTATATCTCTCAGTTGATTCAATACGCAAGAGATGTTCTACGTAAGAACGATTTCTAATACGAGGTAAATTATCGACAAACGAGTTGGTGAAACAAGAATCTCAACAATTCAGTTTAAAGTCATCATTTCGTGAGTTGGTCGTTACAATGATCTTGTCGGCAAATACAATTTATCATTATGTAAAATACATAGTAATGTAGACGTACTTTTTCCCACGGGATCATAATTCCGCGGAATCACAATTTCAGTTTAATCCACGAGTAGAAAAATACGCAGATTTCCTAGACTGTCACTATATACCTTTATTTTATATTACATGTAAGTTTGCTTGGACTAAATTCCGCGGAAAATTTGTGACCGCGTACATACCGTAAATTAATACCATGCGGAAAAAGTACTTTAACAGTAATTGCTTAGTTATAGGCCATAATTTACACACTGAATTGTTGACGGATTTTCTGTTATTTCCCGATCATGACAAGGAGTTCACGACTCGTGTGACCAATCGACAGGGGATGCTCACTCCTCCATGGCACCTAATCCCACTTCTAGTGTTTTGGACTAGAGATGGGATTTTTTCTGCCCCAAATTTGTATTGCTTAATAGACTTTTGATCTTGAACTCTGTTTGCTATCTGCATATATTTCATTACAACATTTCTGGAATACATTTGTATATTGTTGGACAGTTCTCATGAAGTTTTGCCTATACGTTTGTTAATATATTAGTAAGGAGTAAAGAAAGAGGCTTGGTAGAACAACCCGGTATGTATCTGTATAATTTTGATTTCAATAAACGTTGTTGCCCATTGAAGTTTTAAGAAAATCTAGCTTCAGTCTGGTCAGAGATTTTCGGCTTTTACGGATATGATTCATGATGTTATATTCAGCACAGTTTTCACTTACATTTCTATTCTATGGTTTGCACACACTCTCCTCTGGAAACGTGTGCAGCAGCCCTCTACTACCATCGATTGTCATGATTTGAATTGCTGCAATCGCAGAGATGATTTTTTTTGTTGACAGAGGATAGGTTATAGTGATTCTTAATTGCAGAATACTGTAGATCACTAAATTTTCGCGACACCTTATTTTAGCGAGATTGTCTCTGACTCTTTGTAAGCGAGTCATAATTTTTACGAAAAGTTATTATTTCTCTATATAATCGTAAGGAATACTTTTAAACGCGAGAATTAAATTTTTGCGACCGCACTGTCTCCTGTAATTACGTGAAAATAAAGTTCTCGCGAATAAAAAGTGATTTACAGTACCCTTAAGGTAATCGATGATGGTTGTAGTGTCTTGTTTCAAAGGATTTTGTTTAAACTAAGATATCATCCATGCATCATTTGGCACACTAATATATAAATTATACCGCCATTTACAGATTTTGCAGATAAAACTCGACATATTTTGATATTTTGACACTTTTTAGATCATGAACAGGAGTACTGACTACTAACGGGTAAAATCCAAGAAATGTTCGACATAAATAAAACAATGGCTGATGATACAAATGACACCGTTGGATCACCCCAGGAACACATCTCAATTTGTAATGAACACAGTGTACGTTAGAAATGTTCTGTGATGATTGTGACAAATACATTTGTTCGAAAGGCGCAAAATCAGACCACAGCAATCATAATTGGGAAACCTTAGCGATGGTAGTCGGTGAAATAAGGAGATGATTTCATACTTATTTCAACAAAATTAGGAAGAATGAAATACCAGAGATTAATAACAAAATAGAGAAGCTCGTGTCACAAAAATGTGACGTGGATATACAATTTATGCAGAGGCATCACGAGGAAATCATAAGGAGGCTCAATGTAGAAATCAAGAAGAAACACGAACAAACTCTTAGAGACAGTCTGGATGTACAAAATGAACAAATAAATCGCGTGAAATCACACTTAGAAATGAAGAAGAAACTACTTCTTGATCTAGTAAAATTTATGGAGGAAAGCAGCGGTACCATGTTAGACTACAGCTTCGTTGAGAACCACAAAGAACTGACGGAACTGATGTTTGACTTGGATGATGTTATGAAGAGATGCAAATTTGGCTGGACCTTTTGAAGGTAAACAGCACGATGCAGCGGTTTTTAGGGAAAGTGGTCTTGGAGACGAACTTGTACGCTACATGTACTCCCTTAACGGTGAGCCGTACTGCTTGTACGGAGACGCAGCTTATGCCGTCAACCAGTATGTACTTGGGCCGGTCAAGGGAATTCGGGTGAGTCCAGAAGAAGCAGAATTTGACCGGCAGATGTGTGCATTGAGACAATGCGTGGAATGGGGCTTTAACCAAGTGATTCAGACATTTGCATTTCTTGATTACATGTATGGTTGGAAAGATTATTGATACAGATGAGGTCATTGCCAATGAAATAGGATCTTTCCAGTATGGACATAGCACTATTCTAATGTTGGAGTCATTCACTGACAATGATATCTATATAAATTCTCACCCCTTTGATCACACCAAACTAATCAATAAAAAAAAGAATTCAAGATAAAACTCAATGACTTATGTGTGAGTAGAAGTAGTGTATACTTTACTGATGTTGATAACAGGTCCATCGCTTGCCTCTCTCCGTCAGGATCTGTTTCAGTTGTTCTAAGAACAGACCCACTCTAACCAGGAGGGATATGTAGTCAAAGAAGTGGAGGTCTCCTGGTGATATTGAACGACAACACAACACAGTTATTCAATAAATCAGTAGAATTAGCACACAAGAGAAGAGAATATGAATTTCTTTATGAGTCTGACGTTAAAACCTTGCAGGAACATTGTGATCAAATCATAAACAGGATTACGGAAATCAAGAGGACAGATGGAGATGCAATGAAGAACAATCTGAATAAAGCAAATGCAGAAGTTTTGGATATAGGTAGGAAGTTAAAACAACTTCGCGATGCAGTAGATTTTATCGAAAGTAACAAAGGCACTATGTCTGATTATAGTTTGCTAGACAATGTCCAATTGTGGCGACAGCACTACAATAAAATAAAGAAATCTGAATGGCTAATGCGTTTTAAAAGAATACCTCTCAATGATTGTTTGCAGAAAACAATTTCTGTTGAATTAGTTGCCAATGAAACAACATCATTTCAATACAAAAATAATCCAACAAGAATTCTTGAAGCATTCGATGAAGATGCTTACTACATTCAGGCAATGGCTTCAGAAGACATTGCATCAAATCAACACACAGGGTGAGAGGAAACGAACGTTTAAGTTCAATATTTCTTAAGTATGTGTTTGTAATGATGGTGTTGTATATTTTACTGACAATGAGAATAACTCCATCTGCTGTCTATCCCCGTCAGGATCCGTTTCCACCATCATTAACACAAATCCACAAAAACCACTTGGAATTTGTCAATCAATAATAGGTGATCTGCTAGTCACACAGATTCCCTCTGAGTTTAGACTTTCCTGTCCAGACCACTATTGCGGACGTTACTACTGCTTTTGTTTACCTCCATTGTTGCAACTGGCGTTGTCACGCGAGGTGAAACACGAATACAAGTTAAAAGATAGGGACCCACCAATTACTTACCCCCGACGAGTCATACAGAATGGTAACCATGATATTTGTGTTGTAAACTGGACAGTTTCCAGCGGTAGTCTGTTCATTTTATCATCACCAGGTTCTTTCATATCTATCTATAACGGACAAATCATGGAAGACAAAAAAGAGATTTTTGATCCTTATGACGTAGTATGTGACTCTCTCTGCAACATCCTTGTTTCCGATGCAAGGAACCACTGGATACATCTGCTCAGTCCGTTAGGAACATTTGTGAAATTTTTGCTGACACTGAAATATCTGACCTCACTATCGCTCTACAAGTCTACACTGTGGGTAGGGAATACTAGAGGACTGGTCAAAGTGTTCAGATGCAAACATATGATTGATATTCCCATTTAATTATATTTCAGTTTTTCTGGTCGAAGCGATTTTGTACTGTAAATGTCAATCATTTGATGTTGATTTTAAAAGTATTTCTCTACACTTTATACATCCATTCCCCACGATGAATTAAAAACTGTGCTTATGGAAACTTTGTCAACTACTTCTTCATTAAAAAGAGAACTCGGAAATTTTAACATCTTGTGAATTGTCATCAACAATTTTTAAAAAAAAAAACCACTCTGATTCAACATATACAAGTACTCTGAAATTGAAATTAAAGGATGCCGGGGTTCTCATTAACAATATTTATAGGCTTCACGATCGGAGACAAGATCTCCCAACAAACTGTTGGGATTCAGGTGTGATCTGAATGTGCTCTTTTATTAGCCGGCCTGATTTTATATTGCTATGAAACTGAATTTATTCAGAAACTTCTATGTGAGAAGAAAATATTACACTTTCTGTTGCCTTAATTCGTCTTGGCATTTAGATTACCGAGGACATATGATCAATTAACAATAAATACTTTATTCATATGTCGACTCGAAATATTTTAGTGAACTTGAAGTAAAAGACACCACAGAGTCTTCTACATCTGATTCATTTTTGGTGTTTTACTGACTATAGACGACAAGGATCAACTAATCACTAAATACATATAAACCGTGATAAACGGGAGGATTTCAGGTTTTCCATTGTCAAGTTTTCTTAATTATGTAGTGATATTCCAATAAAGGGGACCCCGTGGGGATCCGGGTTAGAATAGGTCCTCAGTACCCAGTACTTGCTTGTCGTAAAAGGCGACTAAATGGGGCGGTCCTTCGGATGAGACCTATAAATCGAGGCCCCGTGTCACAGCGGGTGTGGCACGATAAAGATCCCTCCCTGCTCAAAGGCCGTAAGTGTCGAGCATAGGCCTAAATTTGCAGCCCTTCACCGGCAATGGTGACGTCTCCATATCAGTGAAATATTCTGGAGAGGGACGTTAAAAAGTATACAATCAATCCAATAAAGGGGCGAAAATAACACGGGGCGAAAATAACCCTGTATACAGCATCTGTTACATAGAGACGACATCATATACCAGTGAAAGGATTTAACTATAGACATTTACTCGGAACTTAGGGCCATTGAGCAGAGATGGATTGACATTGTGCCAAAGCTTGCCGTGACACAGGACTTCGGTTTCAAGGTCTCCTACGAAAGATCTGAAACTAAAAATTTTCATTTGACTAGCTCTGTGTGTTTCAAGGATAAAGCCGACTGATAGACGATATAATGAGGCATTATTTAACTCAGAAATATAGTTCTTTGTTTATTAAGTGGAAGTAAGATTGTATATACTAGTTGATTACAGGAAGATGCATTGTTTGTAGGTGTTTTTAATCTTGCATTTATCTTCACTTTTTTCTTTATTAATTCGGTCCGTTGATTACTTTTTTTATTTCGTCGAAGGACTTTGCCGTGAATAGTGACCTGTCGTGGTTGCCTAGTGGTAAGGCGTTCACTTTATAATCGAGTGACCTTGCTTCGATTCTTGTTCGCCGTGTCAAACCACTTAAACATAGGAAGTGACTGCTCTTGATTGTTTGATATTTTCCGTCCAAATTGAGAATTTTAAACTCATTTAGAGATGTCTCCAGCAGTAGAAAGCACGGGTCTTTCAAAAGACACCTTAAAAACAGAATTTTCATTTCATCGTAGGTGTTGATATGATAAAGATCCTTTACTGCTCTATAGCCCCGAGTGGCAAGTATAGGTCTAAAGAACTATATGCGGTATATTGCATATATTTGCCCCCACAAAAGTCAATTTTTGAAAACTTCCTGAAATGTGCTGAATTCAATAAATTGTATGAGAAATATAAATTAACAGAAAATATTATAGTGTCAAAGCAGTGTATTCACAATTTTTGTTTTTATGACGTCACAAACTAGTCCGATTTTATATCCTTTTTCAGAAAGAGGACAAAATGGACAAAATTTCAACAATTTTAGCTTTAAAATTTATAGAGCGCAAGTTTGTTCAGGAACAATATTGACATATTTCATTGATATTATCATTCTACACATTATATCAAAATATTGATCCTGAACACACATGCGCTCGGTGACTTTTACTCAAAATATGGACGAAATATGTACATTTTTCTGTAAAATTCATAAAAAAATGAAATTCACGTCATGTTTGTGACGTCATTACGTACATATGGCGTCATTACGTATGAAAATGTTCAGTGCTTTGAAGTCAGCATATACTCCCCTGTTTAAGAACTTAATTAAATATATCTCCATCATTTGGAGGCAAATGATTTTGGGGCAAATATTGGTTATTACCGAATAAAGTTCTTTAAAGCCTTTCACCAGTACATTATGACTTCTCTTATAAGAGGAAAATCTTGAATGGGGCTTAAAACAACAATCAATCCCAGAATAGTTTTGCTTGAGATGGGAAAATATATATGGATAATGTTTATATATGCAAATATAGGAAATAAATAGTAGCTACATAAGGCTACAATCGGAGAATATAATTATATAGGTATTTCAGTTGTGTTTTAGAAAAAGTTGTGGCCCATGGACTTCCAATTTTTTTTTTTGGTAAATGTGTAAGGCTTTATAAGGTGGACTTTAAAAAACCCCATGCAATGAGAAATAGCGCTCTGTGATTTAAATGTATTGTTTAAAATAATGGAAGTTCAAAAGAATAACCTCAATAAAAAAATCTTCAATACATCTGAGACTCTTAAATGTAATGAAGTCTTTATTATTATCAAAGACCAAAAGTTGACATGATGTCTCTACCAAAGCATTTTAAATAACACACATTCTTCTACATGATTATAACATATTATCAACCAATTGAATTCTACATAATTTGCATGTTCATAAAGAAACATATTTAATTCTGATTTCCATTTATCTCACTATGATACAGAAAAAATATTTATTTTTGATTTCAATAAAGACAATAAAATTTCTTTTCATTGATATTTTCTTATTTTTAAAAAGACACTGAAAGTCATTTGAAAATCTCATAACAATGCATTGAAAGCAAGTAATAGTTCACAAATTTTTACATTGCTAAAGGATAGCCTTTTATGCCAGTTATATAGGAAAATAAACAATCTATATTGTCTTATTCATGCCGGTTAAAAGAACCAATCGTTACATGTTATTATTCAAAGTTAATATAAGCATTGATCCATAAATATCTAGATACAAGTCATTATAGGCACATGAAATGGCGGCGGCAAGTAAAGACTACTAAAATTCTTAATTGTGACAAACACCGATGTCCTATTAATGTATTCTGTGTCGATTGTGATGAATCCATTTTTTTTCATGTGTGCAAAAACGGATAACAGAAACCACAACTGGAACGACACTGTGGAGATGGACGGTGGCAGCTCAAAAAAGGAGAGCTTTGTTTCAGTACTTTGAAAAGTTAAAGAGGGAAAAGCTACCAGAAGCTTACAAGAATCTGGTAGCTGTTGAGAATATTGGGAAAATATCGAACAGTGTGATATAGGAATTCAGCAGGGCAAGAAAACAATTGGTTGATTATATAGAATCGGATTACAACTTGATCACCAACCACATACATGTGATTAATGCCTGACTTGGATATCAAATTAAACAATTGTGAATATTCAGCGAAATACATGAGAGGAGGAATTGATGATGACGCCGAGGAATCTATCATTGAACACTTTGGATTTAAAAGGCATTAATGCTTCTGAAACAAGACATTAATGCTTCTGAAACAAATTCATATTGACATGGAAATATCAATACTTATTCTTCAGGCAGTCAGTGACGATTCTTGTTACATTCGTTCCATGATATCAAAATTCAGAAAAGTCAACATAGAAAGTAGGGAGAAATAGGAATCCGGGATAAATGCCAAAGATGTGTGTGTAAAAGCTGATGATTGTGTTTATTACACAGACTATAGGAACAAATGCATCTCGAGTCTGTATAAATACGGATATCTTTCTACAATAGTCAGCACTAAACCCTTAACGCCTGGAGGAATCTGCTTATCTTCGGATGGGGGACTCCTGGTCACGCTGACAGATGAATTATCAGATACATTTAAATTACAACCATGCAGTAGACGTTTGGTCAGGCACCTGAAGATAAATGGTGATCTCATCCATGATTATGAATACCAGGAGGATGGTCAGACCAGAATTTTTGTCCAACCAACCAGTGTTGCTCAGAATGGGAATGGAGACATCTGTGTTCTTAACCAGTCAGGTGATAAGACGGGCGAACTGGTTCTCTTGTCTTTCTCTGGTCGAACTAAGTCTGTCTATGGCGGAAGAACATGACAAGATACTTTAAGCCAAACGGAGTGGTGTGTGACTCCTACTGTAATATTCTTGTAAGTGATACGCTTAACCATAGGATCCATATCTTGAGTCCTGACGGGGAGTTCCTCAAATACTTGCTGACAGAAAATGATGTTGATTTTCCAACTTCAATATCATTGCATGGTTCTGTACTTTGGGTCGGGAATACTAAAGGACTTGTCAAAGTATTTAAATTTAGACGCACGGGAACATTTTCGTTAGTCTACATCTAGAGGCTTTCGTTCTGGAGTGCTGCAATGTACACCAACTAATCATATAGAGAAAAATGACCCGAATACGTTGTATTTTGATATTGGTCTTTTTTGTTTGTGGTCCAAAAAATTGATCCCAAATATCAAATAAACAAGTAGTAGCATGCAAAGAAAATACACATATAATTATTATATTTACTAGTATATAATAAAATGCTTTATTTAATTGTAAATTGAGGAATGAATGGCGTAGTCCATAAAATTCATGTTTATGAAATTATTACTCCAGTTGAAAAATTGGGGTTTCCTAATCTTTGGCCCTCTAATAATAAGTGATTGAAAGTCATTTTAAACTATATTTACGTCACGTGCGAGTAATGACATGTCCAGTATTTTGAGACCAGGAGGTCTCCATGGGCACCAATTGCGCCCTTTTGTTAGCAGACCTCTTTGTGTATTCATATAAAGCAGAATTTGTCAAAAATCTTACGGATGAAAAGAAGAAAACATTTTTAAAGGCTGTGCCCTTTTATTCGACACTGAGTTATATCGACGGCATATTGTCAGTTAAAATGGTTATTTCCATTCTTATGTAGATACAATATATCCCTGTGAGCTTGAGATAAAAGATACCACAGAGTGAGCTTGAGATGAAAGATACCACAGTCTGACACATGTGTTTTTTATATTTGGATATTTTACTTGAAAAAGACGTTAAATAATGACAATTCAACAACCAAGCTGTTTGATAAACGTCAATCGTCAACTTCCCTTACTTATGCAGCAATTTACTTTCATCACATGCATGCAGAGTTTATAGATCTCAGTTGATTCGATAGGCAAGAGCACGCTCTAAATATGTACAATTTCTAAAACGAGGTTAGTTACTGCAAACACACTATTATTCGCGTCATATATTATTCGCTATTCGTCAATTAAAAATCAATCCTCGAAGATTAATTTCCACGACTGAGAAAAAAATTCTTTACAAATGCTTAGCAAAATTAATGGTTAGCGTTATTAATATTCGCGAACTTAATATTGACAAACAAGTTGATGAAACAAAAATATCAGAAATTTCATTCAAAGTCATCCTTTTGTAAGATATATGGTCGATACAATGATCTGCCAGCAAATACAATTAATCATTGAGTCAAATGTTGACAGACCTTTTTCATACTAATTGTTAGTCCATTATTTATTCACTGAATTGACGACGGATTTCCCGTTATTTCCCGATCATGACAAGGAGCACACAGCGGGTGTTACCGGTCGGCAGGGGTAGCTCACTCCTCCATGGTACCTGATCCCACCTCTGATGTTTTGGAGGTCTGTGTTTGCCCTGCTCCTATTTTGTATTGTTTTATGGAGTGCTGAACTTCAATACCGTTCGTTATCTTGTTTTATATATGCTTCATTGTAGAACATGAAAACGTTGAAGAATTAAATTCAGATGTCCTATATCTAGACACTGCTGATTTTATTTTTGGTTGAAAGGTTTTAAAACGCTAGAAAAACTACAAATATTGTATTGTCAAAAATGGAAAAAAGCTTTGAATGAAAACAAGAACACCACAAGGCGCAACATTCCCTTACAAAAACATATCGATCACAATGCAACTTATTCACTTCGAATTTGTAAAGCGCTATCTCACAAACGAAGTAAGCTGAACTTACGATCATTTTTTAAAATAATTCTTACTGTTGATGCCTTTCTATTATGTTTAAAGTGCTTTTTGAGTATACACGACTAGAGATAAAGTCTAGTCAGAGACTCATTACTACTGTTGTAATTTGTAATATTTATAATGTAATATTTCACATGCTTCTTAATTTTATTTATTTGCACGCCGAATATTTGATTTCTGAAAGCAATTACAGCTGTCCTAGATTGTCATCGACTGGAATTTACAATTTGTTAAGGAGGGGAATTTCTTGCAGACACAGGATAGGGTTGTAATGATTATTATGCGGGCTTATGACTGCACACTACCTTAATGGGCCGATGGTGATTGAACAATGCTGAATTCATTGTCTTGTTACAAAGGATGTAGTTTAAATTCGGGTAACTGTTTAATCTTAAAAACCATCGAGTAAACTTGCTATAAGTTGGTACCGATCTAACACTTTAAATCACAAGTAGTTGTAGCTGAGTTAAATTTAATGAAATTTTCAACATAAACAAAACAATGACTGATGATACAAAAGACACCGTTGGATCGCCTCAGGAACACATCCCGGTTTGTAATGAACACAGTGTACGTATAGATATGTTCTGTGATGATTGTGACAAATTCATTTGTTCCAAGTGTGCAAAATCAGACCACAGCAATCATAACTGGGAAACATTAGCGATGATAGTCGGTGAAATAAGGAGAGGCCTTCATATTTATCTCAACAAAATATAGAAAGTAAACGGCGATGTGACGTGGATATACAATTTATGCAGAGGCATCACGAAGAAATCATAACGAGGCTCGAAGAAATCAAGAAGAAACACGAACAAACTCTTAGAGACAGTCTCGATGTACAAAATGAACAAATAAATCGCGTGAAATCACAGTTAGAAATGAAGAAGAAACAACTTCTTGATCTGGTAAAATTTATGGAGGAAAGCAGCGGTACCATGTCAGACTACAGCTTCGTTGAGAACCACAAAGAACTGACGGAACTGATGTCCGACTTGGATGTTGATATGAAGAGATGTGAACAGCGAAAGAGATTTAGAAGAGGAAAAATAAGTGATAAGCAACTGAAATGTATGGTTGGAAAGATTATTGATACAGATGAGGTCATTGCCAATGAAATAGGATCTTTCCGGTATGAACATAGCACTATTATAATGTTGGAGTCATTCACTGACGATGATATATATATAAAATCTCACTACTCTGATCACACCAAACTAATCAATAAAAAAGGCCAGCAGAAGAAAGAATTCAAGATAAAACCCAATGACTTATGTGTGAGTAGAAGCAGTGTATACTTTACTGATGTTGATAGCAGGTCCATCGCTCGCCTTTCTCCATCAGGATCTGTTTCTGTTGTCCTTAAAACAGATCCACTGTTACCAGGAGGAATATGTAGTCAAAGAAGTGGAGGTCTCCTGGTGACACTGAACGAGAACACATCACAATGGATGAATTCAAATTCAGACAGCAAGCATTTGGTGAGACACGTTTCCCTAACTGGTGACACTATCCGAGAATATGAGTACACTCCTGACGGTAAAACAAAGCTGTTTACTCTACCAGTCAAAGTCGCACAAAATGGTAACTCGGACATCTGTGTTGTTAACTGGACAAGCAGAACTAAAGGAAACCTTGTTATTTTGTCTTCTGCTGGACATATCAGATCGATTTACAGTGGACAGACATTGAGGTGGAACTTCTTACCGTTTGATGTGGTCTGCGATTCCTTCTGTTACATTCTTGTGTCCGACCGATACAACGAACGAATTCATCTACTGAGTCCCGACGGGGAAATTTTGAAGTATTTACTGAATGAAAATGAAGTAAACTTTCCTACCTCAATTTCTTTGTTCAAATCAAACCTTCGGGTGGGAAATGAAAATGGCCTTGTTAAAGTTTTCAAGTACGAAAATAGCGTAAGTTAATGGAAAGGTATTGAATACTTTATTTGATCTCTATTACCTTTTTTCGTTTTTAATGTTACAGAGTATTTATTTTGGATTTGAAATTTTCTTAATCCTTGGGTATATCCACTTCTGATTAACAACACTTCGCAAAGATATTGTACAGTTCTCCTGAAGTTTCTCCTTTACTGGTGTTCATATTGTTGCATTCCTGACCCTTTTGTCATTAAGAATATTTACATTAACGGTGTCAATGTCATTGTGACTGGTTATTTGCATCTTTAAAAACATTTTTAATTGAGAAGAAATCAACTGCTGTGGACTTCCTCTCGAAATTTATTTATATCGATGATGTTTTCTCAATTAACAATAGAAACTTCAATTCTATATCGAGTCGATATATATCCCAGTTAACTTCAAATAAAAGATACCAAAGAGTCTCCATATCTGTTTTGTATTTTTCTGTAGATTGTAGATTTCTAATGACTATTGAAGATGAGTGCCAACTTTAAGATGAACTGATAGATGTTTGTATGAGATGATATCAACTTTCCTTCGTAAACTTTCTTTTACTCTTACCTGGGTGATTAATCGAAAGAAGGTTTCTGTTCCTTTTATATATAGACTTATAACAACCTCATCTATGTTTTTAATCCATATTATTGATTTTCATTCTCATTCGCTTTTCATAAGAAATATCGAGAGCTTTTTTCAACGCTATACAAACAAACCAGTGAATCGTGTCGCCAACTATCTTATTAAGAATATGGCAATTCAATACAAGTAAAAATGGCTACCAACAAACCCCAATCTGTTGTAGGCTCTCCCCAGGAACACATTCCAACTTGTGACAAACATACCAAACGTATTGATATGTTCTGTGAAGATTGTGATGAATCCATTTGTTCCAAGTGTGCAAAATCAAAGCATAAGGATCACAACTGGGAAACTCTAGCTAATGCGGCTAGTCAGAGAAGGAGGGGTCTTCTAACATATCTAGCGGACATAAAGGAGCATGAGATACCGGAGTTTGAGGAGAAAAGTGAGGAAATATTTACACAGAAAAGGGATGATGAAAATCATTTTAATTATGATGTTGGAATTTTGCATAAACATTTTGATGAAGTGATAAACAGACTTACAAAAATCAAGAATAGCAATGAAGAAATACTGAAAGCCAACATGCGTAAAACAAAGGAACAATTTAAGAGTGTAGAGCCTCGATTAGCCAAGAATGCCCAGCTTGTTGACATCTTAGAACATATTGAGAAAAGCAGTGGAACCATGTCCGATTACAATCTTGTGGAAAACTATAAAACGTTCGAACAACTACGCTCTGACATAGAAGACATTAAATTTCCTTCGCCATACGATGGAGAAAAAATCTTTGATATGTTACAGGAAACTTTTTCAATTGACGTTTTTGCTGATGAAGTAGGATTGTTTCAATACGGAGATCAACCCATACGTATACTGGAGGATTGTGGTGATAATGTTAGTTATATCCAGTCCCATACATCAGAGTACGTGAATCAAATTAGCATACGAGGGACCGAGAAAAGAAAGTTCACGATAAATCCCTTTGATGTCTGTGTTTGTAAGGATGGTAAAGTGTTTTTTACTGATAATGAGCATAAAACCATTTGTCAACTCTTACCTTCAGGATCAGTTTCTGTTATCGCAAATACAGGCCTTCTACCATTAGGAATCTGTCAGTCTCTTGATGGTGGTTTGTTAGTATCCTTAATGGCAGGATTAGAAATCCCCGTGTATTCTGAATTCGGTTATCCTTCTCCATGTATTGTAAAACACCTGACTTTAACAGGTGATATAATACGTCGGTATGCATATACGGAAGAGGGGTTTCAATTATTTTATCCAGCACGCCTCACCCAGAATGGTAACTCTGACATAGTGATAGTTAACTGGGCATTTCCTAGAGGTATTCTGGTCGTAATGTCTTCTTCTGGTCAGGTTAAGTTTGTGTATCGCGGACGCAACTTGACAGACGACAACCCTGACTACCACCCGATGGAGAATTTTGATCCGTATGACGTGGCATGTGACTCCTATTGTAACATCCTTATTACCGACGCAAAAAGTCATCGGATCCATTTACTGAGTCCTTCTGGGAAATTTTTGAAGTTTTTGCTGACAGAGAGAGAAGTGAAATTTCCAACCTCACTATCCCTGTACAAATCCAAATTGTGGGTGGGAAATACAAGAGGACTTGTGAAAGTTTTTAGATGTAAACATATGTTTAATCTTCACGTTTAAACATACAGTACTGGTAAAAAAGCTTTCTGAACTGTCAAACTATCCAGCTCCGTATCGCATCTATCTCTTGTTTGTACTTATTTTTAAAAAAAATATTTTCATTGCACTTTTTTGATAAATTGTTACCTAAGTAAACTCAACCATAATACTTGTTCTTTATATCGATAATTTATTTCTACAAACAGTGTTACTATGTAAGTTATCAGAAAAGAAGGAATATTCTAGCATGTATTTCAGTTTCTTCATTATTTTTTTAATCGCAGTTGCTATATGCATATCGACTCTGCATGTAAATAAGGTATGTTATTTAGTGTTTACGATTTTTTAATGATTTATTTTATTGAAATGCAGTACAACTTGATATTGTAATTGTCTATTTTGAATGTGATGAGAACAGACACCAATATAAACCAGTACCATATGCACTTCCCAGCTGACTTGTTTAAAAATATATATCTACTATAACATCTTTATTGTATAGTAAATATACTTGTATATTTTTTAAACAATTTAGCTGAGGAGTGCATATGATGAAGATGACGAAAAGTATTCAAGCTCGGATGTCCATCAAAACAATACAAATCGGGGGCAAAGCTAACACTGACCTTTTAAAAACACCAGAGGTGTGATCAGGTGTCATGGAGGAGTGAGCTTTAAGCATGTATTGGGTCGGCCTCAATTAAAGATCCGAGACGAACCAAATATTGCAACATATATGGTCCGCCCTGTCTCTATAAAAGCCCCGCCTTCAGATAACATTTCAATTACGTTTTAGAATTTTTTCTCCTGTTTTGTTTGAAATTGATGTTTATGTTTGTTCAATTAATTTTTTTATTGCCCAAGGTATGGTCGTTCTGATCGTATCTTTTCCACCAGATGGTACTATACGACACAAAAGAGGCTTTCCCCTTTTACATACCTTTAGGTTAGCTGATACTCAGGTTCTAAATATCTGGAATAAAACAATTCAACATGCTCACAAAAAAGTCTCTCAATTCCCAAGTCTTGTCTTTATTAATGTTCACGAGTAACCCAGAGTATTTTTTCAAAGACAATCATTACAATTTTCATTTTATATATTGCAAATTATTTTTTCAGGTAATGTGAATTAACACCCTTCCCCGACGTCACGCATTTTAACGCATATACCATTTCCTATTTCTAACGCAAAATCACGCATATACCGTTTCCCCGCAATCACGCATTTTCACGCTCTTTAAAAAGTTCATTTAATCTCTTATTTAATGCCATTTTTTTTATTTTATACTTGCAAAAATCTCATAAAATAATAAAGGTTATTCTTGTATTAAAATATAACGCCATAATATTATTTACGCTCAACATTAGAGAAACATGTACCACGCTATAATGTACTTGCGGGGAAATGATAAATTTTTATTCCTATGAATGATTCCTATTATTGAACAACAGTGTAAACACTTTAGCTTGGTTTCTCTGTTTAATTTGTTTGCCTTTCGATATATCATTTGTAATCGTTTTATGCTTCTGAAATGCCCAGATCACTTTTAAATCAATTTTATTGATTGAATTTTAATGGTAGATCAGAAAGTAAAAAAAAAGATGCGTTAGCAATAGCATTGTATGGAGCCAACCATTGAATCGTATCGCTAACTACCTATATGTCAATTCAATGAAATGTTCTAATGGTAACCAACACATCAAAACATACAAAGGGGTTGTATTTTAACGTGCATATCTTATGTGGCGTATAAACAGAATCCTGAATGCTTTCACAACTAAATTGCTGAATCCGATCGACAGCTTTCAATTTAGCTAAAGTATTCAATAGTTGAACACTTGAGGTAGAAATGGCGACAAACAAATCACAATGTATAGAAGGCTCTCCGCAAGAACACATTCCAACCTGTGATAAACACGGCGTGCGTATAGATATATTCCGTGAGGACTGTGTTGAATTAATTTGTTCCAAGTGTGCTAAAAAAGAACATAAAGATCACAACTGGGAGACTTTGGCTACTGCAGCAGGTGAAATGAGGAAAGAACTGCTGGAAAAATCGAAACTCGCTATCACCAGGGATTCCTCCAAGTTATTCACAGAACGTATTGAGTTAAAAAAGATAAAAGAAAATAAAAATCTTCATGATTCTGACATTAAAACCTTGCAGATACATTACGATCAAATCATAAATAGGCTGCTAGAAGTCAAAAAGAAGAATGAGGAAACAGTGAATGACAATCCATGGAACGCAGAGGCAGAAGTTAAACCAACTTGTTGAAGAAGTAGGTTTTATCGAGAGTAACAACGGCAATATGTCTGATCACAGCTTGCTAGACAATGTCCGATTGTGGCCACAGAAATACAACGAAATAAAGAAATCTGAATGGCTTATGGATTATAAAAAAGAAACACTACATGATTGTTTGCGAGAAACCATGTCTATAGAGTTAGTTACCGATGAAACAATGTCATTTCAATACAAAAATAATCCAACAAGAATTCTTGAAGCATTCGATGAAGATGCTTGCTACATTCAGGCAATGGCTTCAGAGGGCACACATCAAATCAACACACAAGGAGCGAGGAAACAATCGTTCATGTTGAATATTTCTGATGTATGTGTTTGTAATGATGGGGCTGTGTATTTTACTGACAATGAGAACGAGGCCATCTGCCGTCTATCAACGTCGGGGTCCGTTTCTAAAGTCTTTAACACGTATCCACAAATACCACTTGGAATATGTCAGTCAATAACGGGTGATCTGCTAGTCACACAGATTCCCTCTGCGATAAAACGTATTTCCAGACCATACTGTTCTTGTGAACGTTATTACTGTTATTGTTTTCCTCCATTGTTGCAGCTGACGTTGACAGGCGAGGTGATACACAACTACAAGTTTCAAGATCACAAACAACCAATCACTTACCTACGGCGAGTCATGCAAAATGGTAACCATGATATCTGTGTTGTAAACTGGACAGCTTCCACTGGTAATCTGTTCATTATAACTTCATCAGGTTTTATTAAATCTGTCTATACTGGACAAAATATTAAAGACACGGGAGAGAATTTTGATCCATATGACGTAGTGTGTGACTCTCTCTGTAACATCCTTGTTTCCGACGGAAGGAACCACAAGATACATCTGGTGAGTCCTTCTGGAACATTTGTGAATTTTTTGCTGACTCTGAAATATCCGACCTCACTATCGCTCTATAATTCTACACTGTGGGTAGGAAATACTAGAGGACTGGTCAGAGTTTTCAGATGCAAACATATGATTAATCTTGACATTTAAACATATCCAAGATATTTTCATATTAAGATATTCTAGACACACGTATTTATTGAAGAGTCCGTCTTTACACTTAATATACTATGGTGGCATATTTATGCCATCCACATGATTTTTGTCAACATAGCATATCATGTCAAGATAACTATCTCATGATGAATTACTGTAAACGCATTATATTTGGCTGTGTATTCTTTTTAGCGGCTTTGGCGGAACGCAGCAAGCGCTAAATCAAGTACAACGCTAAATGTCTTGCACATATACACATAAATAAGAATATGAAGAAATGCGCTAATTAATTCAAAAGTCAATTTCCGCCAAATATCGTACACGCTAAATATAATACATTTACAGTAAAAATAGTGCTTGTGGAAACTTGGATAACTACTTTAACATTGAAATAAACACGGAATTTTTAACATATTGTGATTGGTCTTCAGAATTGTAATTCGTAAACAACCACTCTGGTTTAACACATACAAGAACTCTGAACTTGACATGAAAAATAGAGTTTTCATTGACAAGATCTTCTGAAAAGATGTGATCTAAATGTGTTCCTTTATAAGCCGACCTGATTATACCAGTATATTGCTATGGTGCTGAATTTATTTAGAAACATCTATGTGAGAAGAAAACACTTCAGTTTCTGTGGCCTTCAGCTTGGCATTTGGTTATCGACAACGTATATATAATCAATTAACAATGTATGTAGTTACTTTCATTCATACGTCAACTTGATGTATCCTAGTGAATTTGAAATAAAAGACACCACAGTCTTCTACATGGGTTTCTTTTTGTTTTACTGGCTGTAGACGATTAGGGTCAACTAAGAAATAAAAAGCATGATAAACGAGAAGATTTTAGCTCTTCCATTGTAATGTTTTATTATTATGTTGTGATATTCTACTATCACCTAAACAGGGTGGTTTTGTCTCCCAACTTATTTTCTATATTCAAGGGCATAGTCAAACTACGATAAATTTTTAAGCCAAGTAGAAAAGTTGACATTAAAGGGACGTCAAGGGCGCCTTTCAAAATCAAAATTTCTTACATTCTGTGGTCGATATAATGCCCGTTATAATGACTTTGTTTACAAATATAAACAGTCGTATTTTGCTTCACTTGATTTATACCAATTTTTCAGCCCTAAAATTGACTATAAAATCAACTTCCGAATCAATTGATAGGGATCAGAAAGGGAGTGATGGTCAACAGGGAAAGGTTACTCTTCCTAGTCACCTGATCTTATTTTTACCTTTATTTTTCGCAGATTTTTGTTTGATTTTTTTTTTTAGAAATCCTTTGGGCTCGATTACTGTTCATTTTCCGTTACTGATATGGATATCCATACTTAAATGAGTATACTTAGTCAAATAAAATCTACAAAAAATGTGAACCATTAACCACAATATATTAAAGTTCATTAATAGCTGTTTTTCAAAATACATGGAACTCTTCAATTTACTTTCCTTGCCATTCGCCATTTGAAAAATTACTTTGATAAAAGCATTCTAATTGTACACACACGTACTCTAAAATTAATATCAAAAAGATACCCGGTTTTCTGATTAACAATATCTATATGGTTTTTGGAGATCAAATCTTCTAATAATGTATTTGAATTCTACTGGGTACCCCTTTATTAGTATACCTATTTTAATCCATTTGAATCAGAAAAGAATTTGTTCTGTTATTACCACAAATGCATGTCAATTAAAAAAATTATACAACAGAAGCTTACTGATATTGAAAAAAGAGTGAACATTTGTTTACATTAGGAGAATTAAAGAACCTCAAACACTGCACTGTTGCAACCACTATTGAAATAACGACCACTATTGAAATAATTATATCAATAGTGGTTGAGAGTGCATTTCAATAGCAAACAAAGTTAATAGCCACTATTGAAATACGACCACTATTGAAATAATTATATCAATAGTGGTTGAGAGTGCATTTCATTAGCAAAGATAGTTAGTAACCACTATTGAAATACGACCACTATTGAAATAATTATATCAATAGTGGTTGAGAGTGCATTTCAATAGCAAACAAAGTTAATAGCCACTATTGAAATACGACCACTATTGAAATAATTATATCAATAGTGGTTGAGAGTGCATTTCATTAGCAAAGATAGTTAGTAACCACTATTGAAATAATTATATCAATAGTGGTTGAGAGTGCATTTCATTAATAAACATAGTTAGTAACCACTATTGAAATACGACCACTATTGAAATAATTATATCAATAGTGGTTGAGAGTGTATTTCAATAGCAAACATAGTTAGTAAACACTATTGAAATACGACTACTATTGAAATAATTATATCAATAGTGGTTGAGAGTGCATTTCAATAACAAACATAGATATTAACCACTATTGAAATACGACCACTATTTAAATAATTAGTTTAATAATGGGTGAGAGTGCATTTCAATATGATAACCATAGGTGACAACCACTATTAAAATACGAGCACTATTGAAATAATTATTTAATAGTGGGGAATTGTGCTTTTCAATATGATTACTACAGGTTTCACCCACTATTGAAATACGACCAGTATTGAAAGAAGAGTTTTACCGCGTAATTTTTAATTTTTTATCCAAAATTTTACAAAAATTGGATTTGGGTGAAAAAAATATAGATTAATAATTAAAGTTTATAAATTAAAAAGGATGGTTTTAGGGAGGCAAAATTTTTAAATCACAGAAGGTTTACAACTTCTTTATATTCTAGAAATTTATTATTTGCATCATTTTCAATGAAATCAGACCAAAAATATATACCAATCCAAGCATCCATATTTTGTTTGTATCATTTGTCCTTAAAAGAAGGTTAACATAGTTATTGAAATTATAATTTCAAAAGTGATTTAAATAATTATTTTGAAAGTTGATGATAATAATTCAAAACTAAAACCATAATTTAATCCATATTGAAATGTTTATTTCAAAAGTGAACATTATTTCAATAGTGCTTGCAACCTTTGTTTGTTATTGAAATAAATCTCACCAACTATTGAAATAATTATTTCAATAATGGTCGTATTTCAATAGTGCTTATTACCTATGGATGTTATTGAAATACACTCTCAACCACTATTGATGTAATTATTTCAATAGTGGTTGTTTATCAATAGTGGTTACTAACTTTGTTTGTTATTGAAATGCACTCTCAACCACTATTGATATAATTATTTCAATAGTGGTCGTATTTCAATAGTGGTTACTATCTATCTTTGCTAATGAAATACACTCTCAACCACTATTGATATAATTATTTCAATAGTGGTCGTATTTCAATAGTGGTTACTTACTATGTTTGCTAATGAAATACACTCTCAACCACTATTGATATAATTATTTCAATAGTGGTCGTATTTCAATAGTGGTTATTTACTATGTTTGCTAATGAAATACACTCTCAACTACTATTGATATAATTATTTCAATAGTGGTCGTATTTCAATAGTGGTTACTTACTATGTTTGCTATTGAAATGCACTCTCAACCACTATTGATATAATTATTTCAATAGTGGTTGTTATTTCAATAGTGGTTGCAACACTGCACACTTAAGAGCTCTACTTATAAGCTCATAGGTAGTTTTATGCAGTTAGATTGATTTGTCCTCAGAAGAAAGATTATTAAAATTGTCATTTACACGTTTTGTAAAGATTGTAAAGATTACATGTATTAGCATTACACAAGACAATAAAATGAGTAATATTATTCATATTTTCATTTCCCATTGTAAGTGAACAGTGACGTCACCTCACAAATAGTCTATTGCCTTTGAACATTTTTTCTGCAGAAATAGGGCAAGTACCTATGTTAGAATGGATGAAAAAGTCTCAATATGAACATCTTTATCTAATATATATATATATAAGTCCAAAAATAAGTCCGTTATTGTTTAGAGCTTCCTAAATTTAAAAATATAGGATTATTGTCTCCAAGAAGGATAGACCTGTATTGTTGGAGAGAACAATTTCTAACATTGATGTTTGACATATACCTCTCTTTATACTTTCCATGGAGACATGAATTTAAAAGAAATTATTCCAAACAATATTATCCAAACTTTCTCATACTTTGTATTTGTTTGAAGTAAGAACATCATTTCTAAACGTTTTGCGTTTCTGATAAGCCCTGTACATTCTAAATTCAATATAATTGATTCTATTTTAAGTTTATATAAAGTCATTATTTCGTGGTTGATATGACCTTGTCAAACACAAATTATCACTGAGTCAAATGTCGTTTTAAATGCTAATTGTTAGTCCATTATTTATACACTAAATTTACGGCAGATTTTCCCGATATTTCCCGATCATGACAAAGAGCACACGGCGGGTTTTACCGGTTGGTAAAGGATGCTCACTCCTCCATGGTACCTGATCCCACTTCTGATATTTTGGAGGTCCGTGTTTGCTCTGCTCCTATTTTGTATTGTTTTATGGACTTTGATATTGAACACTGTCCGTTATCTACATATCCTTCATTAAAAAGTAAAAAAAAGAAGCTTTTTTAAAAACAGGATTTTGAACAGCAAAACCACCCTCTAATTTTGTCAATTCATCATCATGTCGCAATTCGTAAGAATACTTTCAAGTGCTCTTTAAACGCTATACAAACAAACAAATAAATCGTATCGCCCACTATTTTTAAGGAATATTTATGGCATTTCAATACGAGTTGCAATGGCGACCAACCCACCCGAATCTGCTGTTGGGTCTCCTCAAGAACACATTCCAACATGTGACAAACATAGAGAAAATAAATATATGTTCTGTGAGGATTGTGATGAATTAATTTGCTCTAAGTGTGCAAAACCAGACCATAAGGATCACAAGTGGGACAAGCTAGCTAGCGTAGCTAGCTAAAGAAGAGGAGCAATTTTTACTTACCTAGCGGACATAAAGAAGCATGACATACCATGCAGAAATATCAGCACAGAAAAAGGAAAATGAAACTCATTTTGATTGTGTTGTTAGAATTTTGCATAAACATTTTGATGACGTGGTAAGTAGTCTCACAGAAATAATTATTATTATTGTCGTTATGGGTATTTCCTGTGTGAACAGAGTGGTGGATCTGTGTGGTTTTTATGTCACGTGACATGGTCATATAAATAGCAGGTGCGTGCTTTAAAAGTTATTCTACCGCTCGTACAGAACGTTGTAAGGAATGGAAACCAGAACAGCGAGTTCAGATGTGCACTATTCTGAAGAAGTTTTATTGGGCGAGTCTAATGAACAATTGTCTAACGAGGATGCAGTATCTTTGTTTAATAGTTCATTGAGAAAAGCTTTGCAACAGCAGAATGAGGTCATTGGGAGTTCTATTGTGAAGCAAATTAACAGTAAACCTAATAATCCCGCCACGAATACCGGGCACGAGGATAGCGCACGGGAGGATACTAAACATAACTCATTCGATTTCAAACACGAGGGACACCGCATTCAGCATACCTTTAATACAGAGAGAATAGAAAAGTTGATTGAAACAAAAAACTTTATAGAGAAGAAAGATTTGGAGAATGCGGCACTGACAATTGAGAAAGAAATCGGCGAGTTGCGACAACGAAACAAGATTCTAAAAATAGCAGACAGGCACGGGTGGGATACTGTCAACGAATATTTAGACGATCCATTAGCAGACAACAATGACGACGCTGTTAAGTTACGGGGCGCTGTTAGCCGTGCTGTTCGTAAGCGTAATTACAGAGGGAAGCCATACACATATCCCATGCAAAACCGTAGACAGAATGCATTTGCTGCCAACGACTTTTTTCGCACTTTCGGCCAAACGTTTGCTACAGGGGGGTACAAACAATTCGCCAAACCAATCGAATACGGCGCAGGTCAACAGAACTTTGAACAGAAGTGCTTTTTCTGCAGACAGGTCGGACATTACGTCAGGGACTGCCCATTTGCCAGAGGACATCAAGTTCCAGTGTCACCTTCCACGGTCGCATCGACCTCTAGCCACAACACCAACAAACAGTAGTAGAGAACAAGTTGAGTATAGTGAAAATGAAGGCTGTATGAGTGATTCTTATGAATATGAGTTAAACACGTGTTCGATGATTTCAGTAAAGTTTCGGTTAAAAAATTGTTTACAATTTTGGAAGGGTGAATTGTCTTCAAACACATTTGTTAAAAATACTATTCAATTTGGTTATGTTATTCCATTTATTCAGTCGCCGCCTAAGGTCGTTTTAAAAAATAATAAGTCGGCTCATATTCACAGTGATTTTGTTTGTACAGCCATCAATGATCTTTTAAATTCTGGTTGTATTCACGAAATATCTGAAGAAAAAATACATGTTGTTAATCCACTTACTGTTTCAGTGAACAGCACAGGTAAGAAAAGGTTGGTGTTAGATCTTCTACATGTAAATCAATTTGTAGAAAAACAAAAGGTTAAGTTTGAAGGGGTGAGTGAGGCTTTACAATATGCAAAACAGGGAATGCACATGATTAAGTTTGATTTAAAATCAGGGTATCACCATATTGATATACATCCAGATTTTCACAAATATTTAGGTTTTTCTTGGAAATATGGTGACAATTTCAGATTTTTCGAATTTAATGTGTTACCTTTTGGTTTATCCTCAGCAGGACATGTTTTTACATAAGTAGTGAGAGTTTTAGTGAAATATTGGAGATCAAGCCCTATACCTGTGGTAGTATACTTGGACGATGGTTGGGTTTGTGAAACGTACGAGAAATGCAAGTCTGCATCAGACACAATACAAGATACGTTACAGAGATCAGGTTTTGTTATAAATACTGAGAAGTCAGTACTTGAGCCTACTCAGAGTATGGTGTGGTTAGGGTTTTTGTGGAATTTGAAAAGCGGGACGCTAGAAGTTCCTTTGGAAAAAATTAGTAATATTAAATCTTTATTAAAAGAACTTTTAGAGAATAAAAACAATATTTCGGCGAGAAAATTATCTTCTATTGTGGGAAAAATTATCGCATTAAAACCATCTTTGGGAAATATATGTCAGTTAATGACTAGACGTCTCAGTATTACAATTTGCTCTAAGACTGGCTGGGATGAAATTTTGTATATAGACAATGGGAATATTCAAGAGTTAGAGTTTTGGCATTACAAAATCAGTAAGCTCCCTTGCAAATATTTTACATGTATTGATAAGACACCAGAGAAAATTATTTTTTCAGATGCAAGTTCTCATGCAGGCGCAGGGTTTACATGTGAAAGAAATAAGAAAATAGTTCATTACATGTAGGATCAGTGTGAAAAAAGTCAAAGTTCAACTTGGAGAGAATTAAAGTCAGTACAAATAATTTTATCAAGTCTGGCAGATGTGTTGAGTGGAAGGTTTGTAAAAATATTTACAGATAATCAAAATGTCGTGCGCATCGCATGTAAAGGTAGTATGGTTGACGAGCTGCATCAGCTGGCATTGAGTATATTTGGTGTCTGTGTGCAATACAGTATTTTACTTGAAGTACAGTGGATACCAAGAGAATTCAACATGGATGCAGATAGTGACAGTGATGATTGGAGTGTGTCTGCAGTGGCGGATTTAAGGGGGGGCGCACCCGGCGCCCCCCCCCCCCCCTAAAATTGTCAAAGTTAGCGTAAATCACTGTTTCGTCTAGAAAATGTAAATATGTCTAATTGGTAGACCTCATTTTTACCCTACAAAATCTTTAAAATCCAAGAGCTTCCGGGGGCTTCGCCCCCTGGGCCCCCACCAGGGCTTTGCCCTGGACCCACTGGGGGCCTCAAGGCGGCCCCCAGACCCCTTGCCTAATGTTGGCGCCCCCCCTAACTCCAATTCCTGGATCCGCGCCTGGTCTGGTCACATTTTCCGATATTTTGATAGAATATTGGTTCTTTTTATAATTGATCTTTTTGCAAATTGTAAGAATAACAAAGTTAAAAGGTTTTATTCGAAATATTGGAATCCAGGCACTACAAGAGTTGACGCTTTCGCTTATGATTGGTCAGGTGAAAATTGTTGGATAGTACCTCCTCCTTTCCTTATAGGCAAAGTGATAAAACATTTGCGTTTGTGTAATGCATATGGAACTTTAATCATTCCTAAATGGTTGTCTTCTTTATTTTGGCCAATGATATGGTATAAAAGTACAACATCTTACAAATCTTATATAAAAGAATATGTTGAATATAAGAACCCAAGAATTTTTTTTTTATTTCAGGATCAGACAAGTCGAGTATATTTGCTCAAGAGATGTTTTTGAGTAACGTTTTGGTTGTTAGAATTGATTTCAGAAAAATATAATAATAGCAGTTTAAATATGTAAGTGAGTGTGTTGTTATATTTTTGCTGTTTATTCACAGATTTTTAATGGTACTTGGGCGGAAATTAAAGACATGTCAACGAAAGAGCAGTTTAAATCAGCAGATTCCTCAATATTCCACATCATGAAAAGTGCAAAAAGTAAAAACACAGTCAAGCAGTATGAAACGTATTTCAAGAAATTTACGCAGTGGTGTATTTCCAAAGATGTCGCAAGTTTTCCCGCAAAATCTAGTGTGATTGCCATTTTCTTAAGTGGATTAATTCAACAGGGAGTTTCTGAAGCAGTTCTATGTTCATTTTTTTTATAGTATAAAGTGGTATCATGATCTTCATTGTGCGTTATCTAATCCCTGTGACGACAGTGTTATTCATAGTTTAATGTAGGGGGGAAAACGAATTTTATCAAAGCCCATAAAGAAGAAGGAACCAATTTCGCCAGATGTGTTAGAGAAGATTATAAATGTATATCTGGATCGGGAGCAAAATTGTGATTTACGAAGTGTAAGAACAGTGGCTATATTGTTGTTGAGTTTCGCAGGTTTTTTGCGATTTAGCGAATTATCTAATATTAAAGTGAAAAATATAATTTTCAAGAATTTATACATGAATGTTTGCATCGAATCCAGCAAAACTTACGTATACAGGCGTGGTAACGAAGTGACATTGGCAGAGACAGGAGGGAAGCTGTGTCCTGTATCTTGGATTAAGCATTATTTAAATCTAGCAGCAATTCAGGATAAACCAGAGGAATATGCATTCAGAGCAATTAGATTTTACAAGTCATGTGGAAAATATATGTTGTGCGGTATTAACAAGCCGATTTCATATACAAGAGCCCGAGAGTTATTGTTAGAAGCATTGGAAAAAAGTGGGAATAGATTCAAAAGGCTTTGGTTTGCACAGTCTGCGAAGTGGAGGGGCAACGACTGCAGCCGAGAAAAATGTATCGGAGCGTCTGATCAAAATACATGGACGTTGGAAATCTGACTATTCCAGAGACAATTATATGAAGGATTGTATAGATAACAAATTGAAAGTGTCTAATAGTCTTTTCGTGTAAATATGAATGAATATCTATTAATAAATATATATGCATATATAGTGTGTGTGTGTAGACAGGTATTATTATTATTTACATGCACTTTTCTCTTTGATTGTTCTACGTTCTGACGAGCAGCATTCCATACATATGAGTTGATTATTCTTTCAATACAGAATAAAGAGTATAATTAATTTATATTCGGACGAACGAAGTGAGGGAGAATATAAAGAGATGCAACAAAGAAACACTTAGAATCAACCTGCATAAAGCAAACGACCAGGTTAACGGTGCAAAATATCAATTGGACAAAAGAATTCAGGCCAGGGTCTCAGATTCAGTTTAGGTCCAGCCATATAAATTACTTCACTCCCGTTTCGCCCAGGAGTAAAACACAACAACAAAATAAAATCGTGTCCGTGCCCATTTCCTTTTAACACCAACAACGTTCCATAGTTATCAGTTTTAAACGGAAAGAGAGACAGTTGGGCTGGCTGGATATCCATCTTTCTATTGAATGGCTGAGTCAAAAACCGAGACCCCTGTTGCTAACATTAAAAGGGATAAATGCCACTGCCCGATATGCCTAGAGGAGGTAAGAAAACCGAAGTATTTGCCGTGTTATCACACATTCTGCGAGCCGTGCATTCAGACTTACATTTCAAGTACGGCAGCACATAAGGAAACCAACACAGTTAAATCAATCGAATGTCCCGTTTGTCGCAGATGTGTCAACGCTCCGAGGGAAAACATTTCAAGTGAAGAATGGGCATTGGAATTACCTACTAATAAACTTGTTCTGACTTTGTCAGTAGATCCTGAGCAAGATGAAAATAAAAACTGTATGTTTTGCACACGGGCTGAGAAAACGGTACCTGCGAGGTACTGGTGCAAGATCTGTATGGAAGCTATTTGTGAAGATTGCAAATCATTTCACAGACTTGTTCCAAGTCTACAGGATCATAAAATTACAAATCTTGCGAACATCAAGGAAGTGAACAGTGAAATCGAGATAGAGGAGACATGTCTCTTTCACAAAGAGAAGGTACTTGATGTATTTTGCCACGACCATCAGCAGCTATGCTGTAGTGTATGCCTTGTCAAACAGCATAAATCGTGCAAGAATGTGGACACAATTGAAGATACGGCTCTCACGGTTGACCGAGATTACATTCAAGACATAGTTTCCAAATATATTGGTTTGGGAAAGAATGTTGAAGATATGATGTTAGAAAAATTGAATCTGAAAGCCGAACTCAGTACTAAGAAGCAAGATATATGTATGAAAACTGAAGAGAAAGTTGAAGAAATCAAATCACTATTGGACAATGCACATGCGAAGTGGCTAAAACAATTTGAGCAGATTCATGCAGATTCCATTGGGAACATTGAAATAGCTTATGATGAACTGAAGCGGTTTTTCACTACAGTGAATGAAGCAAGTGCCATTCTACAATCAGTGTTAAAAAGTGGGTCTTCTAAACAATTATTTATTACGAATCTGAAATTGCAAAATCAGATGAATGACCACATCTCCCATTTAAAGTCTTTAAAAATTTGGAACTTTCCCAAAGATTACCAACAACATAACTCGGACTTTCTCAGTCAAATATCCATTTCAAAAGAATTTGAAGACGTGGTATTGTCTAAAGAACAATCTTGGATAGTTGAGAAAATACTAATGAGTTCACCGGTCGTGGGCGACAAAGAAAATATTTTACAAAGGAGAAAAAAAATGTGTCAAAAAGATTGGATGAAAGTCAACCTAAGGAAATTATCCCAGATTGAAAAATTATCAGAAACAGTTTATTATGGCTTGTTTGTTAGCGACACGATGATAGTATTATCTCACACAAGTCCACCGTCGCTGAAGATTTACGACATTAGTTATTCCACAGGAGAATGTGTTCACACAGAGATGTGTGAGCAAAAACCATACGGCCTCTGTCACTCCGGTTGGAGCTTGAATGAAATATATGTTTCTTTTAAAAGATTTATCAATCATTATCGGATTGATGTCGCAAAATCTATAACATTTACAAAACTTAGAACTATTCACTTAAAACAACAGATGTTGGCGATTTCTCGTGGGCCAACAACAGTGTTTGCCGCCAATCGTTCTGCAAGAATTATTTGTTCTTTGGACTTCTGCATAAAGCATAGTTTACCATACAAACCGTCCGGAGATGTACCATTCGTTTCTTCGTCGTTGGTGTCAGATACACATAGTTTTATTAGAGATGGGATGATAATAACTGTAGATCAGAATAACAAAGAGATTTCTATGAGTCCTGGCGATCAAAAATTTAGGGGACTCTCATTTGACTTAGAAGATAACATCTTGGTTTGTAATAGATCATCTAAACTTAAACAGTTTAAACATGGATTCGTCGAGAGTAGAGACATCGATCCAGCCGACACTGACATGAACGATTCTTATAACATTATACTTCATCCAGCTGGAGAGAAGATATTGTTGTTAGATTTATTTCAACAATGCTCTGTTTATCAGGTATCTTAGAGATGATACTTTACTTGTTATAAACAATGTAAATGCAATCATGAAATTAAAATCACAATCATATATGACTTTTTTATTCTTCAAAAGGGCTGGGCCACAAGAACAGGCTAGTGTTGACCATGATAACTACAATATCTACAAAATATCATCGAAAAAATCGCAATGGCAACTCTATCTTGTTAAAATAAAAAATCCTTATCATATTAGTATCAAAATTCTAGTAATAAGTGATATCGTGAACATAAAACAAAACTGATCTGATAGGAAGAAGTGCTGATCATAATTCTGTTACGTTCTTTTTCTTTCACTTCAAATTAAGTAATTAGTGAAGAAATAGACAGGGATTTTCAAATAATTTTTACGATGGATTTCTTTATGCTATATTCAAAGTACGAAACTTAAGATTCTTAAAAACATTTTTTTTGTTTTTGTTAACATAAAAAACTTCCTCCTAATTGATTTTACAATAACGTTAAAAATTACGTGTACATTTGATGTGTTCATTTTTGGCCATGATTTGTACTTCATGTATCTTGATCCCGCAATACTTTATTTCAGTGATGCTTTTTTAAAGTCAATTCATTTACATTCCTTTCCTGTCTTTCCTGTATTTAAGGATACTTAAGTTCAATACGAATCTATGAGAGAGAGAGAGTAGTCAGTGTAATTCTTTTCATGGATGATTTATAAACAGAAGCTAGGCGTCTGCGCCTGTTAATTCAGATTTTTTAACAACCTCATGTGCGTTTTAAATCCAAATTATTGATTTTCATTTTCATTTGCAATTCATAAGAAATTGGGAGCTATTTCAATTCTATCTAAACAAACAAGTAAATCGTATCGCCAACTATCTTTATAAGAATATGGCACTTCAATACAGGTTGTAATGGCGACCGAATCTGCGATAGGTTCTCCTCAACAACACATTCCAACTTGTGACACACACAGCAAACGAATTGATATGTTCTGTGAGGATTGTGATGAGTTCATTTGTTCCAAGTGTGCGAAAACTTAGCATAAGGATCACAAATGGGATACGCTATCTAATGTAGCTAGCCAGAGAAGGGAAGATCTCTTAACGTACCTAACAGAGTTAAAGGACGAGGACATACCGGAGTTTGAAAAGAAAAAGGAGAAAATATGAACGCAGGAAAAGGATAATAAAATTCAGTTTGATAAAGATATCATAGTTTTACAGATTTTGATAATGTCATTTGCCGGCTAACAGAAATCAAGAAGAGTAATGAAATAACACTGAAAAACCACTTAAGCAAAACAAACAAACAAATAAAATCTCTGAAATCTCAGATGGACGAGAAAAAATCCCAGCTTGTTGACACCATAGAATTAATTGAGAGCAACGGCAGAAATATGTCAGATTTCCACCTGATCGACAGCTTAAAAACTCTGAGACAGCTACGGTCTGATATTAAAGACATTAAAGATCCGCCAGAATACGATGGAGGAAATTTTTTTGATGACTTGCAACAAACGTGGTTAATTGATGTCATTGCTGATGAAGTAGGATTTTTTCAAAACGGAGATAATCCAGTACGTACACTCGAGGTTTATGGTGAAGACACTTGCTATATCCAGTCTTTTTTATTGGATTGTTTTAATCAAATTACTTAGTACTGTATACAGGGTTATTTTAGCCCCGTGTTATTTTCGCACTTTCCAACTTGCAAACAATTTTGTCCCGTTTTAAATTCACCCAGTTACAGTTTTGTTTAAGAAATCATACTGTATTATGTGAATTCGCCCCGTTTTAAATTCGCCCAAATGACGGTAGGGCGAAAGGGGCGAAAATAAAACAGGGGCGAAAATATCCCTGTATACAGTAACATAAAAGAGGGGAACAAACGAAAGATCATGATAAATCTTTGTGATATCTGTATTTGTAAGAATGGTGAAATGTTTTTCACTAATAATGAGAACAAAACCATTTGCCAACTCTTTCCTTTTGGATCTGTCTCTGTTATCGCAAATACAGAAGAATTACTACCACAAGGAATCTGTGAGTCGGTGGATGGTGGTCTCCTGGTCGCCTTGACAGATTATTCTGAATACTGGGAACCTTTTACAAGTTTAGTAAGACATATGACCTTAACAGGTGACGTCATACGTGATATCAGTGATCCGTATTTTCAGGATCAACTTTTTTCTTTTCCACAACGAATTACACAGAATGGTAACAGTGACATCTGTATTGTAGACTGGGCATATCCAGTGGATAATCTGATTATTTTGTCTTCACTTGGTCAAGTTAAGAGGAAGTATGGGGGTAATGTGACTTACGACGACGAATATAAGTTGCACCCGATTAAGAACTTTGATCCGTATGACGTGGCATGTGACTCTTTTTGGAACATACAGTGAAAACTGTCTAATCCGACACCTGAATAATCCGACACACTGTGAATTCCGACGTTAAAATTCTTTCCCTTTCAAGTATTTTCCTTGTTTTTTACACTGTGCAATCCGACACCCTGTCTATTCCAACACAAATTCTGTCTCCCAGAGCATGTCGGATTAGACAGGTTTCACTGTACTTGTTACCGACGCAAAACATCATCGGATCCATATACTGAGTCCTTCTGGGGTATTCTTGAAGTTTTTGCTTACAAAGAGTGAAAAAGGAATTCCCAACCGCATTATCACTGTACAAATCTAAATTGTGGATAGGAAATACGAAAGGACTTGTTAAAGTTTTCAGATATAAACATATGTTTAGTCTTCAAGATTAATCATACACATAGATAGGTTAACGAACCGTCAAAGTGTCCATCTGCTTATTGAAATTTCATGTTTTAAAACTGCAATTTTCAATAAATTTGTTACAAAAGAAAACCTAGTCATGGTTAATTTTTAAAAATGATTTATTGTATTGAAATGAAGTTTTAAATTGAGATTGTTATTATCTTTTTTAATAAAATGCTATAACACCACATTCACCAAAGCAAACCAGTACCATAGGCACCCAAGGCTTTGTTTATAGTTTACAGTTAAAATGTACTATAATCATGTTTATACCACTAGTAGATGTAGATATATTTCTTTTAAGATTAAGCTTGCGAGTGCATATGATAAAGATATGAAACAGTAATCAAAATCTGGAGCACAGAAAATCAAACAGACATGGATTCACTTAAAGTAGATCCTGCAGATACTGACATAATTCTTATGATAATAGTATACACTTCATCCAGCTGGAGAAAAGATATAATTGTTAGTAAGTTTATGCAAAGAATGTTCTGTGTATTACTCCTACATGGCGCCTGATCCCACTTCTGATGTTTTGGAGGTCTGTGTTTGCTCTGCTCCTATTTTGTATTGTTTTATGAACTTTGATATAGAATACTTTCGTTATCTCCTTATCCTTCTTCTGTGTACCAGGTATCTTAGAATTCATACTTTACTAGTTTTTTTTGGAGACCAGGTATTCCAACAATCTATTGGAATTCCCATGGGTACAAATTGCGCTCCGTTATTAGCAGACTTATTTTTATATTCATATGAAGCAGAATTTATGCAAAATCTTATGCGAGTAAAGAAGAAAACACTTGCTGTGGCCTTCAACTCGACATTTAGATATATCGACGACGTATTGTCAATTAATAATGATAATTTCCATTCCTACGTCGACACGATATATTCTGGTGAGCTTGAGATAAAAGATACCACAGAGTCCGACACTTCTGCTTCATACTTGGATATTTTACTTAAAAAAGACACTTATGGTAATCTAACAACCAAGCTATATGATAAACGTGATGACTTTAACTTTTCTATCGTCAACTTCCCTTACTTATGCAGCAATATACCTTCATCACCTGCATACGGAGTATATATATCTCAGTTGATTCGATACGCAAGAGCATGCTCTACGTATGAACAATTTCTTAAACGAGGTAAACTATTGACAAGCAAGTTGATGAAACAAGAATATCAACAGTCTCGTTTAAAGTCATCATTTCGTAAATTCTATGGTCGATACAATGACCTTGTCAGCAAATACAATTTATCATTGAATGAAATGCTGACTGACGTTTTTCATACCAATTGTTAGTCCACTATCTATACAATGAATTGACGACAGGTTTTCCCATTATTTCTTAACCATGACAAGGAGCACACGGCGGGTGTGACCGGTTGGCAAGGGATGCTCACTCCTCCATGGCACCTGATCCCACCTCTGATGTTTCGGAGGTCCGTGTTTGCTCTGCTGATATTTTGTGTATTGTTTAATGGACGTTGAGATTGAATACTATTTGTTATTTCCATATCCTTCTTTTAAACATTCCATGTTAAAGACATCAAAAATTAAAATTATATAATATCAAAAACAGCACAGGCATGTGATATCTTATTCTTGTATCTGGGTCTTCTAAAGGACAAGACCACAAGAAAAGGCTAGATAACGATAATACTATCTAGAAAATAGCAATTGAATACATCGCAATTGCAGCAGTTTCGTTAAAATAATATCTGTTACCAGGAGGAATATGTAGTCAAAGAAGTTGAGGTCTCCTGGTGACATTGAAAGACAACACAACACAGTGGATGAATTCTAATTCATACAGCAGGCCTTTGGTGAGACACGGTTCCCTCACTGGTGACAATTATCCGAGAATACGAGTACAATCTTCACGGTAAAACAAAGCTGTTAACTATACCAGTCAAAGTCACACAGAATGGTAACTCGGACATCTGTGTTGTTAAGTGGACAAGCAGAACTAAAGGGACTCTTGTTATTTTGTCTTCAGCTGGACATCTCAGATCCATCTACAGTGGACAGCTATTGAAGTGGATTTTTTTACTTTTGACGTGGACTGCGATTCTCTCTGTTACATTCTTGTGTCCGACCGATACAACGAACGAATTCATCTACTGAGTCCCAACGGAGAAATTTTGAAGTATTTACTGACTGAAAATGAAGTTAACTTTCCCACCTCAATTTCATTGTTCAAATCAAACCTTCGGGTGGGAAATGAAAATGGCGTCGTTAAAGTTTTCAAGTACGAAAATAGCGTAAGTTAATGGATAGGTATTGATTACTTTATTTGAACTCTAAATTACATTTTTTTCGTTTTTAATGTTACAGTGTATTTATTTTGGATTTGATTTTTTTCCTTGAGTTTGTCCACTTCTGATTAACTACACTTCTCAAGGGTGTTGTACAGTTCTCCTGAAGATTCTCCTTTACTGGTGTTAATATTGTTACATTCGTTACCCTTTTGTCATTAAGAATATTTACATTAACGGTGTCAATATCATTGTAACTGGTTATTTGCATCTTTAAAAACATTTTTAATTGAGAAGAAAACAATTGCTGTGGACTTCCTCTCGAGATTTATTTATATCGATGATGTTTTCTCAGTTAACGACAGAAACTTCAATTCTATATCAAATCGATATATATCCAAGTTAACTTCAAATTAAAGATACGAAAGAGTCTCCATATCTGTTTTGTATTTAGATTTCTTATGACTATTGAAGATGAAGGCTAACTTATAATTAGGATGTACTGATAAATGTTTGTATGAGATGATTTCAACTTTCCTTCGCAATCGCAAACTTTCCTTTACTTTTACTTAGGTGATCAATCGAAAGAAGGTTTCTGCTCCTTTTATATATAGACTTTTAACAACCTCATCTATGTTTTAAATCCATATTATTGATTTTTATTTTCATTCGCTATTCATAAAAAAATTTAGAGCTGTTTTCGACGCTATACAAACAAATCGTATGGTATCGCGACCTATGTATATATTAATAGAGAAATTAACTCTAGTAGCAATGGCGACCAACACACCTGAACCTGTTTTAGGCTCTCCTCAAGAACACATTCCAACTTGTGACAAACACAGCAAACGAATTGATATGTTCTGTGAGGATTGTGATGAATTAATTTGTTCCAAGTGTGCAAAATCAAAACATAAGGATCATAACTGGGACACATTAGCTAACGTAGCTAGTCAGAGAAGAAAAGAACTCCAAACGTACCTAACAGAGATAAAGGATGTAGACATACAGAAGTTTGAGGAGAAAAAGGAGAAAATATTAAAACAGGAAGAGGATAATAAAATTCAGTTTAAGAATGATATCAGAGTTTTACAGAAGCATTTTAATGACGTGATTTGCAAGCTTACAGACATCAAGAGAAGCAATGAAAAAACACTGAAAAACCACTTGAGTAAAACAAACAAACAAATAAAATATCTGAAATCTCAGATGGATGAGAAAAAATCTCAGCTTGTTGACACCGTAGAATTAATTGAGAACAACAGCAGAAATATGTCAGATTTTCACCTGATCGACAACTTAAAAATTCTGAAACAATTACAGTGTGATATAGGAGACAATGAAGATCCTTTGGAATACGAGGAAGGAAAACATTTTAATGACTTTCGGCATACTTGGTCAATTGATGCTATTGCTGGTGAAGTAGGATTTTTTTCAAAACGGCGATAATCCAGTACGTACACTCGAGGTTTGTGGTGAAGACACTTGTTATATGCAGTCTTTTTTATTGGACTGTTTTAATCAAATTAACATAAGAGAGGGGAACAAACGAAAATTCATGATAAACCTTTGTGATATCTGTATTTGTAAGAATGGTGAAGTGTTTTTCACTAATAATGAGAACAATACTATTTGCCAACTCTTTTCTTCAGGATCAGTCTCTGTTATCGCAAATACAAAAGAATTACTACCACTAGGAATCTGTGAGTCAGTGGAGGGTGGTCTCCTGGTCGCCTTAACAGATTATTCTGAATACTGGGAACCTTTTACAAGTTTAGTAAGACATATGACCTTAACAGGTGACGTCATAGTGAGATCGGTGGTTTTCCTTATTTTCATGAACAACTTTTTTCTTTTCCACAACGAATTACACAGAATGGTAACAGTGACATCTGTATTGTAGACTGGGCATATCCCCATGATAATCTGACAATTTTGTCTTCACTCGGTCAAGTTAAGAGTAAGTATGGGGGTAAAGTGACTTACGAAGAATATAACTTGCACCCGATTAAGAAGAACTTTGATCCGTATGACGTGGCATGTGACTCTTTTTGGAACATCCTTGTTACCGACGCAAAACATCATCGGATCCATTTACTCAGTCCTTCTGGGATATTCTTGAAGTTTTTGCTTACAGAGAGTGAAATGGAATTTCCAACCGCATTATCACTGTACAAATCTAAATTGTGGGTAGGAAATACAAAAGGACTTGTTAAAGTTTTCAGATATAAACATATGTTTAGTTTTCAAGTTTAATCATACACATAGATAAGGTCAGGGACGTAGCATCCGGGGGGGCCAGGGGGGGGCCTGGTCCCCCCCACTTTTTTCCCCAACATAATCTTTACTATAGTAAATATTCATTGCTAGGGTGGTTGGCCCCCCCTCACTTTAAAACCATAGTATAGTGATAGCAAGGATTGTAAGGAAAAAATGGGAAAGTTGGCTTTGAAAAGTTGGCTACCCCCACCCCACCCCCCACCCCCCCCCCCAACCCACCCCCACGTTATAGGATTGTCGAGTTTGGTCAACTTTTAATTTTCGTTTTTTTTTTTTTTTGCTTGTCAACTTTTTCAGGTTAGTAAATAAAAATTTATCTCAATTTGGCCCCCCCCCCACTTTTAAAAACGATGCTACGTGCCTGAGGTCTACGAACTGTCAAAGTGTACATCTGCTTATTACAATTCATTGTATTAAAACTGCAATTTTCAATAAATTTGTTACACAAGAAGACCTAGTCATGGTTAATTTCTAAAAAGATTTACTGTATTGAAATGAAGTTTTAAACTGAGATTGTTATTATCTATTTTAATAAAATGCTATAAGACCACATTCACCAAAGTAAATCAGTACCATAGGCTCCCCAGGCTTTGTTTATAGTTTACAATTACAAATGTACTATAATCACGTTTATACCACTAGTAGATGTAGATAGTTTTCTTTTAAGATTAAGCTTGCAAGTGAATATGATAAAGATATGAAACAGTAATCAAAAATCCATCAAAGCATTACAAATCTGGAAACAGACGTGGATTCAGTTAGAGTAGAGACATTGATCCTGCAGATACTGACATGACTAATTCTTATAGTATTATATACTTCATCCAGCTGGAGAGAAGATAAAATTGTTTAAGTTTAGGCAAAGAATGTTCTGTGTACTACTCCTCCATGGCACCTGATCCCACCTCTGATGTTTCGGAGGTCCGTGTTTGCTCTGCTCCTAATTTTTATTGTTTTATGGACTTTAAGATTTAACATTCTTCATTATCTCCATATCCTTCTTCTGTGTACCGAGTATCTTAGAATTCATAGTTTACTAGTTATAAACATTCCATGTTACAAACATCATCAAATTAAAATTATATAATATCAAAAACAGCACAGGCATGTGATATCTTTTCCTTGTATCTGGGTCTTCTAAAGGGCAAGACCACAAGAAAAGGCTAGATACTGATAATACTATCTGGAAAATCGCAATTAAATACATCGCAATTGCAGCAGTTTCGTTAAAATAATATCAGTTACCAGGAGGAAAAGAAGTGGAGGTCTCCTGGTGACATTGAAAGACAACACAACACAGTGGATGAATTCAGATTCAGACAGCAGACGTTTGGTGAGACACGGTTCCCTCACTGGTGACACTATCCGAGAATACGAGTACACTCCTGACGGTAAAACAAAGCTGTTTACTCTACCAGTCAAAGTCACACAGAATGGTAACTCAGACATCTGTGTTGTTAACTGGTCAAGCAGAACTAAAGGGAACCTTGTTATTTTGTCTTCTGCTGGACATCTCAGATCGATCTATAGTGCCCAGACACTGAGGTGGAACTTCTTACCGTTTGATGTGGTCTGCGATTCCCTCTGTTACATTCTCGTTTCAGGCCGATACAACGAACGAATTCATTTACTGGGTCCTGATGGAGAGATTATAAAGAACTTATTGAATGAAAATGAAGTAAATATTCCCACCTCTATATATTTGTGGAAATCAAACCTTTGGGTGGGAAATGAAGATGGTCTTGTAAAAGTGTTTAAGTAAAAAAAAAAGTCAATTTGAAAACCTATTTCAGTTGAACTGTATTACTTGCAAGTTAGTGTTTTTCTTATTTTTATATTTCATTTTAATTGTATACAAGGTATAAAGTACAAAAAATATGAATTTAGGAACTACACAACGTTTTCACTAACCTAATTTTTTTTGTATTAAAAATACGTACGTAGATTATTTTTCAATAAAAGGAAAACAAGCTACATGATATGCCTTTGTAAGTAATAAGTACAATTTCAATTTCAGCCAAAATAATTTAAGGAATAGTATTTCACAGATGTGGAATTTTCTTTTTTATTTATTATTAAGTCGACAAAGAAATGTCTAATTCGAAATTGAACATATTTTGAAGCAGAATGAGAAATCTAAACTGCATTTAGCACAGAAAATTTTGATGTCCTTGAGACGAACAGGAAATCATATAGCTTTCTCAACATGTGTAAAAATGGTCAGGCTGACAGAGAAAATTGAAGAAAGATGCTACATGATGGAGAAAGTGGTTACATTGTATAGCTATTACAAATGCTACTCATTCATGGGTTTTTTTTTCTCAAATTTTATGAAAAGTTTGCAAAATTGAGGAAAATGCAAATTACTATGTGAGCTAAATATGATTGCACGAAACAGAAATTTTTGACATAGAAAAATAGTTTTAAAAAAAGGTCATCAGGCATTTTAAAAGACACAGACGTAATTTAGATTTCGATTTAGATTTAGAGTCCGACACTTCTGATTCATACTTGGATATTTTACTTGAAAAATGCACTAATGGTAATCTAACAACCAAGCTATATGATAAACGTGATGACTTTAACTTTTCTATCGTCTACTTCCCTTACTTATGCAGCAATATACCTTCATCACCTGCATACGGAGTATATATATCTCAGTTGATTCGATACGCAAGAGCATGCTCTACGTATGAACAATTTTTTAAACGAGGTAAATTATTGACAAGCAGATTGATGAAACAAGAATAGCAGCAGTCTCGTTTAAAGTCATCATTTCGTAAGTTCTATGGTCGATACAATGACCTTGTCAGCAAATACAATTTATCATTGAGTCAAATGCTGACTGACGTTTTTCATACCAATTGTTAGTCCATTATTTATACACTGAATTGACGACGGATTCTTTAAGTTATTTCCTGATCATGACAACGAGCACACGGCGGGTGTGACCGGTCGGCAGGGGATGCTCACTCCTCCATGGCACCTGATCCCACCTCTGATATTTCGGAGGTCCGTGTTTGCTCTACTCTTAATTTGTATTGTTTAATGGACTTTGAGAATGAATACTGTTCGTTATATCCATATCAATCTTCTAATATATGTCCTACTTATAAAGAATATTCTGGCAAAATTATTCCCCATCGTTTTCATACGGACCTGGATTGAACAGAACAAATGTTATTTTTTATAAAAATGTTAGTCTTAGTGGGGTGACGAGTTTATGTCACCTTCCAGAAAGACAACTGCAAACATTTTTCTGTTTTATCAAACGTTTGCTTTTCCAAATCAGTGAGTATTGCAATCATACACTTTACAAAATTCGAATCTTACATTTTCTGTCCTTATCCTATTTGGATTCATGACAAATGAGATGTATATGAGAGAGAGAGAGTTTATTTGAACATGATACAAAGAGATTCATTATTCATATGAAAATCTAATGTATAGCTTTTGAAATATAATCGATTATATTTGCCTTTTTTACTTTCAAAGCACAGAGTTCTGATTACAAAAACGGGGGATATTTAAAGAACCAACAATTTACCTAACCGAAATCATTGTACCGTATCACATCAGTCTTTGATACGTTATCAACATTCTGAGGAAATGGCGACCGGTAATTCGTAATCTATAGTGAGGGCTCAACAAGAACACATCCCCACGTGTGACAAACATAGTTTACGTATTGATATAGTCTGTGAGGATTGTGAGGAATTTATTTGTTTCAAGTGTGTATCAAAACACAAGGATCATAACTGGGAAACTTTATCCAATTTAGCAATTTTGAAAAGAAAGAATCTGCTGAAATATCTGGAGGATACTAAGACGAAGGATTTGTCAGAGCTTGATATGACAATAGAAAAAATAACAACACAGAAAAAGACTAATGCAAAACATTATAATCTCGATGCAAGATTCGTTCAGAAACATTTTGCGGAAATAATGATAAGATTGGCAAACATCAGGAAGTCCTTTCAACAAAAATTGAGGGAAAATTATAATGACACCCAGGAACAAGCAAACCTTGTGATGCATGTGTTAAAAAGAAAGAGGACCCAACTTGTTGACACTGTTGAATTGATTGAGAAAAATAACAGAGCAATGTCTGATTATAGTCTGATTGACAACTGCAGAGAACTGAAAAAACTGTTGTCTGAAATCAAAAAATACGAGTATCCGACGGAATACAAACGGGGGAAAATTTATGACGATTTACTTGAAAATTCTGAAAATGTTAGTTTGGTTTCAAAGGAAATAGACTCATTTCAATATAAGGACAATGCAATACTTATCCTTGAGGCATTTGGAGAAGATGATAGTTACGTTCAGTCCTTTTTCTCGAAATCCACTTGTCAGGTCAACAAAAAAGGTGTGACGAAAAAGAAACTCAAACTAAAAATTTTCGATATCTGCGTTTTAGATAATGGAGAGGTGTATTTCACTGACGATAGGAACTTAAATATCTTTCGTTTTTCCAAAACAGGATCAGTCTCCGAAGTCCTTGATTCAGATATAGAATACATGAAACCACTAGGAATCTGTCAATCAGTGGATGGTGGGCTTCTGGTCACTATGATGGACACTGAGTCAAAGTTTTATCATTTAATGAATTGGAGCTTCCGTTCTGTAGAACACTTAACGTTGACTGGAGATATCGAAAATCTTCACCTAAACAGTAAAGACAAACCACTGTTAATTTACCCAAGGCGAGTCACACAGAATGGCAACGGTGACATATGCATTGTAAACTGGAGAAATTCTTCTGAAGGAGATTTGGTCATTTTGACTTCTTCTGGGATACTTAAGTCCGTTTATCGGGGACAAAACATTGTAAATAACAGCCCCTTTCAAAACTCTTCGGTGGTCTTTGATCCTTATGACGTGGTTTGTGATTCCCTCTGCAACATTCTTGTTACTGATGCTAGGAATCACAAAATCCATTTATTAGATCCTGCAGGAAAATTCCTTAAATTTTGTCTTACAGAGAAAGAAATGATTTTTCCAACTTCTTTATCCCTGTATAAGTCGACACTGTGGGCGGGAAATACGAGAGGACAGGTCAAAGTTTTCCAGTATAGTCATGCTTTTAGTATTAAGATTTAAACATTTTTCAATTTTACTCGTCAAAAAGTTGATGCCTTGCTAGCTCCTCGTTTCAGCCGTTAATGGTAACCTAACAAAAGACGTTTAATGATAAACGTTTTGACCATCACTTCAACTTTCCTTACTTATAATTATATAGCAGTATATGGGTTTATGTCGCCTGACTCAATACGCAAAAGCTTGTTCTAGGTGAAAACAATTTCTTAAAAAAGGCAAACTTTATATTGACAAACAATTTGATGAAACAAGGATATCAACCATCTTGTTGAAAGTCATCATCTTGCAAGTTGTATGGCCGAACAATGAGCTAATTGTCAACAAATATATAATCTACATTATGTCGACCGTTAACTCACGCTTTTCATTCTAATTGTTTGACCATTATTTAAACACTGAATTGTCTGGGATGGATTTGGTCTTTTATTGAATAATAAAAATCTAAAGGGTGTCTTCTTTGTTCACCAATTTTTAGAAATTCTATATCTAAGCTGCAGAAATCAGTGATTGACAATTTAACTTCTTTAACTATATTCATATTAAACATTAAAGAACAATAGACCAAACAAAGCTTATTTCATGGTGTTTTTTTTTATTCAGCAGTATACAAAGGTTAATAGATTTATCATTCACTAATGTGTTTTCACTAATGTGTTTATATGAATTACAGTATGTGTTTTGTTCCTAACATACATTACACTATATATTTATAGAGATGACAAACATAGATGTTGCAGAATTATATGTGGATTTTAATATACTTTATCTGGTTATACAAGTATACTGTTTATTTTCACAATTATAGTCATGCAAATCTATTTGAAAGAACATGAAATTCTTCAGGTCAGGGTGCATCATAAAGGTCAGAGGTCAAACTTGAGCACTTCCTGGAAACCTGTCAACAAATGTGAGGTCAGATTATTATGCTCCAACCCACAGCTGTGAATACCAAACAAAATGAAATATTTTTCCGTTAAAAGTCTGTGTGTTTTCATAATTACTGCCCAGAAACTGTATTTTCATTCATATCATCAGAACAGGCATCACCAACACTGCATACCCAGTAGGATAAAATCGAGGGGTCCTTTCCTTTCACTTCCAAATAATGATTGACGAAAGAGATAGTGATTTTCAAATTATTTTTATGACGGATTTCTTTATACTATATTTTCAAAGTATGAAATTTGAGATTATTAAAAAGAAAATAATTCTTTGCTTTCGTGAATATATATTAAAAACAAACAACTTCATCCTATTAGCATATACTTTCTAAATGTAAAATGATAAATTGTGAGAGGACTGAAATTTACAGAGGGAGAATCCATCATCATGTCATATTATTCTGTTAATCATACTGGTGTGTTCTCTTGAATGGTCATAACTTTTTTATTGCTAAATGAAATTTTGACAATTTGGTATAATTTTGCTTGCAATATCATGTACTTTCTTAATGATAAATGATAAATTGTAAGAGGACTGAAATTTTCATTGGGGGAGAAAATTAAAGAGATAAAAACAATTTCCATTCTCCTGCAGGATAAATAGAGGATATCTATATTGTGTGATTGGATATTGTCTTTATCCAACGAGTTGAAATGGTGTATATATTCGCGAGGCTTGCCGAGCGAATATACACCATTTCAACGAGTTGGATAAGCCAATATCAAACCACACAGTTATAGATATTCTATTTATTTCATACAATATTCGTTTTAACAAAACTTTGAGACTTCCCCTGCAAAACTACACAAATATTTGCCAATTCAAATTGATGACGTATAGCTTGATAACGTACCACCGTTGATGTTGACATGCTTCGAAAGAAAGTAGATCGTGTTCAAAAGTTAAAATTTTTGCTATCTGCGTCTTTGAAAACATTATGTGACAATTGCTGGGGCTCTACATCAAACGAACCTCTGACTGAAAGTTGTAAGGACCATGGGATCGTGAAAATTAAATCTTTGTACGGTGGTAGTACAAAATGGCTGGGCAAGGCTTTGTAGATTCATTGTTGATCCATGGCAAGTTACACCTGCATTACATGTACTAGGTAGGTATACATTGTATAATATAAGAAAGCATTATTGAAGACGATATAGGAATCTTATAACAACAATCTAACTGTTAGTTTTTTCTTTTTCCGGAAACGATTTAAGGGGGGGGGGTGTAACATCTGTCTTCAAGTAGCCAATACAGGTTCTTGATAAAATAAGACACTTCTTTGACATATACGAGTCTTTTTCTTGCTTTTAACGATATTACTGCCCTTTATCATTCATTTTATAAGGGAAATAATTTTCACAAATAAAAGTTTAAATAAAATAAAATCTTGAAGCCAGGGATCGTGTCAAAACCGAAAGTGCTATTGCTAAAGCATCTAGCCGTTGATAAAGCGTAAGTTTATCTAACGACCTGCATCACCTACACGTATGAGGCCATCCTTAAAAAATTGTTTGTTTGGAATTGCCGCCTGTAGGGTTTCAGACACAGGAGGGAGGGAGGGAAATTATTATTATTTTTTTTAATGGAAGATAAATTTAAATTTTTTGATAAATATCTCAGTAAACAGTAAATAAATTTTCTGACTTTAAAAAAAGTATCTACCATCAACCAAGAAACTAATTTTACATAGATCTGACACTATATTTTGGTGTTTTGTATGGTGCATAATTATGATACATATAATGGGAAAAAATTGATTAAATAAAAAAAAATATCCTCCTACTTTTAGTCAATAAAATTTTTTCAGGAGGGGGCATTTCAATGAGGCGGGAGGCAATTCCAAACAAACTATAATTTTATTTTGGCCTGATATAAAATATTCTATAAAACATTTTGATAGAGAACTTTTATTTCTATTTATGACAATTATAGAACTTCTTGTCCAATTTCACAAATTATTGGATAAAAAATCCCATGTAAGGTTAAAAATGGGAGTTTTGATTCTATAGGAGAAAAAATCCCACAGAACTCATTTTTCTCCCACAGAATAATGGTGGGATATTGGTTAGGACAGAAAATCCCACCATTATCCCATGGGATTTCTTGATTGCAGGTGTAATATCTTTTAAACTAGAAGATATTCAGGGTTAAAGGTTAGTCCATGCTGTGCGATAAAAAAAATCCCACCAGATGACATAAATGGTTTCCATGTATCTTCCATGTATCTTTGGAAAAGTGGTTGGCGAAAGTCCAGACAAATGTCGTGTCCGGAGTTAAATTTCGCACTGTTCTTAATTGAATTTACGTCATTAAAAGTTACGTGTACGTTTGTTGTGTTTATTTGTAGTCATGATTCGTAATACCATGTATCTTGATTCTAAAATACTTTATTTAAGGGATGCTTTTTAAGTCAATTCATGATATTCCTATCCTGTCGGACGTCGTTCCTGTGAGAAAAGTTTATCCTTTGTATTTCAGGATAGTTAAGTTTGAAGTAAGTAATTTGAATCACACAGAGAGAGAGAGAGAGAGAGAGAGAGAGAGAGAGAGAGAGAGAGAGAGAGAGAGAGAGAGTAATGTAAAAGGAGGGGAATCCAGACGTACCTTGCGGACATAAAGGAGCATGAGATACCGGAGTTTAAGGAGAAAAGGGAGAAAATATTAACAAAGGAAAATGATAATGGAATTCAGTTTGAGAATGATATTAGAGTCTTACATAAATATTTTGATGAAGTGATGAACAGGTTGACAGAAATCAAGAAAAGCCATGAAAATACACTGAAAAACCACTTGAGCAAAACAAACGAACAAATAAAATCTCTGAAATCTCAGATGGACAAGAAAAAATCCCAGCTTGTTGACACCATAGAATTCATCGAGAACAACAGCAGAAATATGTCAGATTTCCACCTGATCGACAACTTGAAAATTCTGAAACAGTTACGGTCTGATATTAAAAATATTAAAGATCCTTTAGAATACGATGGAGGAAAATTGTTTGATGACTTGCGTCAAACTTGGTCAATGGATGCCATTGCTGATGAAGTAGGATTTCTTCAAAATGGAGAAAATCCTGTACGTACACTTGAGGTTTGTGGTGAAGACACTTGTTATATCCAGTCTTTTTTATTAGACTCTTTAAATGAAATTAACATAGAAGGGAGTAATAAACAAGAATACATGATAAATCTTTGTGATATCTATGTCTGTAAGAATGGTGAAGTGTTTTTCACTGTTAATGAGAACTATCCTACATGGGGTATTTACCAACTATTTTCTTCGGGATCTGTCTCTATTATCGCAAATACAGGAGATTTAGAACCACTAGGAATCTGTGAGTCGGTGGATGGTGGTCTTCTGGTCGCCTTGACAGATTATTCTCATTTCATGCAGCCTTCTACAAGTCTTGTAAGACATATGACACTATCAGGTGACGTCAAAAGTGAGATCGGCGTTTATGATTCTGATGGAAATATACTTTTTAGCTTTGTCTTCATCTGGTCAAATAAAGTATACATATCGTGGATATAACTTGACAGAAGACAACCCTTTCTACAGACCGATTGAGAACTTTGATCCGTATGACGTAGCGTGTGATTCCTACTGTAACATCCTTGTAACTGATGCAAAAAATCACAGGATCCACTTACTAAGTTCTTCTGGGAAATTATTGAAGTTTTTGCTTACAAAAGGTGAAATGGAATTTCCAACCGCATTATCACTGTACAAATCTAAATTGTGGGTAGGAAATACAAAAGGACTTGTTAAAGTTTTCAGATACAAATATATGTTTAGTCAAGTTTAAACATACACGTAGATAGGTTGTTTGAATCGTAAAAGTGTCCATCTTTAATTATAATCTCATTGTTTGTAAATATTTAGTGTATTTATGTATATAAAGGAATTTATGTGATCTAAATACGTAATAAATTGCATATTTTTATTAATTACCAATTTGTTTGAATTCATGGGTCCCGAAGGGTTTTCCGGGTTTTATACTTAAGCGTCCTCTAGTAACGGCTATTAGCCTTATCCTTATCAGAATAACATTTCGGCTCCAAAATGTGGGGGGGGGGGGCGAGGGACCCTTCTCTGTACGTTCATTGTCCCTCTTGTGGGATGTTTTTGGGCCCCACCTTCTGCTGCATTCTGATATTGTAAAATCTGTAATCTCATTTGGCATTTGTAATAAATGCTCTATACACACACACACACCCTCTTTATTATTTAACATGCTGCAGAACAGAGCTGCAAATGTGCTTCAGGTTCACATGAACCGAATTGTTCATCAGTTTCAGTATTTAAGAGCACATAAGTGTATTTATGTATATAAAGGAATTTATGTGATCTAAATACGTAATAAATTGCATATTTTTATTAATTACCAATTTGTTTGAATTCATGGGTCCCGAAGGGTTTTCCGGGTTTTATACTTAAGCGTCCTCTAGTAACGGCTATTAGCCTTATCCTTATCAGAATAACATTTCGGCTCCAAAATGTGGTTTACAAATTTTACCCACCACCACCCCTTCAATCCTCCATAATTATTGTTATTGTAGAAAATACATGTACTAGTTTCTTTTATATAAGGTGCCTATTGTTATTGCATGACTTTTGTTATTGTAGAAAATAGATGTACTAGTTTCTTTTGTTTAAGGTACTTATTGTTAATTTTGTAGAAAATATATGTACTAGTTTTCTTTTGTATAAGGTGTGGGATGTTTTTGGGCCCCACCTTCTGCTGCATTCTGATATTGTAAAATCTGTAATCTCATTTGGCATTTGTAATAAATGCTCTATACACACACACACACCCTCTTTATTATTTAACATGCTGCAGAACAGAGCTGCAAATGTGCTTCAGGTTCACATGAACCGAATTGTTCATCAGTTTCAGTATTTAAGAGCACATAATGAAATATTTTGATTGCAGTTTTTATTATATTTGTTACATAAGAAGACATGGTCATGGTTATTTTAAAAAAAATATATGACTTTTTTATTGTATTTAAATGTAGTTTTAAATTGAGATTGTAATGATCTATTTTAATAAAATTCACAAGAACACATTTACCAAATTAAATTAGAAGCATACACCAAACTTAATCATTTACAATCACAAATCTACCATAAACATGTTTATACCTCCATAGTTGATTTAGATTTTAAAAAAAAGAAGAGAGAATTAAGCTTGGGAGTGCATATGATAAAGATAAGAAATAGAAATCGAAAATCAATCAAACCAATACAAATCTGGAGCACAGCCAACAGGTATAGATCCAGTAAGAGTAGATACATGGAAAATAATACATACCCTTTTCCATATCACATTCTGTTTCAGCCCGAGACATCAATATCAGCCAGAGGGATGAAGGACGAGGACTGATACAGGATGTGATGTGGAAAAGAGTATAGTTTATTATGTTTATTACATACTTAATAATAAAATACAGAACACAATAATCTGAGAGGAAAATAAGTAAATAACAATGCACGGGCTTTTTACAATGTACGTGGTCTATTAATTGGGTATCTACATGTACCTATATTTTAAATGGTCCCGATCCGTTATTGAAAATAATTTATTTTTTGTCTATTAGATTATCCTTACAATCAAAAAGTTAAAATTAAGATAATTTTGTAGCCCCCAAAATATGTGTATGATGTGACAAGTACTGTTTTTAAGGTTTAATTTACTAAGGTTGTGATATTGATCCGTATCAGCCCTGCAAATCCATATCAGCCCCGCAAAGACATATCAGCCCTGCAGGGCTGATGCGGCTATTGTGACGTCAGGCATATTGCATATGCAAAAATCCTGTATTTTTTTTTTTTACTAAGTATGTTAAAAATTGATCTAGCAGATACTGAAATGACATAATTCGTATACCATTATATACTTCATCCAGCTGGAGAGAAGATATTGTTAGGTTTAAGCAAAGAATGCTCTGTGTACCAGATATCATAGAATTGATACGATACTAGTTATGAATAATCCATGTAAAAGAAATAAGGAATTTAAAATTATATAACATCAAAAACAGCACAATCATATGATATCTTATCCGTGTTTCTGGATCGTTGAAAGGGCAAGGTCACAAGAACAGGCTAGTGATAATTATCTGTAAAGTTAAATGTCAGCATAATTTCGTAAAAAAAAAAACTTGATCATATTTATAACTGGATTTTTATCTTGGTTATATTTCTAAACATAAAGCAAAACTGATCTTCAACATGTTCAAGGAAGAAATTGTTTTACGTCTCATTCGAGAATTTTTCACACCTCAAGAGAAGCATCAAATGTCTATCAAAGCTAGGCTTTAAATTTAATCAAGTGCTTAATTGACAGTCAGAGTAACAAAAATCAAGGGTTCATTATCGTGGGAACTTAATCTCGATTTTAAATTAGGTATCATCCGAAAGGTCAGTGACATTCATTTTCATGAGAATACCGGGTGCTTTGCAAGGGAACAAACACTTCAATTGTTTACGTTTAAGATTTGCCGCGGATCGGCAAAGGAGAATCCTTTCTATCGTCACAAAGCGAACGAACTACCACTACGGTACCGTGACCAATGGTAAGAGATGTAACATACCTAGCGAATAAAAAGGAGGAAGTTATACAAGAGTTTGGGAAGAAAAAGGAGAAAATTTTAAAATATGAAAAAGACAACAAAAATCATTTTAATTGTGATGTTGGAATTTGCATAAACATTTCGATGAAGCAATTAGAAGGCTCACAAAAATAAAGAAATACACTGAAAAGGCACTGAAAAGTAACTTGCATGAAGCAAACGAACAAATAAAGGGTGTAAAGTCTCATTTAGACGACAAAACCAAGCTTTTTTAGCATCTTGGAATAATATATTAAGAAAAACAGTGGAAGCATGTCCGATCTCATTCTAGTTGAAAACGTTATTGAACTCTAGAACAACTACAATATGACATACAGAACCTTGACTTTCCTTCGCAATGCTGATGGAGGAAAAAAATTTGATATTTTAAAGAAAACTTTCCTGATGATGTAGGATTGTTTCAATACGGAGATCAACCAATACGTATACTGGAGGGATGTGGTGATGATATTAGTTATATCCAGTCCCATACATCCGAGTACGTGAATCAAATTAGCATACGAGGGACCGAGAAAAGAAAGCTCACGATAAATCCCTTTGATGTGTGTCTCTCTCCTTCAGGATCAGTCTCTGTCATCGCGGATACAAAGAAATTTTTACCATTACGAATCTGTCAGGCAGTTGATGGTGGTTTGTTAGTCACCTTAGCAGTGGATATTGTGAAATTCCCCCCGGATACTCACTTTTTTGACCCTGCCTCATGTCTAGTGAGACGCCTGACTTTAACAGGTGCTTTCATATCTAATCATGATCACGAATATATAGAGGGGGGATATCACTTAATTTATCCAGCACGGCTCAAACAGAATGGTAACTCTGACATCTGTTTTGTGAACTGGATATTTCCTCAAGGAAATCTGGTCATAATGTCTTCTTCTGGTCAGGTTAAGTTTGTGTATCACGGACGTATCTTGACAGACGAAAACCCTGACTACTACTCCATGGAGAACTTTGATCCGTATGACGTGGCATGTGACTCCTACTGTAACATCCTTGTTAGCGACGAGAAATATCATCGCATCCATTTACTTAGTCCATCTGGGAAATTGTTGAAATATTTGCTGACAGAGAGTGAAGTTCAATTTCCAACCTCACTATCCCTGTACAAATCCAGATTGTTGGTGGGAAATACAAAGGGAAATGTCAAAGTTTTTAGATGCAAACATACTAGTATGTTTAATCTTCACGTTTAAATATACCGGTAGAAAAGCTTTATGAATGGTCAAAGTGTCCAGCCCCGAATGACAATCATATTGTTTTTAAATTCTTTTTTGAAATATTTAATTGTCCTTTTAGATAAATGTGTTACAAAAGTAGGTTCGTATTTTAAATTTCTTCCCTTCTTTGAATCGCAATTCCTAAGCATGTCATCTCTGCTTTATAGTACACTACTACAGTCATATTATTCGAATTTTTTCAATGATTCACTTGATTTAAATGCAGCAATAATTTGACATTATAATTATCAATTTTAAGTATAATAAGAAAACATTCACCAATGTTAACCAGTACCATACACATTCTCCAGCTGAATTGTTACAAAATGCATATCTACTGAAGATAACGAAAAATATTGAAGCTCAAAAGTCCATAAACGCAACACAAAAACGATTAAAAATGCTTACAATAATGTCTGTGAACTCTCAAGTAATGTCTCAGTAAATGTGTAAAAGTAAACCATGGTATTTCTTCAAAGATCATTATTACAGATTTCATTTAGTGAAAATCAAATCAGAATATTTTAAAATTAAATCAATATGCTGATGCTTATACTTCTAATTGAAAATTTGATATTATACATGCATATTTTGCCATTTTTAAATTAAATTATTATTTTGATATTCAGGAAATAATTGTTGATATATAGTTTTAAAATTGACATATATCAAACAATTG